TTCATTGAATTGTCAACAAGAGTTGTATCTGACTGATCATTTCAAGTGCAACTCTCTTTCTGATCTTTGTACACTCTTCGGAATGTTACAAGAAGAGTTCCTTTCTAGAATAAGATGTTGGGACGTGGAACAAGACATCGCTATAAGACTTACATTTACAATCTTTCCACTCCTTTCAAAACTTGGTAAAAAAGAAATGCATGAAATGTTAAACGTGGCAGTGAGAAGTAGATTTAACGAGAGAAATAAGAAAGGAAAACATTCACACACAACAAAGGTTGAGTGAAATTATTTACATCCTTAGTTTATTTGTTTTTTATATCGAATGAATGAATAAAGTACACTGAACAATTGGTCGACTTGCTCTCTTTGAGTCATGTATGGAGTGTCGTTTCAATTTTTTCAAATAATTAGCCTAACTAACCCCTTACAAAGGCTTTGGTTGTAGAACCTTAGGGCGGAAAAAGTTGATGAGGAGACGCTGTGAGGAAGTGAGCAATTGAATGATTGGAAGAAGAGTTTGTAGAGGAGTTGATGTCATGTTGAGCAAGTGTGGAATGGATCTCGAGTTTCGCAGTCGACTATTGGCCCACTGTTGGGTTCGTACGAGAAAACACAATCAACCTTGGATTCTAATCAAACTGCCCTGTCCGCGAAGGTAATTCAAACCAACCTGATGTTTCACTTTTGAATTCGAGTTATTTCGTGTATTTGAAATTGACTATTCGAAGATCATTTAGGAGGAGCTGCAACAGTTCTCGATCTGGTCAATCAGAATGCAGCGCATGATTAGTGAAGTTGTTTTGAAAACAAAAAAATGCACATTTAATGAATGAAACAAATTTCTCCTCACGAAACATTCTAGAACAGGTTGATGGATTTGTGAGAAATATTAAACAATTTACGAAACGGACATCCATCATCCGATCTGGAAAAAATTAGGAAGGCGTATGAGTGTGTTTTTAACGAGAAGATCTTCCGATGGTTTTTGTTGCGAATGTGAAGACTTTATTACTAATTGGGGTAGGCCATGTCAGCACATTTATCTGGTGTTGTTAGATCAAAACAAAACTTTTGACTTTGCAACAGATACTAATGACGCCTCAATACTCTACAAAAATGCTGCAAAGCCGCAAGAAATTTTGGATCTCGAAGCAAGAATTAAAATCCTAAATAATGAAAAATGGAATGCAAAGTTGAATGATTTTCTGAAATACAAGAAAAACAAACTCGATATTCATCAACAAGAACTCAAGCAATGCATGTACAATTAATTGACTCGTCTGGATCTTCGTATGCAAAGCGACCTGCAGCCATTATTCAGGAAGATCTTGAGCAACTTCTTTCGTAAGAATCGCTGAAAAAGAATGTCTATATGAATATTACTGCCTCCTAAGCGACTGTTGTGTAAAAGAATAGCCGGATTGAACCGAGCGATATCTGTTTTTCTTCCGATCCAACGCTTCTCTCATTAACTTGGAGAGCAAAATTGAAAAGACCATTGTTGACCAAAGTGAAGCTATTCGAACCATGACTCAATCTATTCGAGTGGCAAGATCTGGATTAAGGGAAGAAAACAAGCCTCAAGGTGCATATTTGTTGGAAGGACGAAGTGGAATGGGAGAAACAGAGCTAGCCAAGCAGACGGTTCTCTAAGGTAGTGAAGATTTAATCACACCAGGCTAAAATGGGAACAAGTGGTAAATTAACAAACGATATTAAAAGACATCTTCATCAAGTGATTCTTCTCGACGAAATTGAGAAGGTTCGTCCATCCATTTGGAATGTTCTTCTTCCAAGTTTCGAGGAGGAAAATTTAGATCAGTGTTGTAATGTGTTTGAAAGTGTAGAACAAAAGATAGATTTCAACAAATAGGACTGTTGGATTCGAAAATTTAAAAAAGAACAGCTCCCATGCCGGGAATCGAACCCGGACCTCCTGGGTGAAAGCCAGGTATCCTAACCATTGGACTACACGGGAATATATAATAAGGGTTTTGGTTAGTCCATTAGTCCTTATATTTTTTTAAAACTTTGATGACTTCTGCCAACAAAAAATTGGTAGAGACCGAATGAAAAATTGACACTCTTGTTGTTACCAAAAAATGTCTTCAAACAAATTCTTCAGAATTGTTCACCAGTCTAACAAAAGCAGAGCTCGTGTTGGTGAAATTATCACTGCACACGGAATTATCGAAACCCCAAACTTTGTGCCAGTCGGAACGAATGGAACACTGAAAGGAATTGACAATTTTACTGCATCAAAAATGTTAGATGTTCAACTCATGTTTTGCAATACCTATCATTTGATGATATATCCTGGAATTGATGCCATAGAAAATGCTGGTGGGTTACACAAGTAGGTGTGGTGCAATTTGAAATTATTGAATTTTATTTTTTTAAATTTCTTATTTTCTTTTTTATTTTTAAAAATTAATATTATTCATGTTGAACCTCAAACCAGATTTATTTCTAGAGATAGGCCCATCATTACAGACTCAGGTGGATTTCAAGTATTTTCACTTCAAACAGTCTATTCAGAAAACTCTCAAGATTCTAAACAAGAAAAAGTGGAACTCAAAGGTCAATCAAAAAACAAATGCTACACAGAAAGTCTCGTTAAAAAAGTCACTGAAGATGGTGTAACTTTTCGATCCTATCGAGATGGTAAACTCTTAAAATTAACCCCTGAAGAAAGTGTCACAGCTCAACATCGAATGGGTTCAGATATTATAATTCCTTTTGATGAATTACTTCCAGAACATGTTCCAATGAGTGTTGTTGAAGAATCTTTAGAGAGAACTCACCGATGGGAATTACGTTCTTTGGAATGTCACAAAAAACTAGCAAGATTGAATCACAAAAATCAACACATGTATTGTGTGCTGCATGGTGGGACGAATTTTGAATTGAGGAAAAAATCAATGGATGTCTTATTGGATGAGTCGTGTTTTCAATTTAGAGACTCTGAGGATGGATTACCAAATGGTTTCGAAGGTATTGCCATTGGTGGAAGTTTGGGATCAAATCGTTCAGAAATGCTTAATGTTCTCAAATTTACCTATGATTACATGGATAAGAAGATACCGACGGGATGTGCAGTACCAAATCATATTCTAGGAATTGGTGACATTGAATCAATTAATTCATTCATAGACATTGGATTTGACACTTGTGATTCAGCATATCCGACAAGATATGCTCGTCATGGTAATTTCATTGTTCATGCTGCTTCTGGTTTCCCATCATCGTTTTCAATTAGAAATTCAAATCATTTGAAATCTCATGATCGACCAATCGATGTGACATGTGATTGTCCTGTTTGTTTTGGACCTGGGGCTTATTCTATTGCATATTTACATCACTTGTTCAAGATGAGCGAACCCATCTATATCACTCTCGCTTCTATTCATAATGTAAGGCAAATGATGATTTGGATGGAAACCATTCGAAAACGAATAAAAAATAATGAAATATAAAGGAAAGTTGGGTTCACAACAGGAGTGTAAAACCATAAGCAGGATGTAAACAAGATGTGTCACTTTATTATTGATTTAAGGTTTGGTGAACCATTTCTTCCGCGAATTGTTGGGGAAATTCAATTTGAATTTTTGAACAGAAAAAACGTTGAACTAAAAAGTAGATCAAACAAAGACTAGGTGATCCCTTTCATGGAAATCAATGTTAACGTTGAAAAGTACTACTGTTTGTGTTATGGTTGATTTTCTTACCAAGTTGATTGATGTTGCTTGAGGTGCAAAACTGCTGTTGCTACCAACAGGGGCTTTTAAACCCAAACAGCTTTGAGTTTCAACTTTGGAAAACCACTCTTGTTATCCTCGGCAATGATATGATATTATTACTCTTAAGCATTTGAAGAGAATTAATCAAATCCGCTAGCTTTGGTGGTCATAGCAATATCATCTCTCGTATCAGTCACAACGTTAGCTCTTTTCTCAAACATTTCATTTTCAATTTTTGCTTGTCGGATTAATTCATTGAGGGCTTCTCGAGATAATGGTTCATATTTCTTTTCATATAATTGTGCAATTTTTTCTTCTACGTCCATTATCTTATTTCTATGCTCTCGTTCAATTCTTGCTTCTCGAAGGTAGTCGCCTTTTTCCGCAGTCTCAACAGCACTGTCAAAGGTTTTGTTCATTCCCTTCCATCCACCTTCTTCATAAATTGCTTTTCCTTCAAAGAGATATCTTCTTTCAACTGGAACAATTTCTTTCAATTTTTCGTCAATGTTCGCAATCTTTTTAATTTCTTCTTGACTTGGTTCGTAGCCTTGACCGTAAGGAATAACACCTTCTGGCAAGTCATCTTGTGCAACAATTTCACGAACTCTTTCCTCCTCTTGTTCAGATAATTGGAAGAAAACAGCATCTTCTCGAATAGTCATATTCTTTTTTAGAAAACTATCATTTTTGTTTCCAGTTCTAGGTGTTGGTCTCTTTCGAGTGAGTCCTTTTCCAGAATCTGCTCGAACTAGAGCAGTACTATTGAATGAAGAGCTTGTGGAACTCATTGGCTTTTCTTGCTTATTGACATTTCTAACGTACTTCATCAAACTTGTCTTTTTAAGTTTTTCTCTCTCACTTTTGTGTTCTTCCATAATTTGGCTAACAAGTTGAGATGTAGTCTTTCCTTTGTTTTCAATTTCTTGTAATAACAAGTCCAGTTTATGAATCTTTTTCATAGAACTTTCAAGAGTGTCACCTGGTTGAATTTCTTGAAGTGCTTCTTCTTTTGAAATAGCATTGGCTTGAGCAAGGTGCACAATTACGTCGTCTTTCATTTCAAATATTTCACTATTGACTGATTTTGTCATGAGTTCAAGATCTTCTGGCAGTTGCACTAAATTTTCTTCAATTTCTCCTTCCTCTGTCTGGATTACAAATTTCCTGGATTTTAATTCCTCCATAAACAACTCCAAGCTTCTTCTAGGGTCATCTGCATTCAATGAAATTGGTACCATTTCTGAAGACTCAGAAAACATAATTGATGAATCCATTCGGGGTGTATCCAAAGTTTTGGCTAACAGATCGCTAACCGTTCCAATATTTACCATATCCGTTGTGTTTTGGGAGGAGTCCTCCGAAGGTGTTTGACTCTCTTTTGTTTCTTCTGATTCGAGTGTTATTTGGGATACTTTTTCCAATTCTTGTAAAGACTCTAACTCTTCTTTCGAAAAATTCAATTCTGAAAGATCTGTCTGGGTTTCATCACCGATTAATCGTTCATCTTTGTTTTTTAAAATGTCTTCCAACTCTAAATCATCCAAAGAATGGATGCTTTCCAAATCAATATTGAAATTAGGAATGACGGTTTTTAAATGTGCGAGTCTGTTTTTTAATTGCAGAAAATCTTCATCCATCATCATGTCCTTCAAGTCATCAACTTTTGATTCACTACAAACTGAGAAACTATCGTCATCATGAACAATTTTTGAAACTGGAGAGGGACATTCGGATCGAGATACTCCCAAAGGAACTTGTTCCAAGCTGGTCAGTGACACATTGACACCTAATTGAGATGATTCTGGTGTGCTTACAGTTCTCTTAGTTACTGGTGTTCTGTGAGTATTCAACTTTGATGAAGGTAAGGAAGTTAAAAAGGCTCCGATCGGCAATTCAAAGCTTTGTGAGGAGTGTTTGCTTGAGGAAGATTCAGCACTAGTTGGTCGCTTTGAACTCTTTGGAGTTGAGTTATTACTGCTATTGAAACTGTCCTGAGGAGAAGCCTGCGATGACGATGCTCTTTTATGAATCGGAGGAAATTTGGTATGTTGTTGTTGATGAAGGAGAGAGGATGAACTTGAAGAGCAAGCAGAAGAAGGTTTCTTTTTCATTTTTTTTGTAGTGGAGTTGAGCGCCAAGTTGACTTCCATGCTTTCAAATTGTGCTTTTCATATTGTATCACGGAGCATCTTGAATGGAAAGCTTTCCATCAAAGAGATCATCCGAGGAATCTTGGACCCAAGCGTTGAATGATTGAGCATTTTTTCAAAAAACAATTTAATGTAAGTTTTTTGGCCGACAACCAACAAAACACACCATACTTTCAGTCAAGTATCGATCAACAATCTAGGGTTATTTGACTCACCTGACCATCTTTTCTGCGAAAACTGCTAGTTTGATTGCATGTCCATAATAATATCTTGTCAAACATAAAATGAGAAGCCATTTTCTACTTTTAGTGATATTGTAAACATGAGCTCCGACAGCTTTGGCTCTGTAAGATTTGAGCGCCATCATCGATGCTATTATTATCCTTGAAAACTCAAAAAAAAATTTGTTGAAACCTTACCGCAAATTTCAAACTTCTCGTTCTCGCCGTTGGTTGTTGTGCACAGAGAAGCCTTCACCACTACCTGCATCTTCTTTTGGTCCCCACTCCACTCCACGATTCGGTACTGCAATTTAGTTTTGCACCGCGCCGTGTGTGAAATTACAAAAGAGGGTTCATCATCATCATCAAAAACAATAACAACAACACGAATATCCGTGTATACCAGACACTCCGCACCAATCCATTCTCTTCAGCAGAGAGATTGAATCATAGAACCCTTCTTCATATCAACAACAACAACGTAACAACAAGGAATCCTTTCTTTATCATTTCAATCGGATTCACTCCTATCCCTTCTTCATATTCAACAAATCTAACTTTATTCCTTTTTTAAAAAACTCCATCATGATGATCCACAGTAACACTGCCATCACAGAAACAAGTACACTGACGTCATCGACGACGATAAAAGATAATAGAAATTCATCAACAACAACGCACTCACAGCCAAAGGATATTTCAAGTGTTGCCTCTTCTTCGAGTACAGATGAGGAGGAGGATACCATCTTGTCAAAAAGTCTCGGCCACTTCAATTCTTCACAAGGAACAAACATGCCAAGAGGCTCTTATCATGATATCAAATCTAGATACTTTATGTCTCTCAATCTTTCTCAACAAAAGACTCCACCTCCACAAACCTCTCCTCTTCCAAACTCTTCTGGTGCTCCATCTGCTACTTCTCCTCGCGCAACTAACAATGACAACACAAATGTTAACAGACCACAGCGAACGAGTAGTTTAAGTGTTCAGTTGTCAAAACAATCTTCAACGACGTCACCTGTTGATAAACAATCTCCGAAAGAGGCCTCCAAGAAACAAACACAAATTGATTTCTACAAGCATTCTCAAGCAATTCCCATCCCAACCAAAGTTTCAAACCCATTCCCAATGATTGATAATAGTGTAGTCACTCCAAATCATGGAACCACCTATGAGCCATCACTTGTTCCAAGTCTCATGAATGATGACACAGCTCCAATGATGTTTGATGGTGACTTTAGTTTTACAGATAGCAGTGAGAGTGGAAGCATTGATTTGGCTCCATTCTTTACAACACAAGTGACGATTTCTCCCAACAAGAACAACACGAGCAGCAAAACAACTCAACTCAAATCAAGTATGAAGTCAACTGCTCCCTCATCCTCAAAACAAAAAGGCGTTCAAAAGAGTGTATCCATGAAGATTGAGACAACGACATCTGTTGTCAGAGATGAAGATATTGATGATGACAGATCGCCTCTTACACCAAACAGAAACATTATTCCTCCTCACTTGCTCAATAACCGATCAGATTTTTCCTTGTACAGACAACAACAAAAACATAACACCAAAGTATATAAAATATAGAATTTCATCCAAACAATAAAGAGAAGAGCAACAATTTTGGCCAAGTTGCACGCAACGCCACAATATTCTTGAGTAGAAAGCAAAAACGAACTTTCTTGAAAATCCCCGCCAAAATCATACGGTTTTCGTTAACGAAAAAATGTCTCGAAAAGCCGTTGAGGATGTTATGCGGATTGAGGTTGAGATATTGGACGCCACGAGAGGAACCAATTCAAGGAGCAGCAGCGTTGCTGATAAACCAGTAGCACTTCCAACAAAAATCAAACCTCCAAAATTGGATTTGCAAGCAGCAAATATTAACACCGGATCTCTTTCAACTCGATCTGTTGGATTGAAATCTCCTCCGACAAGCGGAAAGAAGAGTCGAAACTACACAAACTCGACCACAGCTGAGATCTATCCTCCCATTGCTTCCAACGTAGATATCGTTGCAAAAAAATACACAACAAAACAACCAAGCTCTTCAAATGGGAATGACAAAATGTCAGTTGCAGAGAGAATGTCTCAATATGCCAAACAATCCCAAAAACAGATCAGCTCTTCAAGGAAGAAAATGAATAATTCAAAGAGAGGAGAAAGTGCATCTCCACCATCAATGAATTACTCACTGGCTCCACATCGTTCGCCAAAGAAATCAAGCTCTTCACCTCGATTGTCTTTAACGTCTCCCACAAAATCAGACTCAAGTGGTAAACACTCGTATTATAATAGACCACAGTCAAGTCCAGCAGGTTTGAGTAGGTCTTCGTTCTCTCCTCCAAAGCCTGTTAGAGAACATCCTAATCATATTATCAACACAAATATTCCATTATATACCCCTGGTCCAGGAGCTTACAATGTTGAGACAGCAACAAAATATTTACGACCTTCAACTGCAGTTTCAATAGCAAGGAATCCAAGATTTAAGGATGTAGGAGAAACAGGTCCTGGGCCCAATCAGTACGATCCCCAGAAACCACTTAAAAGAATGCCTTCCCCACGATTTGGTTCGAGTAAGCGCCCAGAAATTGTCAAATCAATCACACCAGGCCCTGGTGTGTACTCTGGGAATGACTCTTTTTTGTCTCAAGTGAAGACCACACCAAGATTTTCGTTTCCTCATACACCTCGAGAAATAGAGAGCGAACATCGAACACCAAGTCCAACAAGTTATGCTCCAAAGTATGAAGTCGTTCAAAAAAAGAATCCAACAGTAGCTTTCACAAAATCTCCAAAGCATGAGAGACCGAAATCTACCTCAGCATACACGCCTGGACCTGGAAATTATGGAATACCAAATTCACCCAAGTTGACAAAAACACCAGCATTCAGTTTTCCAAAGTCCGAGCGTTTATTGGATCACAAAAAGCCTGTAGATGCTCTGTACAATGCGCATTCGTCAACGTTCTCTTCAAAAGGTCCTGTAAAGTTTGGAACAAGCAAGAGGTTTCCAACATCCAATTATAAACCGAACGTCCCTTTCTATCAAGCACAACCTGAATGGAGAACAACAAAAGGAGGTACAATTGGAAGAGATAAGAGAAATATTTTGCAAGAATCAATATCTCGAATTATGCCTGGCCCAGGATCGTATACTCCTAACTTTTCAGCGACAGAACGCTCAACTCCAAAACCGGTCTTGTATTTGACGGGTTAACCTCTAGGTCTACTACTATTGTTGCTGCTTAGATGTGGATTGTTAATAATTGAGTCGATATCAAACTCCTAGGTTTAAATAAATTAATTGCATTGTTTATAGAGTTCGCTGTCTCTCAGCCAAAAAACGTCATGAGTGTCAATAGCTGTTTTGTACAATATTGTATTTTGTCCTTGTTGAATGTGTGGATTGTAAACTCCTCGAAATGCCACTGCCATGTTGTCACAAACAACAATGTCACCTGTTTTCCACTTAAGCCTGAAAACTGGACCATTGTCCAAATGGTTAATAAGACATTGGTTCAGTTGCTTGCAGCAAGAGCAGCCCATTGTTTTGATTTTAGTCTCGGGTAAATTAATGGTGTTGTTAATTTCAGTTGGACATTGTTCTGTCGACGAATGATTGCATTCGTCAGTCGACACTAAAAATCCCGATAGAAGTCCTGTATGCAAATACAATCCTTTTTTGCCTGTAACTGGATGTTTTCTAACAAGTGGCTGAACTGAAGAGCTGCTGGGACCTTTGATAATGCTGAACACCTTGCTTGTCTTTTGCTTAACTGCTTCCTCTAATCGCTCATAAGCCAATTGCAAATCAGTGAAGAGTATTTCATCATCTCTGTTGGATAATGCAGCATTCCAAACAGTCACAGGTGTAGGGCAAATCTCATGTCTATAAGCTCCATCACAATTCCAGTAGAAGAAGTTACCAGCAGCAAATGTTGGCTTATCGATATTATATGTGGTTGTGGTTTGATATTGAGAGGAAGAGGAAATTGGCGAGAATGATCTAGAAGGTTCGTATTTCATTAAAGGGGAATAGGGACTTTGCTGAGCTTGGTAGTATGGAGTTAGAGAGGATTGATTGCCATGCAAATTATATTGTTGTTGATATTGTGGTTGTTGACTTGCATAGTTGTATTGTTGTGTAGTGTAAGGAGAGGTTCCATATTGTTGATAGTTGTGTTGATATTGTGGTGATGATTGCATATTTAAAGAGGGAGAATATGGTGTTTGTTGCATTTGCTGTTGTTGACATGGCATGTTATATTGTTGAGGAGATTGAGGATAGGAAACTTTTTGAGGTGAGTTATAAATACTTTGAGTTGCAGAACTGCTGCTGTTAGTGGAGGGTTGTGGTGATGATGGACATGAGGAAATCAGTGCGCATTTAGATAGAACTCGTTGATTCGCAGCTGTATAGTCTGTAGAAACTATTTTCCAAATATCAGGGTGACCTGGAATGTATGTGTCCAGTTCTTGATTCCACAACATTTCTTGATTGTTGACAGGGTATGGATATCTAGCTGTCTCTCCAAATAGTCTTTCACAAAATTGAGTTTGTTCTGTCGGCGAGAGTGGTTTAGAGCATCTAAACAACAGGATGTGATGTTCAATAAGAGCTCTTCGCAATTCAATGATTTCTAGATCGTTCAGTGATTTTGCTCCATTGCTGATATCAACGTTGAAAATTTCTCTCCCGAACGGTAAAGGTCCACATTGTTGTTGTTGCTTTCCGGTAAATGGACAAGTGGTCGTTATAGAACCAAGCGTACCATACAATTTTCTGTATTGAATTCTGCTCTTTCCGTCATTATTCCCAAAAAACGACGTAAATGTAGAGCACAAACAAGAGCCAAGACAAGAAGGCATGTTGTTCAATGATGACTCTATTCCGAATGATTTCAGTTTATAACCGTTAAGAAGAAGATGAATCTAAACAACAACAAGAGCAAAATTCTGTTAGTGCGCCCTTATTGCTTTGTATACGATTCGCAAGGTTGTTGTCGAGAAGGTAAATTTTTTTCTTTTGCAAAAAATATTTTCAGATCCATTTGGATTGATCAAAAGGCTCTTCAGCCAACAACACCTCCATTCATCTCAACAACAACAACAACTAGTACTACGAAGAAGGACAAACACACTCCAAGTAAAGCGCCATTTGAAATTTTGTGCTTGCTCCTGGAAAGATGCGCATTGTGAGTGCGCGTCATCAGTGAGTGCTGAGAACTTGCAAGCATCGTGCGCATCCACACGTGCGCACAAATCTCGCTGCTGCGAATTTTTGAACAAAATTTTCGAAAGGCATCGGCGGGTGAGAGGATGATAGCACTGATTATGGAGAGTGATCGATTTCTCTCAAATGTACGTGGAGAATAGGATGACAATGATCCAGTCTTTTAGACCAAAACAACGCGGTTTATGGGTGATGAAAACTTATGTGAATATTGTTCCCATTGTCTCAAAGTCGAGTTGATGATTCAATTGCAACCCTAATGTCTTTCAACTTATCGAAAATGCAAATAGCCGATGGTGATGGAAACAACGTACGTGTCACAACCAGTCATTGCTTCATTTTCAATGAAGACTGTGCCTAAGGTTGAAAACACAAATGCAACATCTTAGTGTTTTGATTGAGGCAGAACGATGCCATCATCTCTCTCTAAACGAAGCATTCTAAGGAGAGATTTAACCCTTAAGAGAGATCTTGCCTCTGTCCGAAGTCGGCTTTTCTGCTAGAAGTAAAGAACCTCAATAAAATTTAAGGAAGCTTGATCTTTTTAGCTCTCTCGGCTGTTTGTCTGTTTTTTTTGAAATAATCTCTCAGGTACTTTTGAAGGCCGATGAATGTATATTTGCTTTTGAATAAAACAGTTGTGTGGTGAGTTGTCGTTGCCTGAAAAAGCCCGAGGCATATGGTCTGCGCCAATATTCAAACCAAGAATGTCTTGCATACATTTGTGGCCATCAACACACCACAACTCAAATGCGCAGAAATAAGGGTGACCAAAAAGGCATTTTTCAAAAGGGCAACTTCTTCAAGTGTTCACTATTTCCATTTTAGACAAATTAAGGCTTTGACTATGAAAAAAATACCATCAGATCGACAACGCTTTTCAATCGAAGTGTTTGAACCTGACCATATATTCTTAACTAACATTGATCACACTAAGAAAAGGCTATCTGGAAGTATGGAACCACTTTCAGCTCATCCCCTCTATGGAAAGAGTCATGATCATGACGTTGAAGAGAGTAATTGGGATCAAACCAATTCTCTTGAGCAGGTCCATTTGGAACACGAACCGTTGCTACATCAACAACACCATCAACAACTCGCAGACCACAATCAAGAGAATGGCTTTTCCGACAAGAACCTTTCACCGTCCCACTCTGAAAGAAAAGGTTTTCGAATTTATAAGGACCCCACAACGAATCATAACTCAACTGCTTCTGGGACGAACTGCTTTCATAAAGAGGAGAATATCCATAATTCCACATCGTCTCCTGGAGATTTCAATAAGAATCTGGAGCATGTTTCACCTAATACATCATCACCAAGCAATCATTCCAATTGTGAAGCTGCTCTTCTACCAATGATTGCAAAACGAATGGATATTCCAAATGCTTCTTCATTGAAAGATCATATTCAGTTGACCTCTGAAGTTCAATTCATTGTCAAGTCTCCGCAAAGAACAGAAAATCACCCACATGATTCATTCTCAGTGAGTCAGGTTCTTAACAAAGCAGGACTACCCATTAAGAAGAAACCCAAATTAGGAAATCATTGGTCAAGGTCATCCATTGAGAAATTACCTCTATATTCTAAAGGTGCTTCAAGTCCCTCCAATCAATGCTCGAAGGATGAAGTTTCAACCATTCCAAACACAGAGCCAACCTTTCATTCACCGGTATCAAAACCGACAATTCTCACCAAACATCCAAACTCACTATCAAGACTCCAAGCTTTGTCCATCCCTAAAAAAGTTACCCATGACAAAGACTTCTTAGTACCCGACAATTATGTGGATGTTTCATCGAGTTTTCCAAATTCATCTTCACATAATATCAAGCAGTGGCATGGTCTTTCAGAAAAGGACGAGTACGTTCATTCATTGATATCGAACTCTCAGGATGAAGAAGAACTACACAACTTGAAATATGAGCTTGGATCTATGATTTCATATGAAAATAGTAAAACCAAACCACCATTACTAGAAACAATGGAAAATTTCATTCACAATGAATTACAGTACCTCAAATCACAGCTAGTACAAGACAATAACGAAATGGAATTCCAAATAGCAAAAGCCCAGGTAAGTGACTTGTTGGCATGATTTGTTTCATAATACTGATTCACAAATTCTTTTAGGTGTACAAGGAATGTATGAACATTTTTATTGATCACTCCAAAACTTATGGTCCAATCTTGTCCACAGTTGTTCATGAGTTTTCAACAACCATAGAATATTTAAGAGATCACCTTATGTCACTCTCAAAGAAAAATGAAAGTATAAATATTAAAGACGAGAATGCGGTGAAAATGCATCGTCTTTACAGAGAAACATCCAATGAAAATACATCACTCAAAAAAGAAAATGAAGAGTTAGAGAAACAGGTTGCAGTTTTAAAATCAAACGAAAAAGCTTTATTACACACTGTAGACAAGCTTGGTATGGACATTAAATTGCATGAAAAAAGAATGATTGACGAAATTAAGAGAGAAATGCTTTTGAATGATGCCATACAGCATCGAGAACTTAGGGAAGTGGAGATTACAAAAAAACTAAACGAGATGAAATCTGCAGTACAAGAGAAAACAAAGATGGAACGAATGTACTTTGAATCCATGATTGAACTTGATAAAAGAAAAGATATGGTTCCAAAAGGAGATTATCAAAAATTAAAAACAATGCATGATCAATTGGAAAAAGAGCTCGAGTCATTAAAAGTGAAATTTTGTCAGGAACAAAGAGTGAGCAAGTTGCTGCATGAAAAGGTGAATGAAGTCATGCTTACCAATAATGTCTTAGAAGAGAAGTTACTTGATCTTTCAAGATCACATACTCCAAGACCAAAGTGGCAAGAGATTAGACAAGGTCTAAAATTAGACTCATTACCTCTTGATTCCTCCACAGCAGGAAATGTGAATCAACTGTTGCAACGAATGACGAAACTTCAAGCTCTCATCAGAAAACAGCAACGAGAATTACAAGAAAACGCTACAGCATTAGAATTTTTAAAAACTGAAGACATTATCAAGAGTGGGATGTATTCCAGCTGTTTTATCGGACAAGGAACAGGTCCAAATGTCCCCAAGTATCTAAGATTTAGAGGAAAAGTAAGAAATAAGAGATACAGAAAGAAAGAGATTATGAATGTATTGAACGAAGTGTGGAAATTTAGAGCAAAATCGAGAGAGAATCAAAACCAACCAAGGGAATCCTTTGACGATTTCTTTGATGGATTTATAAGCATGAAACTTGGAAAGGTGGGGTCGATCAGAGCAGAATTGGCATACAATATTGTATTTGGATGTGAACATTATTCTTGGGATATGGATTGCTGCTTGTTCCTGAAAATACTTCGAAACGAAATATCAGAGCTTGCATATTTTGCAATGAAAGACATGATTGACAAGCTACACAACGCATTTGTCAAACTTGACGAGACAGAAGGAGGAAGAGCGAAAGGAACAGTTCTAAAAAAGAATGCCAACAAACTAATTGAAGTATTCTTCCAAGGAAAGTTAGAAGAAGACATTCTCAAATTGAAAGGTTTGTTTCTTTGGAATTTTCTTCAAGTTGTCAATTTTTGTTTTTCACATGTGTTTTTAGTGGACATGCACAAAGACCAACCAAACCATGTCATGAACTATGAAAAATTATTTCAACCTGATTCTGATGGTTTTGATTCGAGGTTTCTCACCACTGTAAAACGACAATTCATTTCAGATGTTGAAGAGTATAGCATTGACTGTGCAGAATGGCTTCGAAAGAAAGAAGAGCGTGAAGGCACACTTTCTGTGAGGCGAGTGTATGAGATTTTTGATAAAAAACAAGTGAGCAAAAACTCATTGGAAAACACGATTCGAATTGGTCTCGATCTTGGGCCTGAAGAGGACATTTGTTGGGAACAACCTGTGAACATTGACACCTTTATGAAAAACATTCAAGCGAAAATGTTACTCACAAGAACAACCTATTCGGACAACTCAGACTCATCAGTCTCTGATTTTGATATTGAAAAAGAATTGGAAGCAATGGATGCAAATCAGGAAATTGAGAATTAAGGCTTTTTTAAATTAAAAAAGACTATTTCGTGTACAACTCGACGTCAGACGAATGCATTCTCATTCACATGAAAAAAATGTCAAAAGCAAGAAAGATCGAAGCATCCAGCAACAGCAACAGCAGCAATTCACCCACCCACTCCATTCATTCGGAGAAGAGAAACAAGTCGAACCGACAACGGTCATCATCCTCTCGAACCGATTCAGCAAGTTCTTCGATTGAATCTGAAACTCGTCACGTGGTCAATGAAAATCCTCATAAATCTCCTCTTGAATTTTTATTGAAACGAGGAAGAACAGAAGATTTTCAAGTTATTGCTTGCAATAGTTTTTCACCTTCTTTTGAGTTCTTGGATTCTGTTTCCGTTCAAGAAAAATCGAATAAGAAAATTCAATACATGGAAGGAATTGATGCTCATGGCATTCGTTCTAATGTAGAGGCTTATTCGATCGATATGCATTGTCGAAATTTTGATATATTTGCATCTTGTGAAGGAAGATATGTTTTCATTTGGAAATTAAATTCCAATGGACCTCAACTTGTTCATACCATTAAATTATGCAATCATGATCAAAGTATGAATCTCTATTGTATCCGATGGGGAGTTTGGAATGATAAGGATATTCTTGCAGTGTGCGGAGAGCCAAATTTTGTCATGATTTATGAAATTGATCTAATTTCTAGTGATGATGGAAAAGTCCAATATATTTCCAACTTGTTGGGAGAATTGAAAGGACATGGAAATTCTGTCTATTGTCTAGCCTTTCATCCCGATATTGGAAATGGTTTGATTCTCACTGGAAGCACCGATGATTCCATACGACTTTGGGATTTAAATTTAAATTTTGAAACCATTGCCATCTTTGGAGGTCATGGAGCTGGAATTTGTTGTTTAAGTTTTCATGAGAGTGGAAATTATTTTGTGAGTGGAGGAATGGATAACACATGTCGAGTGTATCATGTACAAGATCGAGTGTGGAAGTATCGAACATTCAAAACAGAATTTAAGCAACAAGTTGAAACTTCCAACAAACTCCATGAGGCTTTCATGAATGAACCCTCCATGAGGATGATGAATGAAACTCAACAACCACAACAACAACCACAAGAAAGATCATGGTTGAATGAAACTCAACAACCACAACAACAGCAAGAGGAAAGAAATGGGTCTTCCTCGTCTTCCTCCTCCAGTTCTTGTAGGTCTTCTTCAATTCGAATTGAACCCATTTCAGTTCCAATTTTACAATCCAAATGTACCTTTAGTTCTCATAAGGGTTTTGTTGATTCATGTCTATTTATGGGAGATGTGATTCTCTCAAAAACATGCACCTCTGAACAATCCACCAATGATCCAGGTGATTCTGTCATTGCATGGGTTCCAGATAGTGTCTTCTTTGAACAAGATGAATCATCCTTTCATATTACCTCTGAGGAAGATGAAGTTTCTATTGTCCATCGATTTAAAGGAAACTCATGCACGTATTGGTGGTTGAAAATGGCACTCAGTGATCGATATTTGGCACGTCCTCTCCAACATGGCACTGTTGAAATCTTTGACCTTACTCATGTGGGGAGAGCATTCTTTACATGTCCTGTGATGCGTCTTGTGCATCCTTCGAATGACTCGGAAGAACAACTCATTCGAGAATGTGTGTTTTCGAGAGGTGGCAAGTATTTGTTGGTCTTGCAACAATCGGGACGTATCACAAGATGGGCTGTGAAGTAGTGAATTTTATATTCAGTTGAGGATTGTGGTGTCATGAGACACTTTGATGTCATGATTCATTGAGACATTGAGACACTTGAACATAATGTACATGACCACACGCTTAAGAACGATCGTTTAGTTGATGTGTGAGATGATATTTATTGAAACACTTTGATGAATTAATTCATTGTAATTGAACATGCTGTGAAGATGCATTTGAAGTTGTCGTGTTTCGAGTCATTGAGTCATTCTCATTGTTGTGGTTTTTTCGAGGACGACCTCTTGGTCGTTTGGGAAGAAGACCTTTCTTGATCATGAGCTCTTGTTTCAACATTTCTTCAGTGTGTTGGATGAAAATTGGTGCATGATCTTGTTGTTCGTCACGAACAAGAAATTCAGACATAAAACTTGTGGGTACCAAATATGGTTTTGAAGAGAGTTTCTTTTGTCGACATGATGATTTCTTTTGAATGTCCTTATCTTCAAGCGTTGGAATTTCATGTCGTTGTTGTTGTGGTTGTTGGGTCATTGGTTTCTTCAAACAGTTTGAAGGATTATGCTCATTGAGGAGAGGAGATATTGTCGTGTCATCATCCTTTCGATGCTTTTGATCGGTTTTCTCTGAAGAAAGAATGAATTCATTCACATCACTTAGAAATGGTGAGCTCGTTGAGGATTGGTAGAGATCATTCATGGATGATGAAGGTAACACGACAAGTGGTGTGTTGTGGAGGGTATGATTAGGAGAAGCATTGGGAAAACTCGAGGCGGTGCTTGTGCGTTTCAATGAAGAGCAGTCTGAAGAAGGTATCTTCATGGACTGCCAAGTTTGTGCCACCGAACAAAGATTATTTTCTACAAACTGGGAATTTTCTGGAGCATTTGTAGTCAAGGATGCATCGATTCGACTTGTATTCGTTTCTGAATGATGTTCTTGTTGTTGTTTAGTTGACAACTGGCAGGTGGACGAATTGACAGAGACTTGGTTTTTCATATTGAATATTGCCCATAACATGAACCATTGATCCTTATTCAAGACATTGAGAGAAGGTGAATGTTTTTCATTGCCACTAACTGAAAGGAAGGGAGGAATATTCGAAACAATGTCATTATTGACATTTTGATCCATATTTTCATGTTTCCAATGGTTGCCTATGGATGATTCAATTATATTTGATTCATTATAAGGACATGAAAGTGAGTGAGAGGAGGTGTTCAAGAGAGAGAAGATATGAAAAGGAAACGACGACGATGAAGATGTTGAATTCATGTCGTTGGTGTTTTGCATTTCTCCATTCATGGATGAAAGGAATGAAATATTAAAGGAATTCATTTGTGTGTTGAAAACAATAGAGAAAGAGAGAGAAATGGTTGAAAACAGCTATTTTCTTCTTCTACATCTACTATTCACCCTGATGATGATGCTATTGAATGATTTTGTAGTACTTCGGCGTGTCAACCCACGTATCGAAAATGCACAAATTTTTTAAAAGGAAATTCCGTATATGATCTAGGGCATTCGTTGTTTCGTTAAACTATTCCTTAAATGTTCCTCAAAAACAGCTGGAAACGCGTTTGTTTCCTTTATAAAGCCATGGTCGCATCTAATTCTGCACCGGCGTATATTCGGATGGAAGTTGAAAAACAACATTTTGGGGCTCAACTGAAAAGAAACCATCCTCTCATCTCATGTTCACGAGATCAACACAAAATCCTTTTTGGCAAGTCTCCAATCAAATGCCATCACCAACATGATCGTTCAATCGTATAATTTTCACCAAAAATGTATTTACATGATCAGAATGGCTTTATTTTTGAGCTGTTTGTGTTTGATTAGCAGTCACACTAGTCTGTTGTTGTGGTGGTTGAGTTTGTTGAGTGTGTTGACTCTGTTGTTGGGTTTGTTGACCTCCTTGTTGTTGTTGAGCATTTCCACCTTGTTGTTGAGAAGCACCTTGTGGTTGAGTTGCTCCACTTCCTTGTTGCTGACCTCCTTGTTGTTGTTGTTGACCTTGCTGTCCAAAGAAGCCTTGAGCTGGATTAGGAACATTAGGAATATTTGGAATATTGAATGTTGGAGGTTGTTGCAAGTTTGGAATATTTGGAATATTGAAGGCACCATTCATTGGACCACTGCTACTACTACTACCCTGTTGTTGAGCAGCTCCACCTTGTTGTGGTCCAAATTGAGGAACTTGGAATTGAGGTGGTGGTGGAATTTGGAATGGAGGGCCTTGTTGTTGAGCACCACTGCCTTGTTGTTGTCCTTGTTGTCCAAAAGATCCAAATGGACCAGATGGTACTTGTTGACTCAATGCCAAATAGGAAATTCTTGAAAGAGAATTATCCAAAGATTGATACGCTTGAGCATAGTCCGACCACTTTTTTCCGAGAGCAGCTGTTGACAATCGATCAGCAGCATCCACAATAGAAGAGGCTAAATCATTGGCACCTGGAGGACCATAAGCAGAAGCATGAGCACCCAATTCACCAGCATGAAGTCTCGTTTGATTGGCAAAGTAGGAAGCGAAGGATTCCAATTTCGATTGTTGGTCTTGTCCTGCTTGTTTGGATTGTTGTTGACTGCTTCCTCCTCCAAATAAGGCATTGGGGTTCACTCCATTAATGGGATCAAAGAGAGGATTGAAATTATTGCCAGAACCACCGCCACCACCGGTATTTGAACCACCGCCACTCAAGAGTCGAGCACAATTTCCAACATATTCCAAATCGACAGAGACCAAATTGGCACCGTGATAGAATGGATTGAAACCATAGATTTGTCCACTGAATCGAAGTCGTTGTTGATTGTTTCCTGCTCCATTGCTGTTATAACTGGCAGTGTATGGATTGTAGCCACTACTGTATCCATAGGGATTGTTACCACTTCCATAGGTTGAATAAGGTCCAATAGCACCTCCCATTCCTCCATATCCTGGATAACCAAATGAATTGCCACTCGAAGGTAAATAAGGAAGGCTATTAATGACACCACCATAACCACCGAATGGATTTCCTCCTAAACCACCAGTTCCAAAGAATGGACCTGAAACACCACCCAATCCACCTGTACCATAAGGAAAGCCTCCATAACCTCCAAAGAATTGTCCAGAACACAAGGTGGACAAGACCAATGAAGTGATCAATAGAGTGGAAATGACCACTTTGAAAATTGTTGATCGCCGTTGCATGTTATTTCGATCGAGTATGTGGCGAATGAAAGGCTATTTAATAATACTCTTGTTGTTATGTTTCTTGATGGGACAAAATTGATGAAAAAGTGTGTATTGTAGTTTGCCAAGGGTGTTTTCAACGTCTTATCAACTGCTTCTCTTTTTTTGATAGTTTTGAAAGCATTAGGTTTGTTTGCATTCGCTTTTGAAATGAATGGTTTTTGAGTAAATTCCACATTACGGCAGGTTGACATGAAAGCCATCTTGCTAGAGTTTGATATGTCCAGATTTTGGACATGGTTCAAAAATGACCTGAGGATAATTGTCTAAAAACACTAAAATAGAACAATGTCTGCTTTTGTTGAAAGACATACTAAACTCAGAGAATTCGGCGCAGTAGAGGTAAAGTGGAAATTCAGCAACGTTATTCAAAAGTAGGGATGAGTGCCACGTCTACAATATTGTATGACATCGATAATAGAATAATTGCTTTATTACTACCTACCAGGAATGTATGGATGTCCGGTTATAGACACTCACCAAGTACCCACTACCTATTTGATTGCATAACCATGAACTAGTTATACCAAATTCCCGCTATCTATTTGATTGCATAACCACAACCACCACAAAATGAGAGTCTTGTTTGTAGGCCAGATGCAGGAATGAGCATTAGTGCAAAGAACGAGAGCACAAGAGGAACACATTGTCGAGTAACACGTGGAAATGTGTGTCTCAATAATAATGCATTATTGAGACACACATTTCCATATGTTACTCGACATGGCAAACTCAGCACTGAAACGACACTGAAGCAGGAACTTTGGCATACAGGAAGAAAACAATAAGGTTGAGGAACCAACACTTGGACACATAATATGGAATAGGAATGTTTAGAGAATACACATGGATTTAGGATTCAAGGAAAGTCGACAAAGATCTATCTTCTGTCATCATATCTTCTTCCACCACGATCATCTCTTCTACGTTCTTCATATCCACCACGTCTGTCACCACCACGTCTATCGTCAAATCTGCCGCCACGATCATCTCTTCTTCCGCGGTCATCAAATCTTCCACCACGTCTATCGTCAAATCTTCTTCCACCACGTCTATCACCACCACGTCTGTCATCAAATCTTCCACCTCTTTCTTTTCTTTGTTTCATTCTGGTGCTCTTTTCTTCATTGACTTTAATATTAACTCCTTGGAATTCGATACCGTCCTTCTTGAGTGCCTCCTTAACTGGATCGGTTGAAGTGAATTGGACAAAGGCGAAACCCTTCTTCTTGCCTGTGTTATTGTTGAGGATTGATAAATATTGTTGGAAAAGTGTCAGGTGTTTAACGAATTAGTCCAAATTGATGGCATCATCAAGCGGAATCCATCATCACATAAATAAAAATTAAATACAAAACAAACAAATAATTTGATGATCATCAAACAATCGTGAGTATCACCAACATACCATTATTATCTTCTGGCATTCTAACTTCTTCAATATCACCACAGTCAGAGAACAAGTTACGGATGTCATCCTTTGTGGCAGAATCAGGCAAATTACCCACGAAAACTTGGTTGGTTCTTCCAGAGAATTCATCTCTAGCCTTTGATTGTTGTAAAGCAACATCTCTTCCATCCATGTTCATAGCCTTCAAAGCAACAACTTTTTGAGCAGATTCAACGTCTTCAAATTCAACAAAGCCATATCCTCTAGATTGGTTACGTTCATTAACTGGAATGTTGACTCTAACAATATTACCATAGCTTGAAAGTCTTTCTCTGATTTGATCCTCGGTGGTGGAATATGGAAGGTTTCTGAGCATTACAGTGTATGGGGCCCTAGCATCATAGTCATACTTTTGCTTCTTGTTGTTATCCTCATCTTGATCTTGTTCATCATCATCCCCTCTCTTTCTCTTTAAGAGGTTATCGTCTTCGTTTTGGTTTTCTTGTTGTTGTTGTTGTTCCTCGTCAGAGTATTGGTTTTCTTCTTCTCTTGGCATGGTGTGATGGTGTTTGTGGTGGTTGGTTGATATTTTTTTCAAAGTTTTTTTTAACGACAAACGTTTTTGAGCGTGAAAGACCTGCAGTGCTCTCTTTGGTAAATGGGTGATTGCGTCCAAACAAATGTTACTCATGAGTTTGAGTTTGTCTGTTGAATGGAACAAAAACAGGACATCCAATCATAGAGATTGGAATCTCACATAATTTTCAATGGTTGAATGAACTCAATTTTTCGTTGATTCACATTATTTTTTGAAGAAGCAAATAGTGTGCAACAATTTTGTTGAACTGACAATCAATCTCTGACAGTTTATTATTGTCTTTGATAGAATGCTTGAAGTGATGTCCTTTCTATTGGTTTTTCCAAATCACAAAATAAAGTCTGACCACCCCAATTTCCAATTGTAACACTCACATAATCTCCAATACCATAATCTCCCCATTTGGGAATGACCACTCTTTTGTTGTTATCAGTTCTTCCAACCCAATAGTTTTCTGGATCTCTCTTTGAACTCGAATCAATTAATACTAATTGTTGAGTTCCAACTTCTTTAGCATATTGTTGTGATAGATTGTTTTTGTAGGTTTGAACTAATTCGTTCAATCGTTGATTCTTAACCTCTGGAGGAACGTCGTCTTGGTAATTTCGATGAGCATGTGTTTTCTCTCTCAAGGAATATGCAAAAAGATATGCCTGATCATATTTGACATAATTCAATAAATCTAATGTTTGTTGATGATCTTCTTCAGTTTCTCCACAAAAACCAGCAATGAAATCTGATGAGAGAGCAACGTTTGGAATTCTTTCCTTAATTCTGTCTACTAACTTTCTATAGGACTCACTTGTATAACCTCTTCGCATTAATTCCAATACTTTGCTACTTCCACTTTGTGCTGGAAGGTGAATTTGTTTACAAATATTTGGAGTCTCACGAATTAGTTCAATAAGATTGTCAGGATAGTCCTTAGGATGCGGACTTGTGTATCGAATTCTCATTTCAGGATCAATTTGTGAGACCTCGTACAATAATTCTGTAAATGTAATTCCTCCAACTTTTGGTTTGTAAATTGATTTAAATCCATCCGTGTTTTCAATGATCTTCTCAGATAAATGAGCATATTTGTCTTGGAATTCGCTTGGAGAAGTGTCACGATATGAGTTCACGTTTTGACCTAATAGAGTAACTTCTTTCACACCATTCTTTGATAGTTGCTTCACTTCCTCTAAAATACTTTTAATATCTCTTGATCGTTCTCTTCCTCTTGTGAATGGAACAATGCAGTACGAGCACATATTGTCACAACCTCTCATAATAGATACAAATGCACTTTTGCCAGTGTCTCCAACACGGATAGGTTCAATATCTGCATATGTTTCATCTTGAGAAAGCATGACATTAATTTGAGCTTGTCTTCCTTCCACCACATCATTACCCTCTTCCGGTTTTCTACGATTTTCCAATTCAGATTCTTCATTCTTTACTAACAGATTTGGCAATTCTCGATATTGATCTGGACCAACCACTACATCAACCATTTTAGTTTCAATGAGTTTAGTTTTCAGTCTCTCAGCCATGCATCCCAGCACGCCTACTTGAACACCACTCACAGGATATAAATCTGGATGAAAATTATGTAATTGCTTATTCATAAATCGTTTCTTCTTCAAATTGTGCAAACGAATCCAAATTTTGTTTTCAGCATTTTCTCTAATTGCACAAGTATTTAAAAGAATAACATCTGCTTCCTCTTCCTTCTCAACCAGTTTGTATCCAGCTTTGTTCATTATACTTAAAATTATTTGTGTATCAGAAACGTTCATCTGACATCCATATGTTTCTATAAAAACACCTCTTTGTTTTGGTGTTGTTGAGAAAGATGGAGAGTTTGATTCTAAAACATCTTGCTCACCATTGTTGGAGGTGACATCCAACTTATTATTCATCGCTTTGTTCATAAAGTACTCCAAACCGGGTCCATTTGTCCATGGTTTTTCCGCACTCGTTGTTTGTTCTTCTTTCCGAGAAATATTTCTCCGAGTACTACTAATAGGAGAAGTATATTTTATGAGGAGGTTGCACTTCTTTTGGTTCCAATGATGATGATGCAAGGATGATGATTTTAAATTCAATCCCGAAGAGGTGTTGCATCTTCTTTTAAACATGGAAGAAAAGCCTTGCTTCATTTTTTTAAATGAATGGTGCTGCCCGCATATGGCCGAGTGGTTTTTCTGGACCTGTGGCAGCCAACTGGTCCAGCGTTCGAATGCCAGGGGTTGCTGCTGTTATCGTGAGCAGTTTAAACACCTTTACTTCCGGGGTGCCTGCTAGGAAGTCACTACGTATCTTACGTTCGGCTTGTAAATAATGTACATATAAACCATCGAACAACGTTTATCATCGAATAAACCCATCCCTGTATTTTTTTAAATGAATGGTTTTTGAAATATTATCAACCGATAGTAAAGATTGGATGGAATCAATAGGGTGCATCCTATGAGACATGATGATCTTGTGTGAACCTATGGAGTTAGTTGTTTGATGGAAAACATTCATTGTAGAGTTTTTTCTGTTGTTGTTATATAATTTCAACGACGACGGAGTTCATTCCTTTGCACAGAAAAAAATGATTCAAGACTTTTCATCGCCAAATTTCTTTTTTCATCACGTGAATCATTAAATTGTTTGGAAATGAGTCATCAATTTTCTCCACTGATATTGGAAAAAGTCAAAGAGGGTGTATTGAGTGTTTGTTTCAACACCTTTGATTTTCTATTGCTCCGAAGAGCAAATTCTGAAATTGTCATTTCGAAAATTATTCTAGAATTTATTGAAAGGAATGTTTATCCATTGAAGAAAGTGAGAAAATTAGTTAAAAATTGTTTTATCTATTGTTCAAAATATTCTCAGAGAAAAATTATTTTATTCGATTGGCTTTTCTATTATCCTCTGCTAGAGAATACAGCATGGAAACAATTAGAAAATAATTTGGTCAAGTTATTTGGCTCTGGAATTTTTGCGATAGAAATTGAGCCAGGAGTGCTCTATATGAAAGAAACCATCAAATATTGTTGTAGACCATACATGAGCGTTGAGAGTTGCTTATTGAGAAGATGCAACAACCCCACAAATTATTTTCAGAAAATTGAAAGTACAAATCTGATAGACTATGACATTGTTGCCTATTTATCTAGGAAAGTTATTGAACAAATTGTGAACGTAGAGGACAGCAAAGAGAGCTTTGAGCAAAACATTCGAAAACACATCAAAAGATCTCAACACGAGCTGAATGACAGAGAGGGGAAGTTTCTGGATATCCTAATTCACACCTTGTTTTCAGAGCTAGAATTTAAAAAACAGCCAACCAGACAAGAAAAGATAATGAAGTTTATTAGTGAGTGGCAAGGAAATGCAAAGTTGGAAATCGTTAAACAGATGAATTTGGAGAAACAAAAACAGTCGACAGATAAACTTTAACAATCAACATGGTTAAATGGGTACCATGTTTGCATTAGCTTTCATGAGAGACACTTATATTGTAAATCCGACTGACAATGGTGAAGGCCGAAAGTTGTGACAAAATTATATTCAGAATGTAAGCGCGGACAGTTTATTCTTTTGCAATGATAGCTGTACCTCTCTGATATATTGAATTCACAGAAAGACTTTCGTCATATTTCAGGAAAAGCGAGCATAACAACTTCTTTCGAGAGGAGTTGTGATAAAGTGGAATCTTAATACGAGAATTGTTGTCTTTCAATTTTGAGTTGTTGCATTCTTCCCACCCAATTTTAAGGAGTGATACTTGAGAGCTCAGATCCTTTCCAAGAGCAAGCTTGTTTTCACTCCAGGTGCAACCTTGTAGAATGAGTCCTTCAATCATAAAAACATCTTTTTGATCATCATTTGATTCTGACCAATCAAATACTTTGAGCTCAAGCTTTTCCAGTGGAATATTGTATTTAGTTGCAGTATATTCTCGTAATGTTGTAAGGTAAGCCTCTGGACTCAATAACCCTCCAAGCCAAACACATCCCCTGTTATTGTTAAATCTTACTTGGGTTGCGAAATTTTCTCTAATTTCATTAAAATGCAACAACCTTTGTGTAAAATCTAAAAACCACATGTTGACTGTTATTCCTTCCAAATATTGATATCCATACGACCACAATGAAGGTGTTACTCCCTTTATCAAATCATTGATCACCTTTCTGTAATAATTGTTGCATTTTATCTTTCGATTATTAATCTTTGTAATATTGATCAAATCAGTTTTAACAATGTTGTAAATTTCGTTGAGTTTCTCAATTTCATTCTTGAAAAACAAGTAAAGTTTTTGGTCATAAAGAGTGGTGGGCTGTGTTGCTAACTTTTCATCAAAGCTAGTGGGGAGCTGATCTAACCAATCAAGAACTGTCTTTTGGATGAATTCAATGGATGAGTCTACCATAGGGGTGGTTACTCGATCTGACACAATAGATTCTAACAGCTCTGCAGAGTCTTCTTCTATCATATCTTTGATTTTAAGGACTTGTCTGATTGTCAAATTTGCAACATTAATATTCGTGAGTTGAGAAATGTTGTGGGGAAGTCCAAGCCACTCTGGTTCTTGTTGTGGAATTGTTTCGATCGCATTCAAGATTTGATCGTATTTTGTGAAATTCATTCCATTCTGACCAATACCAGGTAAAGTAAAACTGCTCTCATAACTTGAAGGTGTAAGAATGTCAGCAATGAATGAATTAAGAATGATTTGATCGTATTCATTATCTATTTTCCCCCCATAAATAGATTCTCCCAACAAAATGTGTAATGCTTTCCATGGAAGAGTCTCAGGTTTCACATTTTGTCTACCTTCTGAAATGAGATCTACCCATTTATCAACAGTGTCAAACGACCATTTAAGATCACTATAATTGATTTCATACTTTTTGGACCAACCTATTGGAGGGTAACTCAAACGCTCTTGAAGAACAGCATGTAGCCATGAAACAAGCATGTACAATTTCGCTCTTTCAACAGGAGGCTTTTCCAAATCGCTTCTTTTGAGATTCGAGAATGTTTGAGAAAGACAGTTTTTGATTCCTTGTGAAGACTCAAATACAAGCGTATATGACATTCGAAGTAAATTGTGATTAATGTTGGCATGAATTTCGCTCGTCAAGAATAGTCTAAATGAATTATGAACAGAATGTTCATATTTAAGAGAGTGAAGTTTCTTTTCCAAAGTATATAGAAAATCAGGATCCAAGTGAACGTTCTTCAGTAATACCCAGCTTCCATGTTTAAAAGCATAACTAATGGCTCTATCAGCTTGCTCATTGGACTCAATGGATCCCATTGCTATGGAGGTACAATGGTGTTGAGAATTGCGAACTAATTCCTCAATGTGAATGGAAGCATCATAACCTGATACAGAAGCAAGAATTAGAGGTGTAAATTTGTCTGCCTCATGTTCCACAATTGAGCTAATATTCCAATCGAGTTCTAAAAAGTTTCTTCCGAATACAGTTCCAATAAATTCTTTCATATATTGAACCAAGAGTTCAGGCTTCAATGTTTTAACAACCATCATTCGTCTATATGCGTCTATAATAGGGTTATGAGAAGGTTCAAAACAATCAGGCAATAGAGTTGTTTCTTCCAAAATGAACTGTTTCCAATGGACTTTGTGTTCCTCAAGGTGTTTAACAATATTACGGAATGGTGAAATTTTTTGTAACTTTTCCATCATGTGGCGTTGAAACTGGCCAAGCACAATGACACCATTTTCATTGAATGCAATGTTCGATGTACCAACCAGATCTTCTAGTAGATACGCTTTTTCTTCATGTGATATTATATTTCCAATTTTGATCTGAGCTAACTTCATAGCTAAAGTCAATCGATCATTATGCAGGAGACTTCTTGAAACTTTTCTATAAATTTCAAAAAACAGTTTTTCTGATAAGAATTCTACTCTATTTTTAACGCTGTCTTGGGAAAGTGCTAAAATCTCATTCAAAGTTTTGATTAATATAGCAAGAGAAAAATAATAGAGAGCATTGATTTCTGAAAGTTGAGTTAACGTAAAGTAGATGGTACTGCAATAAGCTGCTAGCGGACAGAAAACCTCGCTCATGATACTCAAAGTATCAATTACTCTTTCAGATTCTCGTTTCTTATTTTCAATTTCTTTTGAATTATCTTTAAGTTTTTCTAGTGTACCAACAAGTGTTTCATTCTCCAAAATTGATCCTTTTGATGAACTCAATAACGACAGTAGAGTATTTTCGAGTTCTCTTAGTTTGGCCTTATATTCACCTTGGAGCTTTAACTGCTCAGATCTCCGTATATCAATTTCAGGGTTCTCCTTTTGCAGAATGGCAGAAAGGCATTGATTTCTTAAACTTGATGGTGTCACTGAAAAATTAACAAAGGTCACTCTGCTTGACAAGTCTGGTTCATATTGATGTGAGGGATCTCTAGTAGTGAGGATTAAGACAAAAGTTGGAGATAAATCAATATCCTGATTTCCAAGATTTACAATGTTTCTACCTCCTACTTTTTTCACATGCCTATTGAGTACAGGATTCAAAATTGGATCTACATGTTCAGCATCAGTCACCAATAGAGGAGTTCCAAACCTCATAGCATTTTCTAAACTTTTCATGAAGGAGTCATCTGTAAAACTTGTTTTGATAATATTTCTTGGTCTGTAGTAATTATAAATAAACTCTGTCGCTTGGCCTGTTGGGTCAATTATTAACGGGAACTTATTAAATCTTTCCAAAATTACAGCATTTTGTAAGGAAATTTCATCATTGACTGAAAGTTTGTTTGATTCCCAATTGAGTCTCTGCTGAGGGGTTGAGAGATAATCAACCAAGTTAATATTTTCCTTGTACTCAATGTTGAATTTGGTTAAAATAGATACCCATATATACATTAGATTCTTTCTATTTTGTTCATCAAAGAATCCAGAATAGGCTAAAAATGCTGCTGAAAGTATTGAATCTCCTAGTAGAGTGAGCTGTTGTTTGTGGTACTGTCCAATTTGTTCTGACCATCTTGTGGCCTCTTGTGAAAGACTTTCAATGAGTGATTTTGATCTTATTACTTTTGACTTGACAATATTAATTTCCATTTCAATAGATTTGGTTTCTTGAACCAACATAGTGTACTCATTTGTGAACTCATTGATTTTGGTTTTTAGCTCTCTAATGACTTGTTGAATTTGATGCTCTTTTTCTTGAAGAATTTCGCTTTCTTTTTCTAATGCGAGTACCTCAGCCTTAAGTGGAGCAATCTTTTCTACAATGTCAGAGTATTTAACACATGAAGAGAGCCATAAAATAAGAGGGCCACATGCCTTGCTAGCATTGAATACTTTTGATTCCTCCAAATTTGGGTCATCCAAGTATTGTTGTTGTAGTCGGACCCTTAACTTTCGAGGTATGTTGTTTGCATCAGGCTCAAACGTTCGAATATTTGTAATAAAATCCAATGAACTGACAACTTTTTTGATGTCTTGCCATGCAGGTACACTCTTCTCCCAATCATTTGGGCTTAATAGAATGATAACCGCTTCTAAGGCCTTTTTGACTATAGGAGGAGGATTGTTGAACGCTCTAAGTTCCTGGATATGTTTGGCTTCAATTTTTTTCACTTCTTCTCTCGATTTCAACAGTAAAGGTTGCACTTCGTCGAGCTCTTTTTGACTTTGAGTCTTTCTCTTATTAATTCCGACACTTTTTTCTTCTAATTGTTGAGATAAAAGTATCGATTGTTGCTTCTTGTTTTCAGCATCTTTTTGATTTTCAACAATTTGATCAAGTTTTTCTTTTGCTTGAGCATTCTTGATATGTAGTTTGACCTCCTGTTCTTTCAACTGATTTTGAAGAGAAATGACATAATCTTCTGTATCCTTTAGGCGTTTTAATCCTCTTTCAGTGTGAGTTTGTTGTTCCTGGATCTCTTTTCGTTTTTCCCAATATATTTGATCCAACTGTTTGATGAAATCGAGGAAATGTCTTGGTGATAAAAATAATTTCTTTCCTGATTTGCGTTCCCAATCCATTCCAACCTTTTCTACACAATAATTCATTTGAACTAAGGCATCCGAAATTGTTGTAATATTGGTAGTATCTTTTGAAAAGAAGTCTTTTGTAATCTTACTTGTAAATGAGGAAGCAATTTCTTGAAGACCTTGATAGGGCCATGATCCAAACCAATCAATTACACATCGGTTGAACAAAGCTGGAGAAGTTGCAGCTCTTGACTTGAAATCTGCATTTGCTGGATTAATAGTGAACACAATATGAAGATTCTTTTGAACTTGTGTAACAAACCACTGATAGATCTCCTCAGGAGTATCAAGGTTCAAAACGTTGCTCATAGTTGCAGCATCCTTGCACATGTTGATAAGATTGGTATATTCATCAGCTTCAAAAAGACCAGGGACTTCACCACTTGCTAATAGTGAGTTCATATATTCGAGGAAGCTTGGTTTTAGAATATTTGATTCATCAAAAATGAAGCAAATCTTTTCATCTTTGCATCCAGAACGTCTGAGTACTTTACGTAAATCTTCTTCAAAGTCCTTAATTCCATAATTTTTATGTGCTTTGATTTGAAAGACACTAAAATCGTTCATCCAAGCACAAAATCTTGCAAGCAACGCTCTTCCAGTTCCACTATGTCCACACAGTAGGAGATGACCAAGTGGTTGTTTCAACACACGGTCAATTCTCAACATGTGTTCCATAACGGAATCAAAGAGAACCAAATGCACATCATATTCTTCTTCAGAGAATAATTTCAATTTCTGCTCTAGGAATAACTTCAACTCTTGTTTTTCAACAGAATTGTAACTATTAGAGAGCCACTTGCAAAACATGATTGGTCTTTGGAGAGCACTCTCAGTAATCATTGGAAAATGTTTCAAAAGGATCGAGTCCAATGTTCTGTCGGTCCATTGTCGTTCTTCGTCTGAGACCAATCGATCACTGAAAATTCGTAATCCCTCATGCGCCAACAATCGTACATAATCATCCAAGGATACAAAATTGATATTCTTCAGACCTTCTTGAAGAGCTCGAATCCATCGACTGAGTTCTCTTGGGCTGTAAATGTAGTGAAGTTGTTGCTCGGTGGTGAATTGGTTCCGCGAGCTTAAATAAAATTCGACCATGGCTTTTGTTGATGGCTCTACGTGTTGAGACAAGTTTGGAAGTTTGTGGAGGATGGCCTTCAAAAAGGTTCTATAAATTTGTTTGAGAGACTCTTCTTCAGGGAAATCTACAAACAGTAGAGGACAATGTCTCATAAATCTCAAGCTTAAAGAGGTTCTTCCGGAATCTGTTGGAGGATTGCATGACCCTACAAACATGATCCTTTCCAATTTGATCCATGAAAGATCAGAATATCTCCAAAATCCACCATGCTCAATTAATTGGCGCATGAATGTTATGACTCTTTGAGTTCCATAATTATCATTTGTTGGCAAGTTAATTTCATCACAAAACACGATTAACCACTTTCCATTTTGATTTGGATGCATGATTAATCCATTTGGTGTGTTCGTTACTTTGCAATACAACTCTAATGACTTCAAAATCAGGGAAGATGTTGTAGCACTTGAAAAGTTCAAGAAGCAACTCTCCACATTGGAAAGAGATTTCAACACAGAGGTCAACAAGAAAGTTTTACCGCTTCCTGGAGGACCACACAAAATGATTGGTTTTCGGTCATGAATCCATGTTTCAACGAGATGGTCATTTCGTACCGTATCGAGAGTAGGAATCATGGAATTACCAAGTATCTTGTTATCGTCTACAAACACCTCCTTTGGAACTCTTCGTGAAAAAGGTATCCATTCTCCATCGTTGATATTCACTTCAAAGTCTGTGAGATCCTTTCCAGCAGCTATTGTGGAAGGAAGATCAATTCGACCTTCAATATTGGAAATTAGAAAATCTGCAAATTTCTTTCTCATATTGGTGTTGCAAGAACTAGAAAAGGCCCATAAAGTCGCAAATAGAAATCTATTGGATATGTACTTTCGAAAGACTTCATCACTCATTGGGAAATCTAAATGTGTGAAATTGTAATCTTGTACAGCCTTAATACTCTCATTGATAAAAGAGAATAAGGAAGTAAGAGATCGAATAGCAGAATATTCCATGACATGTTCAAGTTGTTTCGAAAAGGAAATGCATTTCGTAATGAAATTGTGGAAAAATGGTGAAATAATATTTGCCACTTTCTGTTGAATGAAACGTAATTGTGATGGCTCGGATGTAGAGTTGTCCGAAGAAAGAGTTTGTAGGTAGTTGTAAACAATCATTTGTTCAGTTAAAATATCATCATTAAAGAAAATCATTCCACAACGACTGACAGTCGCCATTGTTGCATACTTCAAATCATGCGTTTCGAAAACGATTCTCACATTTTCTGTGAGAGCTAATCGTTCTCCGTTGGGTAGAGTAAATAATTTGTTATCATCAAGTACACTATTCAGGTTTTCCACCCAATCTGGATCAACATCGCCATCAAATATAATCCAATGTCTAGTTGAACGTTCCTGTGAGTTAATAATTTTTCTCAAAATATTCGTAAATACACCATCAGTCCATTCTCTAGTGACAGGATCAAGTCTTCCATAGAGTTCATCTTTAGTGAGAGCCTTTGGATCAATGACATGATATTTGCCAGAAATTCCTTCATAATTCTCTAATGCTTTCAGCAATACTTTCCATGTAGTAGATTTGGCACTGGCACTTGGTCCAACTAAAATAAATCCATGATGGAGTGTTTGAATGTTATAAAGTTGAATAAGCTTACTCATCCATTTTTCATCTGGTAGCAAATGCTCCTTGTTGCATGTTTCAATGATACATCTTTTAAGGTCTTGCAAAGAGCTCTCTTCCGTGTCAACTCCTGGAAAAATATTTGACACCAGTGATGCAAGTTGGAGAACATCACGTCCAACTAGTTTGGGAATGATGGTATTTTGGATGCTTTGTATCAAAATTTTAGATTCGGATGAATGGTTTGAAAGATCATTTCGTTTTAAATATCCTGCATTGATCAAGACGCTTTTTAAAGCCCGTAGTCCAAAATCATAATGAGATTGCTGGGAGAGTTCATCTCTACACAAATCAAAAAATAGAACAGTTTTTCTGGCGAGAGATTCTGCATCCTTAAATCCTTGTGAATATAAAATTACTTGAGCAATTAGTTCCTTATCAGGTTTTACCATAGCAACACTTCTAAATAGCTGTTTGAGGTTATCAGGTAAATTTGATCTGCCTGCATATCCAGGGTTCATTGTTATAAATATACCAGTAGCTTCATGTATCGAACATCTTTTTCCTATTAACTCAATCTCAGTTTTTCGATCTCTAAGAGCAGTTTGAATGGTCTGGATTTGTTGTGATACAGCCGACATGATTTTTTCGTTAAGTCTGTTGAACTCGTCAAAACATCCCCACGCTCCACATTGACAAAGACCAAGGAAAATTCTGCCCATTGCCTTACTGTCAAACGTGTCATCACAATTAAACACTAGAACAAATCTTGCTAGTTGAGCTCCAAGAGATTTGACTGTTTCTGTTTTTCCTGTACCTGCAGGTCCAAATGGTGATCCTCCTAGTCTTGAATGGAGTGCTTGAGTAAGAGCTAAATAGCACTTATCAGTAAGTGGAGTTTGTACTAGTTTTTCAAGTACACCGAGATATTCAAATCCATAATAAAATTCTGCGTTAGCAATTTTAACAACAAGTTTCTCCTTCACATTTTGGCCATGCTCATTCCAATAAAATCTCATATGATAGAGCCAATCAAAATTCTTATTACTCTTGAGATTGGATGTGATTAATTGCTTTGTCACTGTTTTTTGATGGACCAATTCATTAATTAATTGTTCACACTTTTTTCTTCGCAAAGTATTTTCAGGACCAAAACATGATAAAGACATGTCAGTTAAATTTTCAAGTAGCTCAACTACTTTTTGATATACAAGAAATAGATTGCAAGAAGCAGATTGAAGCTGTCTTTCCATAAGAAAAGTCCAACACACTTGAGCAGAAGTAACAATTACTTGAGTTGGAAAACTTGACATCCAATTAGCCAACTCTTTAGCGCTTATTCTATCATGTGCCAACAATTCTTGCAACATTCTAATTGACCGATCCATGAGTAGGCCAAGAGTATGTCGCATTTCTTCCTCTAAATTGGCCAAAAATACGTGAACAGAATCATTGGAATTGAAAGGAATTTCGTTCTCTAATTTAACAATCTCAGACTCTCTTGAACACATTGAAATTGCCTTATGGTCTCTAAATTCAAGAGATGAAATTCCAGAGAACATTTTCTTAAGATGTTTTTGCAATTTTTGCGGATCATTAGAGTTTCCAATAATTTCAAGTAAATCTTCGTCTCCAACAAAGTAAAATCTCGGGAATGCAGCCCTTTGTTTTTCTAAATATTCTCCTAAAGATTTTTGAAGCTTATTTAACTGTTCTGAAAGCTTTTCTAATGAAGGTACAACATTTGGAATGTTAATAACCTGAGAACAAAGAGGATTCGCATGAATTTTTCTCATCAAAGACACGAATTCATGTTCAATAGATTGAAATCTTTGGGCTTCTTTTGGGAGTTGATATTGAATATCAACATTACCTGAAAAAACGCCTTCTAAATAAACCCATACTCTTTGAACATCACTTAGTACATCACACAATACTCTCATTCTGTTAACTTTGGTTTCCAAAGATGAGCATTCATCTTCGAAAGCTTTGAAGAAAGGCGAGTTTCTCATGGATGAAAACGTCTTTAAATTGTCCATTATTTGTGTTGAAACTTCGTCCCAAGATTTTACAAGATAACACTTGTTGCTGTAATTTGTGAGATCAAATTTCATAGTGTTCCATAAATCTCGAGATTGAGAAAGGTAAATCTCAAGTCCGAATTCTCCACGAGCTTTTTCAAGGATAGCACGAACTATTTTCTCATAGCTTAGAATTTTGCAATCCCAAATGTCTCCAAGTGTCAGTTGAGTCAAGACCCAATTTGCTCCAATCAATTTTCTTAACTCTATCCAATGACGTTCTTTCATACACTCTTCTTTTAGAGAACGTAAAATGGCCATTTCCTTTAAGTGTTGTTCTATTATTGTAATAAGATTTTCAACTGAAGAATAGGTTAACATCCATGGATTCAACTTTTTCACTCTTTCAATTAGCTCTGTAAGTTTGTTATGAACAGTCTTACAAATTATACTGTTGAAAGCTTGATCCCTTAGAATGTTTAGCTCAGTCCATATGGAGTGCACTGAAGTCCAAACATCTTTCAAGTTTTGTAATTCTTCAGAATAAGCATCAAGTTTATCCACTTTCAATATATCCATATCTAAGGCTTCTCTACTTGTACAAATGTTCATGTGTTCTCTCTTCAGTTGAGAAAGTTTGCTCTCAAGATAATCTAATTGCTTGAGAGCTTCTTGTGGTTCCACATTTCCTTCAAGAGGTCGTTTTAATTTCCATTCATTTGAAAATTGATCCATCATAATAAAGAGTTTCTTTTCTTCGCTTAGAAGATTCTTTGTTATCTGATCTTTCATTGACCTTACTGATTCATTCTTCAAATCTGCAATCTGCTTAAGTGCTTTCCACTCGCTTTCAACATTATCAGAAAAAATCCATCCTTCTGGGAGTTTACAATTGTAATCAATGATGAGCTTTTCTCCTTCTTTGAATAATTTAATATTAAATTCCCAAGTACTGAACTGTTTCTTAATATTTTTGATTTGACCCAAAAATTTGATGGCATCTTGTGTGCTTCTCTCCACTCTTGCGCTCTCTATTTCGTCTCTCTGCTTGGAAATGCTGTTAAAAACATTTTTCATGGATTCTTTCATTTCCGTAGAGACTCTTAAAAGTATTTGTCGCAAAGTATCATCAAACTTAACATTAAGCTTTTCGTATACGTCCCTGTAGTTTACCACTATTGGCCCAAAATCTTTTGAATAAAGTCCATTCTCTGATACGAGTTTTGCTTTGGAAAAATCTTGCAAGAGTTGAATCCAGGATTCAAGTTCATTGAACTCTGACATTACTTGCCCAATGTCCATGTCCCACATGGATTGATATTGCAGCCATTGTTGGACATATTTATCTGTCTTTCGTGAAGACTTTTGGACCAAAACAAAAATTGAGTGTAACTTTTCTTCAGAAACTCTTTCCAATAAGTATTTAAACGTTTTTCTCTTTTCAGATGTGAATGCCTTGTCATAGCGATCACTCTGAATAACGCATAAATCGCAAATCCAAGATAGACATGTACTCAATTTTGATGTCCAGTACGCTTGTGCCCTATGCACTGAAGGAATTACCTTCATTGATCTATTAACAATCTTAATTTCAATTTCAAATTTTGAAATATTAAGCTGAGAGAAAATGGAACAATCTTCAACATTTTCGTGATAATTTTGCTCTTTGGCTTCAAAGTCTTCGTCTAGTTTGTTAGGTTCGTCGAGGGTTGGACTGTACATGCTTTGGAATTCTGAGAGCCACATATCCATTAATTCATTCAATCGAGCCAGCAAAATAGTTTCAATATTGTCGTTGAGAATCTTCACCCAATTTGACAAATTCCCAACTTCCCCTCCCAATGCAAGAGAATCAACAATCTTTTGAATATCAGAAAGTATTGATTCTAGCTTGTTGTATGTAATTTTGCATGACCGTAACGTTTCTAAATGTTCATAAATGTTGCCCACTTTAAGAACCAACTCGTGAATATTTGATGAAAACTTGTTTAGCTCTTCATACAGCTCCTTTGAATACTTTTCTAACTTGGTACTTCTCCAAGTTAACTCAAACCCCTCTGAAAGCTTTTGGTAAACATTTTTCAAATATTTGGATGTAAGTGGTACTATATCGCTTCGATCATCAATCTTTTTCATTGTCTTCTTGAAGGTTTTAAGGCTTTCCATCAATGACATTGCTATTGGATGAATAATGGCCGCTTCTGAAGCAACATTCTTTATCTCCGGTTTAACTCTAATATCGATTTCAAGAGAAGACATATTTCGAACCTCCTTAATCAGTATTCCAATATCCTTGTCAAAATTAACTCGTATGTCCATCTTTTCGCCTTTGTTTTTCATTATTTCAAAAATAAATCCCTTAACAGAAACAGTGCTATCACTTAGATGAAATATCTTCCACTTAAAGAGCTTTTCGATTATTTCATTGTTCCATCTTTCAATAACTGTATAGATATTTCCATTGAGCTTATTTTTGAATCGTTCTCCTTCTTTTCTTAAGTTGTTCTCTTCAATGTGGCGAGTTCCGACTTTTTCTTCTTGGAGAAGCTCAAATGCAATTGGAACAATATCACCATAGGGGCTCTTAGTTTTTTCAAGCTCTCTTTTCAAAATTTCCTTGCTCTCAATAGCTATATATCTCCACTGTGACTCAGAGTCAGGATAAACAAGCTCAAGAAATGCAAGAGATAATGCTGTTCCAATGATTTCTTGTTTGGAAATTTGACCTAAGATTGGATGATTTGAAATTTTAGATTGCATCAATGAGAAAGATACACCCATAAACTCCGCCAAAGATTCGTTGAAGCCCCACAAGCAATCCTTTTTCCGTAAAATTTTTAGCCTTTCCCAACCGTTACCGAAAACATCATCCACTCTTTTCATATAAGTTATTAATTGATTTTCAATTTGTCTAGCCCAAATTACAAATCCAGATATCGAGGGTAAATCACGTAATTTGCTCATTTTCTCGGTTTCGGAGAATGAATAGTGTTGTTTAAATTTGTCTTCGAGTTTCGAAATATCCTCTTTCACTCTTTGTACTAATTGTTCTTGATATTGTTGAATTGCGCTTCGAATGCGAGGCTTGTAAAACAAGGGATTGAATTTAGAGAAAATTCTAAACATCTCACTGGCAGTCTTGGCAACTCCGAGATGGTCAGAAAGCTTTCGTGCGATCACATTTTCAGCTTTGTCAATCTTTTCATGATAGGATTTCAGGGCATTTTTCCAAGTGGCTTGTCCCTCTGAGGACGTGTCAAAGATTTTGTCTTCCAATGCTTTCAACTCTTCGAAGGCCTTGTTTACTTGTTCCAAAACGCTAGTTTCACGTTGATCTGACATTGTGTTTAGAAATACTTTCTCAATGACTGCTCTTAATTCTTCATGTTGAACCCTAAAATTTCTAATTTCTTCTATTCGTTTTTGAAGTCCTACATGTTCAAGCTTGCTTATCTCCATTTTCTGTTTTTTTCTGGTTACGTCTGTGACAATCTTACAAAACGTTTTGATGTCAGAATCCAACGTTGTAAACAATTCAATACAGTTTTTTGAAATATGGTCGAAATCATCAAACTGCATAAATAATAGCTGCATAGACCTCAAAATTTCTAAGAGTTTCTCGTTTACATCTCTGGAAAACGCTTCAACCAATTTGATAGCTCTCATCATTGGATAAGACTCCTTGTTTTGATAAATTTTTGATTTGTTTAGCAATGTAAACATTTGTGCTATGGTAGCCGTTATTTTGTCGATATCTTTAGCTGACAAAAACTCGGAAATAGGTAAATCTTGCATTAATGAACTGCATTCTTTTGCTCTCATCAACATCTCCTCTATACCTGTGGTGTTCAAAGCCGTGAAAGCCTGCATTCTTCTCGTATTTTTCAAAATATGAAGTGTGTAGATTATCTCTTGGCTTTTCATGCCTTGATCAACTTTGGAAAGAACTTTTTCAAAGTCACTCCAAAATTTAATTTCATGAGACACACTATGGATGTTTATGTCCCTGAAAAGGTTGCTAATAGAACATTTTTCAAAATTAATGACTTACTCTGCACGTTGTATTAAAACTCTAATTTCCTGAGCTAGTTGAAGAGACATTTTGCTGATTTCTTCTACCACCTTGGTTTCGTTTTTCAGCTTGGTGATTTTATCGCTTAGTGAGTCCAAAGTGGCACCTTTTTTAATCAAGTCTTTTATATCAGAATGAACAAAATCAAACACGTTGAGCTCAGGTATTGAAAACGATTGACATTGATGACTAATCTCAAGCCTCAGAGACTTGATTGTTTCCAGCACTGATCCTGATATTCTTTTTTCATTTCTTTTTTCTAGTGCTGATAAATAAGGTTCAAATCCAAAAGATAAATAAGAGTTGAGATTTTGAAAAGGATTTCGCTGGCTGTTCAATTCGACCACTTGGAGTAGAGTGGTCAATTTTTTCCCTTCCAAGAGTTGGTCTGTAAAGTTCTTTTCATCTGTTTTTATGAAACAAACTAGCCAAGAATTTTCCTTAAATTCAAGTTCACTGCTAATATTGTAGTCGTATAGCAATTCCTCTGTCATCAATAAACAATATTATTTTAAAGATGAATCTCCATGATTCTACTTTACCTTCTCCAAGTTGATGTTCAGAGTCTTCTAGTCTTTGATGTTCGACTCTAAGGCTCTTTTGAAGATAGAGAGCAGGATAAGCATTCTCAAAGAGAAACAAGGAAATGATCTCTCGCTTTTCCAAGCTTCGGAATTGTGTTTTCAATTGATTCCGATCACAATCAATAAGTAATACTCCTACATTTACTATAAATTCAATACATTGGCTGATGAGCAAGTCCTTATTTTCTCTATGCCCTGTATTTTGTATCATTTTTTTGTTGTGCCAAGAAAGCACCCGCGCCAACCACTACAACAACAAGTCTGAGAATCGATCGGAAGCTTCGCCGTCTCCATGTTGAGTTTTATAGTTGCGTTCGTTCCTTCAAACTCAAGGCCTTTTTTAGATAATACAATCGTAAATCTAAAAATTGTAAATCGTTCAAATGTAATTGTTCTTTACAAACATCACGGTAGGGAGGTTTAATAGCCTTTGCCAAATCATTTTCAACGATTTTAATTTTGTCTTCAATAGCTTGCTTTCTTTTATAAAGTTCTGGTAAATCTTCTCGTGTCATGGTGTATGTTTCGTATTGCAACGTTCTCACACGAATGTTGTTGTCTCTCTTTAATCGACATTTCAAATAATTTGCAATATCTTTTTGGCAAAATTTATCATACTTTTTTTTAGTTTGACATAGCACAGTGTTTTCCCACAAGTCTTCACAAAAATCAATACCATCAAAAAGCTGATCGGGAATGTCTGATGGTAAACTTTGTTCGCTAATTCCACTGGGATAGGCCATATCAAATTCGGAGAAGAAATAATTGTGTGAACGAAGATGTTCGAATCCATGTGGTAATTCTTCTTTTGAAAAATCCAGAACGTCTTCGGGAAACTCGGGTTCAATATATTCCCAAGCATGAAATCTCTTACGACGCAGGTGATGATTGGATGGAAGCATTTTTTATGATTCTTTTTTTTGATTCTCGATCAATTTGCTGATGAAAGCATTTTCAGTCTTATAGATGGCAAACATTCTCAAGAACATGCTGCATTTACACCTTAAAACCTTTTGCAAATACATAAGTTTCACTTGATTCGGATCTTGATGAAGCAGGTTTTATGAATTGCACATCTTCAAAGTATTGTTTAAGCTCGTTCCTCAAAACACTATCTTCAGATCCGCTGAAGATCTTTCAATTTAAATAATTAACATGCACAACAAAATAATAATCAACATACTTTCATCAACAAGCATCCTCCTTGTTTTAAAACCTCAAATGCAAAATCAATGGCCGCATTACACAAGAAAATAATTCTTCAAATTTTTCACATCATTTTCTGGTCATTACTGGATGCACTTACCTGTTGTGATCGAGAGTTTTCACTCCGCTTGTGTTTGGTGCCATGTCAGATAAAATACAATCTGCATATTCATCTTCATTCAAATAACTCCTTATTTGTGGAATACTCTCTTCAAATTTTCCTTTCAAATGAATAATTTTAATGTTCTTATTTTCTGGAGATTGAATTGGCTCCATGTCAAGGATATCAATAGTGATTAATTTACTGTTCGATTTCATTTTCTCAGCTGCCACCTGGGACCAACTTGGGATTCATCACAATGCATTAATGTGAAATAATTGATCCATTAATCGACTCATGGTCGGATTCATCACAAAGAATTATTTTTGAAAAATTAAAAAACAACAGAATCAACTTTACCTTCCAGGAGCAGCACCCAAATCAATAATTATTTTGCTCTTTTCCAAAAACTTTCCGCATTTCTCATTAATTTCCAATAACTTGTAGGCTAAAAATTAATCAATCAATATTATTTAATTCCGATGCCAACCTACCAGCTCTTGACCTGTATCCTTCAATTTTTGCTTTCTTTACAAAGGCATCTCGTCTCTGCCTTTCCAACCAACGACCCGAGCTCTTTGTTAATGAAGAGTACTTTCGGAATGATGGTGTCGATATCATTGTTTCACAATACATTTGTTGGAGGATTGGACATGGTGATGATGTGACGGAGGAATTGCGAAATAATTTTAAGAGGCCAAGTTGGTGAAAAGGTGATCGGCGTAATTTGTTCATTTTTTGATTTGTGTTGTTTGTTCGGGAATTTATGAATACCAGCACCAGAAAGCCTCAATTTGACATAACCATTCTGCAGAATCAGTATCGGATCAGGCCAAGCTACCATTCATCGTTCATCGTTGATGATCTCTTGAAAATGGATATCGACTCTGAGGTTCCTTCGCTGAAGGCAACGTTCGCCTTAAGGAAAACTCTTAAAAAATATTTGGAGTGCCTCAAACCCTCAAGATGATGCTTTCACGAGGAGCGATGCAAGATTGCATCAACCGAATGGTACGAGTCTACGAAGAAACATCGGGCCAAAAATTGGACGGAGATGAAAATGAAACAGAAGGGCTTACTCCTTTTGATGCCTGTAAATATCTTATAGCGAAAAAGATCATGGCAACGAGAGAGGTATGTACTTTAATTGAAATAGGATGATGATTTTTGAATGATTTAATACAACAGAAAATTAAACAACGAGACAACACGAAGGGAGGAGTTACTGTGAGAGCAAGGCTCAGCAATGACTTGCGGAAGATGATATCGGCCATTAAGAACGACGACCTCCAAAAAATTATTAAGATACATGAGAAGAGCGCAAAGAAACGATTCTTGAAGAAAGTGGACCCCGAACTCATAAAAGCTCAAAAGAATGATATAGAGCTTATTAAAAAACATATATTGGAACTTGAACTGCTGTCAAAGAGAAAATACGACAAAGACAGTAAGAAAAATCCAAAGGAGGATACGACAACATCTCACCTTCTTGAAGGGGCAGATGATCTCGATAATGAAAACAAATCAAGTGGAGTCATGGACGGTGTTGTTTTGGAGCAGAATCTTCCTGATGATGCCACCAAGTCTCAACTTCCTACTATTGATATTTCCCAAGCAATGCTGAAGGTACAGGATATGCAAAAACAAATTGATCAAGGACTTGATGTTTTCAGTAAGAAGCTGGACGATCTTCATCAAATGTCGTTAGATATTGGGAACGAACTGAATGAACAAAACAGACTTTTAGAACAGATCGACAAGAAAGTCGAAGAAGAGGTTACCAAGCTCAAGAATCTTAATGCAAAAGTTGACAACGCTCTTGATAAGGTCGGAGGATCCAACAAAATCATGTGTATTATTTGCATTGCCATTATTATTGTGGTGTGCGCTGCTGCTGCATTGATCTTCCTAATCTCCTATTTTTGAGCAGCTCCCGCTTGAAAAAAATTGAATCAAATAACCGTAAAGATTTCATAAAAAATGTCAAATCATGTCCTTTCTCAAGATTAGTCATCAATCGTTGGTTCCGTTCCATGAACGACACGGAAACCATCAATATACCAAGCACACAAACTTTAATTTACTAATCAACACCTCATCAGTTAATGAAATAACAAAATCGCAGTCAACAACCCTTTCATCCACAAAACCTACCAAACAAACAAAAACAACTCATGCAGAACCTCGTAATATTACGAGCAGCAAATTTTCATCACTCCGAACGTCAATTTCTCCTCTTTCACTTGTGACCCTGGATCCCTTACAAATTCCGCAGGACACAAAAAGAAGAGGAAGAATACCTTTTCTTCAGGAAGAGGTTGATGAAGAACCTAAAAGGTTCGATTTACCACCAGTTGTAAATATCCAACACACAAAAAACAAAGACACTGAGTCAACCGATTCAGAGAACGATGAAAACAAAGAGGAACAAGTCATTACACTAGATTTGGCAAATGATCTAATGACCATTAATTTAGTAAACAAGAATGAACAAAAGCAAGATGGTGCGACATCACTTCAGCCAGAGACAGATAGTGAATCAAAAGAAATTCATCCTCCTATAAATGAGGTTACCTCCATTCTGGTCAATGCCATTGATGAACTGAACACAGATACACGAAGATCGCAATCAGTGACAACACCAGATTTAATTTCGAACAATCTAAACAGATTGTTACGATCTGAATCAAGGCTGTCAGAGATTAGCATGCATGAAAAGACTTTCAACACCTCAAATATCTCAATGATGAATGCAGATCCTTCCTTAGCAAAAGACATGATCGCGAGAGAAAAAGCACAGCTGGTTCTTAAGAAATTTCTCAATGATAAGGAAAGAGAAGAAAGGAACAAGTTGAAAGTTGAGAAATTGAGGAAAGAGATTGAAGAAAGTAGAGCAAACATTGAAAAATGGAGAGAGAAAAAAGAATTGCAAAATACTTCAATCCGAAAATCTGTCAAAATGACAAAGGAACTCATAAAAGAAAGAGACATGGAAATGGAAATTATTAGAAAAATTAAAAGTATAAAACGAAGGAAAGGCAGTAATGAAGCAAAAGAAAAGCTGAAAAGTATCGAGGATCATTCGAAATTTTTTGTTTGTCAAAACAATATGCTTGCAAAACAAATGATTGCAAAACATGCTTTGAAAAAGAGGCAACTTCAGCTTGAGGAGAATTTCCTGAATGTGTATGAAAAAAGAATGAAGGAAGTTCAATCAAAAGCTCAGACTGATGCTTTAAATCTTTATGAGCTTGACGAAAAGAAACATATCAATAGAAAAAGAAAGGAAATTGCCTTGTCTCAGTTAGACATGGTTAAACAAGCACAGGTTGAGAAATTACAAACAAAGATGCTTAAAGTTAAGGTTGACAAATATCTGGGTGAATTGGAAAAATCAAAACGACAAGAAGAGTTACGGATGGAAAGAGAGTTAAGAAGCATGCAGAGAAAGCAACAAAAAGAAGCTAAAAAATTGGAAAAAGAAAGTCAACAACGTAGAAACTTTAAGTTTATCAAGGAACTTAGTATGCAAGAAATAATAAGACAACCAGAAAAAGACGATGATCAATCCTCAGATTCGTCCTATTTCACAGAGAGTGACGGCGAAGATGCTCCAATTGTTATCGTTATGAAATCTCAAAAACCAGCTGTTGGAAACATTAACATTGATTTAAGCAAAATTAATACTCAACGGCCTTGTACAGACAGTGAAAAGTATGACACAGCTAGATCATCTCTAAGCGCACGCCTTAGTATTGGCAACTTTTCACCTCGAGTCCTAGACCAAAACCTGTCCAGTCAACAATTGTCGTCCCCTAGAGATTTTGAAACATCATCGTTAAGGAAAGAGCATTCCAATCTCTTCAACACCATTGGTATTTCAAGCCAATTCTTATAAGAATTTTATATGTTTACTAAGGTAGAGTGGTTTTTAATAGTCTTATAAGGGGATTGATTTACCATCTGGACCGATCATTGCTGCACTCATGTAATCATCTTCATCTTCCTGTGTAGGGGCTGGCTTACGTTCAAGATCAATAAGAGCCAATGTAAAGGCATTACCACATGCAACTTGTAACTTCTTTCCAGGTACTAATTGAGGTGTCAATTTAATCACGTCTTGTGTGCCGTGTTGACCTGTTGTTCCCAATTGATAATACCAATTTCCTCCCATTGTATAAACGCATCGCCTGTTGATTGGTAGGAAGGCAACATGATTTCTTCCTGCAGAGCATTCTATCACTCGAACACCTTTTCCAAAATTCACTTCGTGAGGAAGATACACATTTTTACCCCAAATAAAACCACGTCCATCTTGAGTCACACATGCTGTAATGGAGTCTCCAAGAGCAACATCCCTCACCTTAATATCATTTTCTACAAATCGTGGAATTAGTTTTGGTGTGGATTCGCAATCAAATTGAGATGGTCTCAATGATTCCATTCCCAATTGTTGGGCATCATGTCTACCAAACATGTATAATTTACCATTCGAATCAATAAGAGCTGAATAATTCTTTCCCATCCTAATTTTTGAAAATACTGTCTTTTTTGTGCCACCATTTTCAATATCATCTTCATACATATCAAGTGGTGTTGGGAGTGCCTTCGAATCCGAGTTTCCAAGACCCAATCTACCCCATTCTCCCTTACCCCAAACATATACTTGAGAAGTTTCATTACTATCTTTTGGACCACAAATCACACCGATGTGATAGTCACCACACGCAACTTGTTTTACAAACTCTCCTTTCAATGCTTCTACTTGTTTTGGAAAAGGAGATAATCCATATCCAAAGATATTAAATCCAGAATGACCAAGAGCAGATTGATTAAAAGGACTTCCACTAAATCCCCATGTATACAATCTTCCTTCATCATCAATGGCAGCACAATGATAGCCTCCACATTGTATGTCAACAATTGGTCTTAAATTGAAATATTTTGGATCCACCAACACAGGAGCTGCATGTGAATGGTTATTGTCTTGTGCAAGCTGATATTCTGCTCCTCTTCCCCAGGCATATACGAATCCATCTTCAGTAAGAGCAAGGGCATGTTGTGCACTGGCTGCGGTTGATATTTTCTTGACTGTCTTTTCGTGGAACCAATAGGAATCAATAAAAGATGGAGAAGAGAGTTTTTCAATTCCGAAAGTATTTAAACCCAATTGTCCTTCATTATTTTGTCCCCAAGACATGACTTGAGTGCCCTTGTTAGGAACAATATATATTCGATCAGAGTCGATATTTGTCTTTTTTGAAAAGAAGGATCGATAGGAATTGTTGAGTTGATGGTTTGGGAGAGTATTTGAATGATGATGATGGACGCACATATTGTTGATGAACAAAAACGAAGAAGAGCCTTTTTCAAGTTTGTTGTTGAGAGAAAAACCATGTCGGAAGAGGCTTGATGAACAACGAGCACCACCACTCTGATAAATTCTGTGGTGAAGCATTTTTTTTGGTTTTTTGATTGGACAGAGCTCTGTTTCTGGTTTTTTAATGGCCCTTACTATCAATTTCGTTCCAACATAACACCACTTGATCCTTTTATTGTCTAAGCCCATAAAAAAAATTGGTCAAGCTCAAGCTCTTGTTTGATGTTAAAACTCCCAAAGTTTGCCTCCTGATCAGGAAAAGCAATATGAGAGTCATTCAATATGAATAGAAATCAATGGTTGTAATGCCAATATTTGAACCTCAATAGAAACTTTCGTCTAACTGGACCGGATCAATTGTGTCCATTGTGATGACGTGCAAGAAGAATTTTAACGTTAAATTTTGGCGCAAAACTTTGCAAAATTCAATTTCTGTTGGAATTTGATTTTTAAAAAATTTAGCGACCGTTAGAAATTCAAACACCAAAGACTTTCTCATCATCACTGAATTCTTTAAATTCTATCATAAATCATCACCATGGGAATTAAAGGACTTGCCAATCTCATCCTCGATGAAGCAAAACAAGCTGTCCGAGAAGATGAATTGAAAAACTATTTCGGAAGAAAAGTTGCCATTGATGCATCCATGGCCATGTATCAATTCTTGATTGCTCTCAAAAACTCTGGAATGGATCTCACCAATGAACAAGGAGAGGTTACCAATCACCTTCAAGGCTTACTCGCCCGTACCACCAAAATGTTAGAGTATGGTATCAAGCCTTGTTATGTCTTTGATGGTAAACCTCCCGAATTGAAATCTGGAGAATTGGAAAAGAGAAGAGAAAAACAAAAAGAAGCCATGGAACAATTTGCTTTGGCTTCCGAAGAGGGTGATGAAGAAAAGATGGTCATGTGGAACAAGCGGACGGCTCGACTCACCAAAGAGCAATCGAATGATGGCAAAAAATTGTTGAGACTCATGGGTGTGCCTATTGTGGAAGCACCTGGAGAAGCTGAGGCTCAATGTGCAGAATTGTGTCGAGGTGGACTTGTCTATGCAACAGCTACAGAGGATATGGATGCATTGACCTATGCAACACCTGTTCTTGTGAGACATTTAACATTTTCTGAGGCTAGAAAACAACCTCTACAAGAATTTTCATTGAAACAAGTATTGGAAGGATTAGGAGTGACTGAGGATCAATTTATTGATATTTGTATATTATGTGGATGTGATTATTGTGACTCTATAAAAGGTATAGGACCAAAGAAAGCTCTCTCCATGATTAAAAAGTATGGAAATATTGAAACATTATTGAAAAATATTGAAGGAAAGAAATTTACACCACCTGAACTGTTTCCCTATGAAGAAGTGAGAACAATTTTTAAGAATCCAGATGTAATACCAGCATCAGAAATTGCAGATCAATTGAAATGGACAGAACCTGATGAAGAAGGTTTGATACAATTTTTGGTGAAGGAAAAACAATTTGATGAAGAGCGAGTGAGAGGATACATTAAACGAATCAAAGCTAGTCGAGGAAAACCAACTCAGACACGACTCGATGGATTCTTTAAAGCCTCAGCATCCTCCTCACAAACAGTCAAAAAGGACACAAAGAAAGACGTCAAGAAAGAGGACAAGAAGAGAAAGGGTGCGCCAAGTAGTGGTAGCAGCGCTGCTAGCTCTTCAAAGAAAAAGAAATAAAAAACTGCAACAGATGTTTATTCGAATGCCAATGCACTGACCCTATCGAATGGAAATTCACATGTTGTTCAAAGAGAGAAGGTTGTCGTGGCAATTCTTGCACACTTTTTACAAACTTGTCAATGTGAACTTGTTCACGCCTTCAATTTTCAGACTCTGAAAACCTCAATCATTGGGAATGCCTTAAAAGCAAAATCTATACTCAAACACGTGTGTTCTTGAGAGAACTATGACTACTTGGTCATGTCGTGAATTATTTCTATCTATGATTACTTGTGGTGGCATCAAGAGTTGTATGATGATTATATTTGACTAGTTTTGGACTATTGATCATGCGATCTTCATCATCAACATGTTGAGTCTCTTCGTCCTGTTCTTCGTCATCGCTTCGAGTGTCCATTCGTTCCTCCAAAAGATGTTTTCTTTTTCCAGAAAAATTAAATGTTTGTGGAAGGGGAATCGAAGAAGAGAATTGATTCAGTGAACTTGCTGCTGTTGATGAAGGAGAAGACTGAATCATGATTGGGTTAAATGGTTGTTGTTGTTGTTGTGGAATCATGAAAGAGGAGGATGAGACTCTCATTGAAGAAGACAATGATGGGAGGAGGATTGTACCATTCTGGAAAGAGGAAATGCCATTTTGGTTCAACAAGGATGTATTACTCCAAGGATGATGATACCTTGAATTCAAAGTAGTAGTACTATTCATGGTAGTACTATTCGTGGTGGTTGTAATTAAACTACTACTAAACTGTGTGTAATGATCTTCTTCTTCGTCACACAATCCTCTCCTCTGACACACAATGTGAATATCAATGAGACATTTTCTCTGCTGTACATTCCATAGAGATGGCATTTCAATAATTTCTTTTTGATAAATCAATACCTTATCTTTCCAAATTTCTCTAAATTTACGTTTCGTATAACTCTTCTTATTTTCACCATAACAAAATCTTGCAGGTACTACTTTGAGACCCATTCCACTTTGATGATCATCTTCCCACATTCCAAAATAAACAACACCATCATCTCTCTTATAAGTTCCAAAACCATGCATTTTATCGTCACGCCAATGACCAATGTATTTACCACCCGTGGGCCATTCATAGACACCCACTCCATTTTGTTTACCATTTTTGAACATTCCCACATAGTGATTGCCATCACCCCATGAATATTCACCTTTTCCTTCCATTTTGTCTTCAAACTGTTGTTGTTGTTGATAAATAAGGTTGAAAAGTTGTTGTTGTTGATAAAAAGTATGTGAGTGAGTGTGAGTGTACAAGGTGTACAATGTTTACAAGGTGTACAAGGTGTACAATGGTTTCAGGTGAGTGATATGATCGATAGGAATGTATATACATGTTTCATAAGATTAAGGTTTAAAAATATATACAAAAAAGAACACTTACCCATGATCCTTTGTAATATCCTCCTCCAGCAAAATACATAATTCCTTTACCATGTCGTTCACCTTTTTGATTGACTTCTCCTTCGTATCGACCTGCAGTGGTTGTCACAATGACTCGAGAAAGACCTGAAGAGGAATTGCTACTACTACTACTTGTTAAGGTGTTACTCGGAGTAGTAGTGGGAGTGTTGATAGGAGTGTTGATAGGAGTAGTGTTACCAATAGTAGTAGTAGTAGTAGTAGTGGGAGTACCAAGCATGGTGGTTGGATGGGTAGTTGTGTTTCTTGTGGACACCATTTCAGAAAGAACATTTGTCACACTATTCGAAGAGTTGTTATTGTTGTTGGTAATATTAGTCGTCGTATAGTAGTGAGAATAATGAGAGGAGGAGGATGATCTTGGTTGTATTTGAATGGGAGTGTCACTGTGTTCATCCAATCGAGAGGTTGTTGTTGTTGTTGGAGTAGTCCTCTCCATGGGACTTGTCATGACACTACTTTTTGAACTCTCCATCATGTTCATCATTACCACTCTCGAAGGTTGTAATTGCATGCTATTTTGTTGTGGTGGTGGTGGTGGAGAGTATAAAGATGATGAAAATTGTTCTTCTTCTTCTTGTTGTGATCGTACAAAACTACTATTACTTCTAAAGGATGACGATGAGGGTTGATGTGTGGTGGTAGGAGCGAACGTGATTAACATGTTGTTGTGACAGTTGTTGGACTGAACCTCAGTTGAAGAAGGAACATGTTCATCCTCATCACTCATCATGACAATACTACTACTCGATGGATGATGTAATTGTGGTGGTGGTGGTGGTGGTGGTGTTTGGTTTCGTTGTTGTTGTTGTTGTTGAGAAGAAGAAGAAGAATAACTGCAGCATGACAGTTGCATGAAATGTTGTCGTGTGGAGGAAATGGTGGCTGCCGAACAAGAAGAAGAACATGAGGGTGAATATTCATCTTCTTCTTGAATGGACACATCGGATTGCAAGCATTGGTCCTCCTCCTCCTCCTCCTCCTCTTGATCTTCTTGATGAGGGATGAGAGCATTGTGACAAGAATTCTCAGCAACAACAACAACACCATTCTTTGTATTCTTGTTGTTGTTGTTGTATGAGAGTGATAGTGAGGATGATGATAAGGATGATTCAGGTCGTAATGAATGATGAGCCATCATGGTGGTGGTGTTTGTTCTGGTTGTTGGTAGTGTTGTTGTTGTTGTTGTATTCTCAACCATGACGACAACGACAGGATCAAGATGATCTTGTTCATGGTCGTCATCCTTGTCGAACATGAAATTCGTCGTCGTCAAACCATTAGGATTGGAGGCAGTCATCACGATTCTATTCTTGTTGTTGGTAGTGTTGTTGGTAGTGTTGTTAAAGAGAATGGTGGTGGAATGAGGAAGAGACTTGTCTTGTTGTATTTCTTCTTCTTGAAAGGATGAAGAATGGGATGGCGGTGGCGATGGTGATGCAGCATCAAAGAAGAAGCCTTGATGATGTTGTATGACAGCAACAACTGTTGTCAATGAATTTGTTGGGGAGGATGACAATGTCTCTTCTTGTTGTTGTTGATTGGTTGTGGTTGTTGTGGTTGTTGTATGGAAGGGATGCATTTCTTCCATACGACTCAAGAGTGCGGGTGTTTGTGATGAGGATGGCCTATTTCTTCCGTTTTTAGTTTCTGTGTTGGATGGCCGATCCGAGAGAGAGAGCGAGAGAGTGTGAATGTGACTTTCTTTTTTTTAAGAGATTTTGTTGATGGGACAGTCCCTCTCAAATTCACAACCACCACCACCACCACCGCTGGATTTGTATTTTGTGCAAATTGAAACCGCCAAAAAGAGCGCGGTGAATGATTCATGAAGCTCGATTGATTGGTGGAATATTGTTGTGGTGCATGTGGTTGAAAAGTGTAACAACTCATCGATGGGAAAAGAGAGGACAATAATGACTCTAGGAAAGGTCCATGTGGTCTAATGCATCACCGAAATGAAAACATGTTGTTGTTTCATATGAAATCAAAGCAGCATGTTCTTTTCACCACCCCCTTCGTGACGTGTTCATCTGACTTTCCCTCTCGCTGACATACAACGCAAGCGAAATGACTTTGGAAAAGAACACACGAGTTGCTACTTCACGAATGTGAACAGCTGGTCCTTAACAGGTGAAGATTCAATTTGGAGTGATGCATGACAATTTCCTCTCACAACAACAGTCGTTCAAGAAGTGGTGGAGACCAAACAGCGAGTGCGGTATCATGTTCATTTCCTCAAAAAATGATGTCAATAGATGGACAAGTTCAACTTGTCAAATATTTGGGTTGGATGGGTTGGGCACAAACCTACAAGCTGTTTTCCCGCAACTGTATCTGATCGCTTTATAGGTTAATTTATAGGTTAATTTACAGGTTGTTAAAGCAGAGCTAACAACCTTTTCCGACGATGATCATGTAAATCAAGATTTAATGGATGTTTATTATTAAGCTCAGTGCTAATTTAGATTCCCAACAAATCAATGTTACAACCTCATCTCCACTCTAGCGCTGGAAGGTATTACCAAAACTACCAAATGAACCAAATGTACCACTTCCAAATCCTCCTGCAGTGGTGGTGTTTGAACTGAATGGTGGTGAATTGCTGGATTGTTGTAAGAATGAAGAGGTTGTTGAGGATGAATTGGCAGCAATTTCACTGAATGGACTAGCACCACTAGTGGCAGTACCACCACTCAATGTACTAAATGCACTCGATCCACTCGAACTGACATTTGAAAATGATCCAAATCCACCACTACCAAATCCTCCACTTCCAAATCCACCACCTGTTGAGGATTGACTTGAATGAGGAGGAGCAGTGGTGTTGTTGTTGTTGTTGTTGACAATGGTATTCGATTTGTTCGATCCAAATCCTGACTGACCAAATGCAGCACCTCCTGTTTTGCTTGTATCCGATTGGAATGAAGTATTTGATAAGGAAGAGAATGAAGAGGGCTGACCAAATCCACCACCACTACCAAATCCTCCTGTTCCTGTTGTGTTTCTTCCTGAATCAAATGAAAATATACCACCTGATCCAAACGAGTTATTGGATACAAATGAGAAGGGTGTGTTTGAACTTGTGGATGGATTGGAGAAGGGTGCATTCTGAGTACTTGGAGGTTCAAAGAAGCTACTACTACTACTACTACTACCAGTATTACTACCAGTAGTACCTCTGCCCATAGAACTACTTGTAGAGGTTGGGAATACACTTGAAATGGCACTTTTTTGAGTCGATCCCATACTCGTATTGATGAAACCAAAAGAAGTATTACTGCTGCCACTGCCACCACTGCCACTCATAGCACCACCACTCGAACCACCACCACCACTAGGATTGCTGTTCGTTGATAAAAATGAAGTAAATGAAGGCTGAGAGGACATTGAAGAGGAGGTACTGCCACTCGAGGTGGTTGTGCCTCCCAAAGAGAGTGATCCTATGCCAACAACATCTCCACCCATGTCTTCATCCATGTCATTTTCATCTGTTGTTTTCTGAGATGGTTGTTGCAGAACTTGAGATGCAACTGCAGCATTTGACATGGGTAGAGTTGGACCCAACGATCCTCCAGTTCTAGTGGATGATGAGGTGAATGAAGGAGAACCTGTCGTAGTTGTTGTAATGGCATTAGTAGTAGTAGCTGTTGTGGTGGTGGTGGTGGTATTTGTGGGATTGGATTGTTGAGTGTTGTTGTTGTTGGGTACAACAGCTGTTGTACTAGTGCTGCTGCTGCTGTTGGTGCTGCTGTTGGTGCTGCTGGAACCTGTTGTGGAATCTGTTGTGGAATCTGTTGTGGAATCTGTTGTACTTTCCTTAGTCTCTCCAATCTTTTGTGGTGGTTGCTGAGCAATGGTAGTTTTTGTTGATGAGACTTCAGAAGAAGGTGAAGTCTGTTGGTTCTCACTCACAGCTCTGGTTGTACTACTAGTCGTTGATGGTGATGAATTTGTTGAAGGTGGCTGCTGACTATTGTTGCTTGGTGGTTCCATAAAAGCCTTGCTTGATGAGATTTCTTGTTGTTCCTTATTAGTAACAACACCAACAACGACTGGGATGCTGCTGCTGGTGGCGACTGATGTCCAGGAGGATTCTGGTGTTGTTCTTGTTGTTGTTGGAGCAGTCTCAGCCTGAGTTTTACTACTGGTGGTTGTTCCCGTATTAGCAGAGGAAGTGGTGCTGCTGGATAGAGTTGATGATTCTTTTTCATCTCTCGCCATTGTATTGGAAGAGAAGAGAGAAGTGCTGGAGGTGGTGGTGCTAGTGGTGAATGGTTTTGATTGAACATTTGTTGTGGTGCTTGTCAATGATGGAAATGATAAATTAAAACCAGAAGGTGTTGTAGAAGCATTGGTGGTGCTTGAAGACATACTAGGTATGGACTTGGAATCAGTGCTGCTGCTACTGCTGGGAGGAGTATCAAAGAATTTAACAATGCCAGTGCTCGTGCTTCCTGTATTCTTTTCTGGAGTAATAGTACTAGTAATAGCACCAATAGTAATAGCACCAGTACTACTACTATTGGTTGTTGAGGAGGTGGTAGGGTTGGTTAATTTGGTTGTTGAGAAAGAGGAAGGGAAAATGGATGAAACATCTTTTGATTGAGCACTACTGACATTACCACTGGTACTACTACTGGTAGTGTTCGGTGTGAATGCAAATGGATTGTTTGTACCTTGTGCGAGTGAGGGAGTAGTAGTTGTGGCTGTTGTGAATGGTTTTAGAGTGTTGCTGCTGTTCAACAAGGTTGTCGAGCCACTATTAATAGTGGAAGTGGTTGTTGGTACTTGTTTTGGAGTAACACCTGTTGACGATTCTGCACTTTGATTCTTTTCATCCTTTTTAGTATCTGTCAATGTTGGGAATGTCTTTGAATCCTTTCCAAGAAGAACATTGACGCCTCCTCCGAATGCACCTGTCGTTGAAGTGTTGAAAGATGATGGCATGGCAAATGTCGTTGATGGCTTGGATGTAATCATATTCGGTTGCACTTGTACGGAAGTAGTAGCAGCAGTAGTAGCAGTGGGTTGTGTTGGTTGCTGCTTATTCAGCATGCCCAAGTTAAAACCTCCATTAGTAGAGGTGGAACCTGTCAATGACGATGATGGTTGATTTTGGAATTCTGTTGTTGTTTCAAAGAGTGGTGGTTTTTGAGAAGAAGGTGCTACTATTGTACTCTTCAAATCTTTGTGAGAAGAGGTAGTGGTGGTGGTATTAGTGGTGGTATTAGAATGAGGTGGTGAAATGAAAAGAGTACCTCCACCACCTCCATTGGATACCTTTCTCTTTGCATCTCTTTCTTCTTGTTGACTCTTTTCCTCTAAGAGGTCAACTTGTTCATCGTCGTCGTCTTCTTCTTCGAGTAGAGATGGTGAGTGTTCAATAAACGAGTCATTGAGAGGATTGGCAATAGGACTCACTGCTTCACCTTCCTCATCGTAAATAATTTCTTCATCCTCTTCTTCAGAACCATCATCATCACCATCACCACTGAAGAATGGTTCCTCTTCCTCCTCCTCTTCTTCATAGTAATCCAACAATTCCTCTTGTTCTTGTACGGAAGAAATAGGTTTCAATGGTTTTACATTGGTATCAGGTTTTCTCTGATTAAGCAATTGTTTTAGACGGTCAAATTTAGACAATGTGCCACTTGATACAAGTTGGTTGCCATAACTTTTACGTGCTGCTGCCATCATGAGCGAAGAGGTGATCGTATTGTTTTTGCCTTTTTGTTCATGCGGATGCGAGATGGAACTTAAAGTTTTTCTTTTCTTTTCCAATAATTGTAAGACTCTTTCTCTGCATTCATTAGCCTTTTTTCTCTGAAAATTCAATGTGTCTTGAAGGCACAATAATGTTGGAAGTTTTTTAAGAGGCACATGTTTCTTTTTCAAAATTAATTCTTGCAAACGATCAATATTCAACAAGACATTGGAATACTTTTGATCAATCATATCTTTGAGAGTTTGAGCATCTTCATCGAGACCTCTAGGAGCCATGACATGTATGGTGGTCTTTTGTCTTTGCTGTTCATTGAGTTCTTGGAGTTGACGATCTAAAAAGGATGCCAATGCACGATCTTTGACATGTCGATCCAAGAGTTGAGAGACTTTCTGTGGGAGAGTATTCGTGTCATCATCCTTCTTGATGACATTCTTTGAAATATTCTCAATATTAATTTTTAATACTCTCAAATCTTCACTGGTAAAGTTAAAGTCATTATCTGCGTGTTCTTCAATGGCTTGAATGTTTGAAATGAGTGATTGAAATCTTTTCATCTTGGAATGACTCTCTTCAATGACTCGATTAATAAATTCTAAAATTTTCTTATCTGCTTGAGAGGATGCCATGGATTTGATTCTAGTCAAATCCTTTTTCACGTTATTTTCATAAGCAGCAAGTGTGGATTTGAGATCTTTTGAAACATTTCTTCTTGGTGCTTGTTGTAACTGAATAGAAGGTCGTGAGATTAATTTAGAAGATGGTAATACCACTTGCTTGTTTGATTTAGGCTTGACTTTTTGAGGAGTGAGTGGTTTCTTCTTCAATGATGCAGACGAAGGTACAACCATTTTGGTTGATGTTTGGCTCGTTTTTGAATATGTTGGTTGCTGCTGCAGAGGATGTTTTGTCATTTCACTCGTCTTTTTTGCAAGTTGAGTCACAGTTGGGATTGTGGTCAATGAGGGTTGAGTCGTGAGTGTTGTTGTTTGTTGAGATGTACCAGTACTCACTGAAGGTTGATTTTGAGTGAAGATGAATGATGATGGTGGTGTTGTCTTTTTGGGTGCATGGATATCCAAAGGTGTTGTTGTTGCTGTTGCACTACTAATGCTACTAGTACCACCACCACTACCAGCACCACCCATATTAAAAGTACTACTGCTACCACTGGTCATGGTAGGAGGTACAAAAGATTGTGTTTTTGGTGGTAGAGTAAAATCAGTCTTGTTGCCACTGCCACCACTTTGAATGGCTGAAAAGTTGAACATGGAACTGCCAATACCAGCATTAGAAGGAGTTGTTGTTGTTGGTGGTGCTGAAAAGCCTCCGAAAGTATTGTTGAAGCTTGGAAACTTGGATGCTGGTGATTCCACTTTGGTTTGATTTGAACTCAATGGTGTTGTTGTACTTGCAGTATGATTACCAGTGAAAGGAGGAAGAGTACTAGTCATGCCTCCAGTCGTGGTCATGACAGGTGGTAGCGTGGATGTTGTGGTTGTTGTTGTTGGTGGTGGTGTTGTCTTCTCTTCCAGTGGCACCAATTCATTCACTTGTTCAATATTCACCTTTTCAATCTTGTAATCATTTGGATATGCCTTTGTTTCTCCAAATTTAGCAAAATAATAAACAGCATGTTCACCTGATGTTAAATAAGCATGAACTAGAGGTGGTGTTGGATGATCTCCTTCAGATTTTTCTCTAATATTAGGTACTGTCTTGTTATAGCATAGATCAATATCAAATCCAATTGGGAATGCATCTTCCTCGGCATATCTAGGAAAAGTATCCACGGGTAATTTCAAAGGAACTAATTCAAAGACATTGGTTTCAGAATTCTTTGTAAATACTGCAATTTTAAAATCAGTACTTGATGTAGCAAGTAACACTTTCCAATGAGAGAGATAGTAGGAATAAATTCTACTACTTGGATCTTGTCTTCCTTCGTTGGCAAAAAAGGTATCTGTGTTCACAAAATTTGTAACAAATGATTCTTGGTAATTCTCTGTATCTATAGTAAAGATACAAAACTCTAAATAGGAAGAGTTGTCTACCAATGAGCAACAAGCATGATCATCATCAAACCAATTCAATGAATAAATGTGTTGATTCTCTTGCTCATTGATTTGGCATTTTGCTAAGAGTTGATCCGAATCAAAATCCACTAAACAAATACTTCCATCTTTTGTTCCTACCAGTAATCTTGATTGATGTATTTCTTTAGAATTTGAACTAACAGTGGATACCTTATCGATACATTTCAATGTAGTGCTCTTCAAATGGCTCAAATTAGAATAATCTAAAAAAATGCACTTTTCATCAGAGGTTACGATAAATAATTTAGAAGTCTTTGAAGCATCAAATTCAAAAATATCTTGTTCTAGAGTATGTTTGTGAGTTTTGAAATTGATAGCATTCTCAATCTTGTCTGGAATGATCATTTCAATTATTATTAATTCTTTTTGTAATCCAATAAATAAAAACATTCCATCTTCAGAGAATTTGATAATATTCGGAGTAATAGATTTTGTATCATAGCAATATAAAGATTGATTGGAAGATGTTTTTTTCAAATGTTCATGTACATATGCGAGTGATGATATATGAACTCCTTTATCGCTTACATGAGCATAGAGGCCAAGAGCATTAGAGATGGTAAAAAATTCTCGAGAAAATATGGATGGTTGGGTGAGAAAAGACTTTGCAGCCTCATGTTCCAAAAGAAACAAGTCTTTAGAAAGTTCTCGAAATCCAAAAGCATCTGTTTCCTCCGTTTCTTCAATAAAGGAAAGATCCACGTTGGAGAGTGCTACACTAGTGTCCGACATTGATTTTTTCCTTCAATAATAATTATTTGAATGATTGAAAAGGCCTCTGATGATGATAATATTTTTTATCAAAAAGATGATAGTTGTTTTCAGCTAAAAAGAAGTAGAAGGACAAAACTATGAATATTGGCGTTATTACTATAATTCTTTTGGAAATTAATGAGAGACGGTAATTGATTTGTGTTTCAACAAGAATTCGATGAGAAACAAGTAAAGAGCACCTGTGGCAAACGGTGCAAACGTATTTTTTCTTCTCTTAAAAATGAAAAAAGAAATCTTATGGAGGGAATTCGAGCTGAAGCTAATGAGCGAGAAACCAATTCTCTTAGGCCAGTTTCAAAGCTTATTCAACTAAATGATTGAACATTTATTGGCATGTTGGTCAAAATGTCAAAACGTGTTTTGGGGATTGTTCCGGAACATATTCAATTTCATTCAACAACGAATTGACCAACTTGGCCGATACGCCGATGTAAATTGATTGTGTCGGAAATTTTTTTGTAAACGGAATTTGTGATTCCCTCTCTGGAAGCAATCAAATGATTAAAATTCAACACAACTCCATCTCAGGACTCTGAAATCAGTCTGAATTAGTTTCATGCATTGGTAATCCCTTGTTGCAGTGGAAGTCTCTCATCACACATTACCTCTCTCTTTCGTGCTCTCTGAAAATCACCATAATTGATTCTGATAGGAATTGAACACCATCCAATCAACTTGGAAAAAGCCTTCATAAAGAAAGGCCGCACAGCACCTACCTTCAAAAATTCTTTGAAAAAAAAATCAACAACATCTACCTTACCTCTATCCCACCACCTATACATCATGTTCAGAGGCAACCAATTTCTGCGACAAATCAAGAAGAGCCAACATTCCCTCTTCTCCTTGCAACAACAACAATTGAGAAATAAGATTATTGGTATTGACTTGGGTACCACTAACAGCTGTGTAGCTGTCATGGAAAGCAATAAGAATGCTCGTGTGATTGAAAATGATATCGGTGCCAGAACGACTCCATCCGTTGTAGCCTTCGATAAAGATGGAAACCTCTTGGTCGGTGCTTTAGCCAAGAGACAAGCAGTAACTAACCCAAAGAATACACTCACAGCCATTAAGAGATTAATTGGTCGTCGTTTCGATGATCCAATGACCAAGCGTGATATGGAAATTGTGCCATATGAAATTATTCGTGGTCCAAACGGTGATGCTTGGGTCAGAGCTGGCGGAAAGGATTTATCACCTTCTCAAGTCAGTGCTTTCATTTTGCAAAAGATGAAGGAAACAGCTGAAAGTTACTTGGGAGAGAAGGTTAGTCAAGCCATTGTTACCGTTCCAGCTTACTTTAACGATTCTCAAAGACAAGCCACTAAAGATGCCGGTACCATTGCTGGTTTGACGGTTGAACGTATTATCAACGAACCAACTGCTGCTGCTTTGGCTTACGGATTGGATACATCCAAACACGGCATCATTGCTGTTTACGATTTGGGAGGTGGTACTTTTGATATTTCAATCTTGGAAATTCAAGGTAAGTTGATGATGATTTTCATGATGATGATCTCATGTGTGCGTTTGTTCGTTACGGAATATCGTCTCATGTTACACGGAATTTATTCGGGATGAATTTTCTTTTATCGGAATTTCCATATATTCAATATTAACCTAACATCACGATAATGTATACAACAACAGATGGAGTTTTCGAAGTCAAGGCTACCAATGGTGATACATTCTTGGGAGGTGAAGACTTTGATCATAAAGTTGCTGAATGGCTGATTAGCGACTTTAAGGCCAAGGAAGGAGTTGATTTGTCAAAGGATCCAATGTCTTTGCAACGTATCCGAGAAGCTGCTGAAAAGGCAAAGATTGAATTGTCCAGTGCTCAATCCACAGATATTAACTTGCCATTCATTTGCTCCACTCCAGAAGGTCCAAAGAACTTGCAAACCACTTTGACTCGTGCCAAATTTGAACAAATGACTGCTGATTTGGTGAATCGTACCATTGAGCCTTGCAGAAAGTGTTTGAAGGATGCAGGTATCTCCTTGAAGGACATTAATGAAGTTGTCTTGGTCGGAGGTATGACTCGTATGCCCCGTGTTCAACAATTGGTTTCTGAATTCTTTGGTAGAAAGCCTTCTAAGAATGTCAATCCTGATGAAGTGGTTGCTTTGGGTGCTGCTATTCAAGGAGGTGTTTTGAAAGGAGATGTGGATGGTATTGTCTTGTTGGACGTTACACCTCTCTCCTTGGGTATTGAAACATTGGGTGGAGTCTTTTCAAGAATGATCAATCGTAATACAACCATTCCAACCAAGAAGAGTCAAATCTTCTCGACTGCTGCTGATAACCAAACTCAAGTGGGTATTAAGGTCTATCAAGGTGAGAGAGATATTGCTGCCTATAACAAGTTGTTGGGTCAATTTGAATTGGTCGGAATTCCACCTGCACCAAGAGGTGTTCCTCAAATTGAAGTTACCTTTGATATTGATGCCAACGGTATTTTGAATGTGAGTGCTGTGGATAAGGCCTCTGGAAAGGAACAACAAATTACCATTCAATCCAGTGGTGGTTTGACTGATGCTGATATTAAGAGAATGCAAGAAGAGGCTGAAAAGTTTGCTGAAGAAGATGCCAAGAGAAAGTCTTTGATTGATGCCAAGAATGAGGCTGACACCACCATTCACTTGTGCGAACAACACTTGAGAGATTTGGGTACTAAGGTTGCTGCTGATTTGAAGACTAAGGCTGAAAATGAAATTCGAGCTGTACGTGAAGCCATGCAAGCCGATAATTTGGATCAATTGAAGTCTGCTTTGGAACCATTGAAGCAAACTCAAATGAAGTTGGCTGAACAACACTACAAGGAACAAGCCAGCGCAAGACAATCACAAGGCTCATCCACTCCAAACACTGGTGCTAATCCTAATGATGCTGAATTCAAGGAAAAGTAATCAGATCATCATCTTCTTTCCCACTGCTCCTACATTCCCTCCCAACATTCTTATTAAAACCCTCTCTTTTCTTTCGATATATATGGCGGTGGTGCCTACGTCACGTGTTTCTTGGTAAGACTGGCAGAAAAAAATAACTATTTTTTTATTCTACTGGTACTTTCCCGATATTGTTTTTTCAAACCAACCACACAGAGATCTCTGATCATCATCACGACGTCAACCGATTGACACACAATTTTATTCTGATCGTGTAGTAGTAGTAGTAGTAGTTGGTGTAGCATCAGCAGCAGCAAACAGATTATTGTTTCAAACAGTAATAATAATAACCTTCCATCACCACCAACCACCATCATCATCATCAGTAGTGCAAACTCATCACTTACACCACCATCATCATCAACAGTAATGCAAAAATCTTCTTCCTCTCCTCCACCCAATTATAGTGTTCTCATTGACACTCTGCCAAGTTGGACCATTTTACTCACATTTATCTTCTTCTTTCTTTCAGTGTTTGGATGTGTGGGTGTTTTATTCTTTGCTCCAAATTATAAACATTTTGTCACTGATAAGATACAAAATGTCATCATGAATGGAGTCAATCTCCGACAAGTATTAAATGGAGAGAAACCATTTGTCATTCCAACTCCTCAATTCAAAAAAGCCAATCAAGAAATTACCATTTCATTACTATTTAAAGAAAATACAGAGTTGGTGAGTGGATTGACTCGAGATGGTGTTGGAATTACCATCTTGTCCATTCAAGGAAGTTCGGATAATACAGTCTTTCACAACATGACGAATCATTCTTACAAAATTACTCGATCTCTAAATTGTGAAGGATCTTCTAATATTGGGAATCACAACACTCCAGAGACTAGATCCTCTTCTGTACTCCTTTCAATGACCTCTGTTCTTGATACATACACCAATTATTTCTGTACTCCAATGGTTATTTATAGAGATCGTTACATCACCTATCCATTCTATAGAATTGAATTACAATTACAGAATGACAATGGATTGGCACAATCCTTGCTTCGTGATGATGTTCTATTTTATCGTATTGAATATGTCAATATAGAATTTACTGAATTTGAATCTACTATAAGATATTTATATTGTGCCATTTCCATTCTTGTATTTTTATTTTATGGATTTATTTTACTCAAATATCAAAAATATTCTTATGCCAAAACAGAACAGAAATGGATTTTATTTTTATTATTATTATTAATATTATTCAATAATCCTTTATTTATTGGTGATTGGATGGCCAATGATTGGTTATTACCATTCCTAAATGTCATATTCCAAGCTACATTTATTAGTTTTTATTTACTATTTTTGATGGTCATTACTGCGAGTGCTAATACTCATCCTAAAGAGAGAACATTTACTAGATTTTATTTATGGAAATTTATCAATTGTTTACTCTTTTGGACATGTCTATGTATCAGTATGCTGTATGAGAGATTTGAAACATTTGGTGATCGTGTCGTTTATGATTATATTTCTTTTGAAGATCACTCAATCTTTGGACTTTTCCGAGTGTGTGTCATGTTCTTTGGAGGTATTGCCACTCTTTTTATTTTTTATCAAATTTTCAAAGCCTTAGGTGGTAACGATTTTGTTCAATTGGCCGAAAAAGTCAACAAGGCTTATTTGAGTAACCATGCTTTACAGCCCTCTCATTCCTTAACAAGTAATAATATTATTCATGATCAACAAGTCATTGAATCTCTCAAACACAAAGTAGCTATGAATATTATTTCCTATTCAAATACTCATCAATCCTCAGTGAGATTTAAATACTTTTTCATTCTCACCTTTTTAGTATTGCTTTTATTGTGTGCTAATTTATTTTCATTTTTATATTTAAATAATGCGAATAGTAGTGCTCAATATTTGGGAGTATTTCCTCTCTTTAATTTCTATTGTATCCTGTTAGCCATTTATTTCATTCCAAGTTTGAAAGTCGATGAAAGAGATGTCTCTCAAAGTTATATCAACAGTAGTAGTAGTAGTAGTGGATTGTTTTTCAATAATAACAATACTCATGGAGGTGGTGGTGGTGGTTCTTCTTCAATGATGATGATGATGGAATATGGTCAATCACATCGTGAGAGAAGAGACTCTCATGAAGAGAGAATTCAAAGTGGTGGTGATAATGATGATGAGAGTGTAGATGATGATGATGAAAATGATGGTCGTCGTCATCGTCGTCGTCATGGCACAACTACCACTGCTGCTGCTGCTTCTGCCACTACCACTCCATTCCACAACACAAGTCCCATTCAGACCACTCAAAAAAGTGGTGGTGGTGGTGGTGATGAATCTACGACCACCAACAACAACACAACGACCACCAATTCTCTCTTATTAGATATTTATGTGGATGATTCTTCAGCAGGACAACGCCAATAAGTCAGACTGAAAGTTTGCAACACTTTCTCTTCTTTCGAATTCTAATAAACCTGATTTGTTAACACTTGGCACTCTCCTCACGGCATTGTTATGGATGACTCTTCAAAAAAAACATGTTGCAACAACAACGAGTCATTGTTGTTGGTCGTTGTTCCCTCCTCTCTTCTTCCTCGAAATCGTGCTTCTCCTTTCAGAGGAGGATTCTCAGCACCAGCAGCACTACTGCCACTACTACTACTTGCAACAATAAACCCATCACTAGCACCATCACTAGCACCATCACTAGCACCACCACTCATCGTCTCTTCTCAAGAACGCAGTGTTCTTCTCTTCAACAACAACAACAACATTCCACACTTCTTCGGAGTGGTGGTTCATCATCCTTCCGATCCTTTTCTTTTTCACTTTGTCAATACAATTCCATCACTGCCAATACTACTACTACCAATACTACTACCAATACTACTACCAATACTACTACCATCGATAATACAACTACTACTACCAACAACACCTCATCACAGAATTCCCAAAAAACAATCAAAACATCCACAACAACAATACCCTTCTCTGCTCTGACTCATCCTCTTGATCCCTCTTCACTCATTTCCTTTAAAAATAATATCAAACACATGAAAGGAGTGAATGTCTTTGAGAATGAAGAATTCATGAAGAGAGGGACAACAACTCATGTCATTGATGCTGCTTCTTCTCCTCCTCTCAAACACCACCACCATAGTCAACACTCTCAACACTCTCAACACTCAGTTCTCATCTATCATCCATTTCCTAATGATGATGGACATACAAATGTAGTAGATGATCATCACTCCTCATTGAATCATCTATCAACAAATCTATCAACAACAACTAGTAGTACTACTCCTACTCCTATTCCTACTCCTATTCCTACTAGTAGTGACAAGAAGACTTTTAAAAAACTCATGGTTTGCATTTTAGGATGGTTAGGAGCAGATTGGAAACATTTTGATAAATTTGTTCATTGGTATGATTATTGTAATATTGAAACCTTGAGTACCATTCCACCCATTTTGAGTACCATTTCACCTAATCATACTCATCAAGTATGTTCTGAATTTATCAAACAAATGGAAGAAAAGATTTCTGATCCTTCTAATACACATTTGATTTTTCATGTGTTGAGTGGAAATGGAATTCACATGTTCTCTCGATTACTGGAAGATGAAAAATTTGTTGAAAAATTTTTACCTCAATTGAGAGGTCTCATTGTGGACTCGGCACCACCTTTATTCAATTACAAGAGATTTACAGAAGGATTTGTAGGTGCCATTAAAACAAGTGTTTTGAAAAGGGGTCATAGTAGTGGCAGTAATAGTGGTCATAGTAGTGGTCATAGTCCTACGAGTAGTATTTCGAGTCATTCCAGTGGTGGTTATGGTGGTGGTCACAGCAATAGCCACAACATCCACTCTGGTCACAGCAAACACGAAAAGTCTCAAATCAACAAACATTCAATGACACCTTCTGAACGTTATGAACAAAGTAGAGCCTTTTACAAACATTGGTTTTTAACACCCATTGTTGAAACTACATTCAAATTCTTTTTTAATTATTTAAATTATTCAGAGAGATTTGAGAAATTGGAACAATTGTTGGTACGATATACAAAACCCATTCCAAAACTATTTATTTATAGTCATGGAGATGTACTTGTTCCTCATAGTGATATTGATTATTATATATCAAAACATTTCATTCAAGAGCGATTGGAAAGAGTAATGGTAGATCAGAATGGTGGAAAAGATATGATCAATAATGGTAGTAGTAATACTAGTACTAATACTAGTAATAATAATAGTACTAGTACTAATAATAATAGTCCTATGACCATTCATGGAACTACTACTACTGATCATGCTGGTCATGAATTATTGGAGAATAAGAATGAAAAGGTTTTACTATTAGATGAATTAGTATTTGATGATTCAGATCATGTTTATCATTTCAAGAAACATCCAAGAATTTACAGTGAAAGAGTATTGAATTTTATTCAAAAGACTTGTCGACACTAATGTTGTTATTTTGAGTGTGTTTAATATTACAACAAATACAGATAAAATTATATTTCGAAAGTGTAAACAACAAGAATTGTTAATTTTAAGGAACAAATGGATTTGTGGTGTTTGTGGGATTTTCTGCATATTTTGTCCATTGACTTTAACTCCTTTTGGAAGAACTAGTGGCTTCATAAGAGAAGACTCGGATTTTGAATCACTGCACGTGCAATACAAATTCGTTGTTGTTTTTGACCACCCAACACTGTGTTGTATCCATCATCGGGTAGATTGGAAATAAATTCATGAGCATTGGCTATTTGAGCTGCTTGGATAATCTCTTCCTCTGTTGGGTAGTGGAGGTTGTTGTAGTGGTTGTTGTCATTGTTGTTTCGATCGAATCGAATGACCTTGTTCCCAATGACCTTGTGACTGCATAACAAATATTCTCTCGAATGACCTGCGTGGCAAATAAAACTTTTCTAATAGACCAATGAGTGTGAATTTACCAGAACCACCTACAAATGCTACCGATTGACCAGGTTGAATTTTCAAATTGAAATTCTTCAATACAATAATGGCATTGGGTCGTGGGATAGGCAAAACTCACATTTCTAAATTCAATAATTCCAATGAGTTTATCAGGTGCAAATTCCACCACTTGGTCTCAATGCTGGAACTCTCTTAATGACTTTGATATTCTTTCCAGATTGAATGGCACGAGTGAAATCAGGGAGGATGGCCATAATTTGAGAACATCCCAAAACACTCATCAATAACAATGTAAATACTCGAAACATGTTCCCAAATTCAATTTCACCTCTCAACAATAATTGTCCTCCCCACCACATGCCAAATGCCAAAATTCCCCAAATGGAAAGTTCTTGACATCCAATAGGTCCACCCAATGAAATGGATCTCAATAAAAAGATCCATCTTCCAAGGTCTCCATTTTTTCAGCATCCATGGATCGAACCAATCACTTCATTCCTGAGGCTCTATTACTGATGGCAAGAGTTCTCTTTGTCACCTTTTGAGAGGCAATGGCAGAGATGCATGCATGAGAAATGCAATGACAGGAGCAAAGGCTATCATTGCCAATGATATTTTCCAAGCAAATACAATGGCTAAAATAATAATAATCCTAATAAAACTTGAACTGTAAATTGTGTGGCTCTTCCTAATTTGTTCGAAAATGAATTTGTTCCATCAATTCAGTCATCCAACTCATGAGTTGTCCAGTTCGTTTCATACCAAAGAATCCAATTTCTTGTCTCAATAATGATGAAATATAAGCTGTTTTGAATCGAATTCCAACTCTCTCAAAGGACCATGTCTTGAACAGGGCGCCAATCGCGATGTCGTGACACACGCCAATGCAGCAATGACTGCCATTGTTATGCCATATTCCCCTCCTTTAGATGTGTGACATTAGCAGATTCTACCATTCAAGTATATACTCGATTCTATTCAATTTTTAGAGGATGGCTTGTTTGCAGCCACTCCGATTACACTGAACATTCCATGACTGATTTTATTGCTTATCTACTTCATGTAGGAAAAGGTCACCTTATTGATAAAGTTGAGGCATCCCTTCAATTCTTTGCTGATTTGGAAGGATGGAAACTATTGAAAGATAGTATTTTTACAATGGGTTTTTATTACATTTCTGTCATTTCACGATAAAATCAGACAGAATTTCAAAATGAACATTGCAATTATTTTTAAATATCTCATGTTGACTTTTTCATCGCTAAAAATATATTAACCTCCAATCCACCATTCCCTCCCATTATTACGAGAGAATTTTTAATCACTTATTGTTATTTCTTTTGACTTTGGTCATTATTGGAGGATAACATCTGTGCTTTGAAGTGATTAAGCGAGTTTGGTTAACGAGCGATGATATATTCAGTTTGACACAATATTATAAGCCACAATATCAATTATCCTATTGGTACTGTATAGATAAAGCATCTACAAACTCTTATGAAACTTAATATTATCTTTATGAGTAGAAAATAATATGACAAAACTTATATCATAATAATATAATTCATAGAAATAATTATATATGTATTTCATTTGTCAAACTGTTTCTGGAAGAAATTTATTATTAATAGATAAAATAATATAATTAATTTTTAATAATTAACTCGGTTTCAATTTATCGATTTGAATGAGTAGATAAAATGATTATGATATATGTTATTCAGAATAAAAATGGTATAAAATGTCTATTCATGATTGAATATCTATCTGAAAATCGTATAAGCATTAAATGTCGTTTGTGTACCTTGATTTGTTCAATGGTGTTATTCTTCGCTTTGTGATGTTAATTGTTTTTATTTCTTTTTTATTTTACTGAACTACCTAATTATTGGATAAATATAGAGTAGTGTGATTCAGATGATCGTGGAGGGGTTTTTCAAATTGAAGGCCAAACTCGCATTTACCAAAACAACAACAACGTGATGTGCGTCTGCTTTGACACCCATCATCACTCTAATAATTGCACCAACACTTCAACTGAATTTCAATTTTAGCCAAAAAGTTTTTTTTAACTGCAAAATGAAACTGATTGAGAGAACATGAAAATCTGAACCATCTCAATAGATAGAAATCACCAATGATACTTGCATGAAATTAATGTCATGGAAAAGATTCTTTGCTGTCGATGAGGTTGGTAAGGATGTGATTAAGGATAAATTTTTTCATATTTGGGTGTTCTCATAAACACAACACGCTACATTGTGAAGAATAATCAACACCTTTAACGATTCAATTGTCTTGAATTTTACATTCAAAGGAGTGGTGCTGTGAGCCATTCGTATCCAATTTGGTATCATTTCCATGCATGGTTCATTGGAATAATATTTAGACACCAAATTCCGAAAAGGAAATATACACAAAGGGTTTCATATGGTTGGTCCTACTATCAACAATGGCCATCTTTCCAAATTATAGGATGATTCTAGGGTGAAAATGATGGTTCATCATTCACGACGACAGCACCACGAGGGGGTTGTTTCGATTCCTCATCATCAGAGCTTAACAACAAAAAAATCATCTCCATTGTGTGTGTGTGTGTGCTGTGATTTGGATTGTTCTTAAAAACAACAACAACAACAACAACACTCTCTCCGTGATCGCGATTAAGTATATACTTGCTTGATTCATCCTTCTCTCCTCTTCCGAATTGATCATCAAGTAATCACCACCACTTTCAATTCGTAGTAGTAGTATTATTCATATTATTCATATTATTTGTAGTAATCATACATTTCATTCATACATCAAATCAATTATTCAAATCATTTGTAACTACCACTATTACCACTTCACTATTACCACTATTACCACTCCACTATTACCACTTCACTACTACTACAACATGAGTGCCACCACCAATCAATGGGCAAGACTCTCTGGTGCCCAAGTGAGTAGTCAACTCAAAATTCCTCAAGGTGACTATGCTCGTCGTACTAAAATCGTTGCAACCATTGGACCCAAAACACAAACCGTTGAAATGTTATCAAAATTAATTCGAGCTGGTGTGAATGTGATTCGTATGAACTTTTCTCATGGTTCTCATGATTTTCATAAACAAACAGTCATGAATACTCGTCTTGCTGCCTCTCAATGTGACAATGCTATTGTTGCACTCATGTTAGATACAAAAGGACCTGAAATTAGAACAGGTTTATTAGAACCTGAATTCTGTCCAGATGGAATTGAAGTCAAGACAGGACAATTGATTGATTTTTATTGTTGTCAAAGTACTGAAGAATATGCAACACTGAAAGGAAAGTACTTGCCACAGAATGAATGGTTGTCCAATAGTAGTAATGAATACGATCGATTGAATGAATTGAGTTTAAATGCTCAGAGAATGGTCAACAGTGGCACAAGTTCCAAACAACAGCAACCACCACAACAGCAACCACCACAAGGAGGAACAATGAACTCAGCCGCGGTCGTAGCTGATCAGATCTTTATGGCGGGAAGTGGAACTGCCAATACTGCCACGACTCCATCAGGAGGTTCTTCTTCTTCCTCACTCCAATTGAACAATCTCATTACACTCTCTCCAAATCTACCACCCATTTCCATTCCACTCGATTACAAGACCATGTATCGTGTCGTGAAACAAGGTGATAATGTACTCATTGATGATGGTCTTATTGCCACCAAAGTCATTGAATGCATTCCTGAAAAGTTCCTTGTTCGTTGCATTGCCTTAAATGGTGGTTTGATTGGTGAAAAGAAGGGATGTAATTTACCTGGTGTTATTGTTGATTTACCTGCATTGACTGAGAAGGATATTGGTGATTTGAAATTTGCTGTTCAACACAATGTTGATTTCATTGCAGCATCTTTTATTAGAAAAGCTGAAGATGTTTTGGCCATTCGTAAATGTTTGGGTTCACGTGGACAAGAAATTAAAATTATTTCCAAAATTGAAAATCAAGAAGGATTGGACAACTTTGATGAGATATTACAAGTCTCAGATGGTATCATGGTAGCACGTGGTGATATGGGTGTTGAAATTCCACTCGAACAAGTGACATTGGCTCAAAAGATGATTATTGCTAAATGTAACATTCATGGAAAACCAGTGATTACTGCCACTCAAATGTTAGAATCAATGATTAAGAATCCTCGTCCAACACGTGCTGAAGTGACTGATATTGCCAATGCTGTATTTGATGGTACAGATAGTGTCATGTTGAGTGGTGAAACTGCAAAGGGTGATTATCCTGTTGAAGCAGTGTCTACCATGTCTCGTATTTGTGTTACAAGTGAATGTTTATTGGATGAGAGAAAGACATTCAATATGATACGTGAAGCTGTTTTAGAATTGAAGGGTAAAATTAGTGTCACTGAAACTATTGCTAGCAGTGCAGTTAAAACTGCCAATGACATTCAAGCAGGTCTCATCATTACCATCACAGAGACTGGTAATACTGCTCGCTTAGTGTCCAAGTATAGACCTAATCCACCATGCATTGCTGTCACTCAAAATAAGGCCACTGCACGTCAATTAATGGTTTCACGTAATGTATTTCCTGTGGTTGTAGGAAGTGTGATTGGCACAGAGACTGTCATTGCTCGTACCATTGAGAGTGCAAAGGAGAAGAAGTATGTGGAAGAGGGACAATATGTTGTCGTGACCAGTGGACATATTGAAGGTGTTGCTGGACAGACAAATATTTTGAAGGTTTTCACTGCTTGAGTTGTATCATGATTTTAGTGTAATGTGTAAATACAATCATCGTTGAAAGATTGTTTCTTTGTGTTCCAGATTTCCTAAAGTGTTCAACTTGGTTTCAAATGAATTCAAAACAATTTATTTATAAATTTATTATGATTTACAGAGATGGCTAGTATTTAGGATCAAGAGGGTGTGTTTGTCTCCTTGTATTGACATGGAACGTTGCGTAGTGTTTCGGAGGTCCACCAATAATATCTTGAACATAATTAATTTTCCTGTAATCCCTTCTTTCGACAGGGAAAGAATTTGGTACTGCATGTCCATGATTTCCTTTTCTCTCTTCCAATGGTTCCTTCACATAATTCGACAATCGTGGAAGAGGTGCAGGTTTTGCTCCCTCAATTTCTCCAATATCTCGTCCTATTACACTTTTTTCATAGTCATACCTGGGTGACAATGGATTTATCTGTCTTCGAGTTGTGAATTTCCATTCATCATTGATATCCTTTACATTTAATTTATCAACTTTGTGTGTTTCAGGTATGACTCGTTGATAATTACTTCTGAAAAATCCTTTAATTGCAAAATCTCCATAATCTTCAGGATGGTTGATATCATCACATGCAAGAGGATTTCGAATGGCTGCATTTCGTTTTCTCTCCATTGCTAATTTCTTATTTTCGTCATAAATAATATCATCCACTTTTAAAATGTCTTTTGGAGGTTTCAAGTGTTCATATTCTTGAGGTTTGTTAGGTCTTTTGACGCTTGGTAATTTGTAAATGGGATTGAGTGGATTGAGTTGTCGATTGAACTTGACATGTGTCTTCATTGGTTGAGATCCTTCAATGTCATGATTCTTCAAGTTAAAGTCATTCACTCGATGGACTTGTTTCGGTATTAATGTTGCAGGTTGATCGACAGTGATAAATGATAAATCCTCCTTATTCGTGAATCGGGTTGGTGGTGTTGAATTTGCTCGAGCAAAAAGTATATCTGAAGTTTTCAGTGAGAGATCTTTATCTCTTCTTCGAGCATAGTCAGAAGGAGCAAATGGAGACGTCGATGCTCTCTTGTTGTTGAGTTGTGCTTTTGCTGAGGCAGACTCTATGGTCTGCAAATACATCGAGTCATTGAGGTGTGTCATCAAAGGTTTCAAAAAAGGAAGAAGAAGGCTTGATCGGAATTAGTGTTGAGGATTTGAGGGATCCAACTAAGCTTGTAGTCACACAATAATATTGTGGTGATGATAATATCCAAGTACAAGACTTGATGATGAAATTTAGAGTATGATGATTCAAAGCCTTCCCGTAAAGGAAGTCTACAGTTGAGCAATTTTTTTGGTAGTGCGTACGTAACGGTATTTTTTTTGGGTTTTGGGCGCGCTTTTAAATCTCTGTAAATTTTGAAGTCGAGGAGTGCAAAGACCTTTCCTTACACTGCAGCCTGACTAAAGGTTTAATAAGTATGATTCAGTACACAATTTGACACTTCTACTCGTACTCGTACTCATCGTGATTTTCTCTTGAATGCATGAAAGGGTACACAATACTTCTTTGGATACGAGCTGAGTGAGGTCGGGTATTATATTGATGCAACGACTACTACTACTACTACTACTCAATCAATACCTTTTTCACTCGAAAAGCATGAATATTCAGGGTATCACAAATTTGTCGAATCACCAAAATAGCCATATGTAAATATGAGAAAATCACCACGCCTACGCATCCATACAATAAATAGACTTCCATCATGCTATTGGTATTGGTCATACTGGTAGTACTATTACTATTGGTACTATTGGTACTACTATTCATCATCATCACCACAAACACTCTCTCCACCAATAGAACACCCATTGGAATCATAATGAAAAAGAATGTTGGTGATAAACATCCACACACACGTGCAAAGATTAATCTTGTTTGAATATAAGATGCAGTCAATCCATAGAGCATACTCAATGGTAAGAAGTGATTCTCAACAAGATGTGGTGATAGAAATGCCAACACAACAAACATGACCAATACAATCATGTAAGAGAGAATTCCTTTCAATGCACCACCAATTCCACCAATGACATGAATGGTTCGATGTGAACGTTTACGAGCACTGTGTGATGCAAATCCCAAAACACTTCGAATATTACTCACAATGATGGATGCACCTAATAGAGTGGCAATACTAACCATAAGAGTATTGAATTGAATATTGAGAAATTGTTGAGATGATTGAGAGGTTGTTTTTGTTGTTGCATTCAAGTCACTTGAAAATATTTTAAAGAGCCAATAAAAGGTTGAAGAAGAATTTTGATGTTGTTGAATGGTGAACAAGACAGTCGACCATTTCGATTGTCCCATTACAAAGGTTGCAATGAGTATGGAAATGGCAAGCATGATAGCTTCAGTGGGTGAATTGTATTTTCCAAATCTCATTTCATCAGTGACATAGTCTTCCCATATCATCATGAAACTAGTCATGTAATACAAGACAATGACAGTGAGTGCAAAATAAGTACTTCCTAAATCAATAGCACTCACAAGAATGTAACATTGAAAATATCCAATAAGAGCATCCTGTGTGTGTGTGAATGTGTGTGTGTGTGTGAATGTGTGTGAGAATATACATTTCATAGGTGTGTGTGTGTGAATGTGTGAATGTGTGAGAATATATATACATTTTGAAAGATTCCAATGATGATGCAAGTCCATTCATATTTACCATGATGTACATTTTCATCCAAGTTCATTCATTCATTCATATATATATATATATATATATATTATATACACACACACACACAGTTCATACATTTCAACATACCAGTCCATGATCAAATAATTCACCCAATGCACTGCTATTCTTTGTATTCCGTGCATGCTTTCCATCAATAGCATCCATTGTTTGATAATAAAACAATAACAATGCATTCAATAAATAAACAATGGATGGTACTTGATGATTGTGTAAATCTGGATTGAAATAGACCAATACAGCCCATCCGAATAACACTCCAAGAAATCCTAATAGAGTAATGGTATTGGGTGCTATATCATGTGGAATGGCTCTGGCACAAAATTCCCAATAGGGTTGAAAATCTTATTTCCGAAAATTAATTCCGATCATGGTTGTGATCCATTGTGTGTGGAATGTTGTGACCATAGATAATTATATTCAATTTGAATCATTGGATTCATAATATTATGAGTATTATTAGAATGATTAGAATGATTAGTATTATTATTAGTATTATTATTATTAGAATTATTATTATTAGAATTATTATTATTAGTAGTATAATTATACTTACAATAAGACAGGATGGATGCATCACCACTTTTATACTTGTAATCTCGTAACGATATTTTAGCTTCTTCTGTTAAATAGGGATAATTCGTGAGACGATCATAGAATGAGAGTCGTGTCTTTGTAGGAGTGGTGGTGGTATGAGTGGTAGTAGTGCTGGTAGTGCTGGTGGTGCTGGTGGTGCTGGTGGTGGCCATGGTGGTGGTGTTCATCATTAAAAATGTACAGTCATTATTACACAACAACCGCAATTTAGCTAAATTGGATGCCAAAATATTTTTTGATTGTTTTTTGTAAAGATCTTCACCATTATTGAATGAATGAACTCGAAGAGTACACACTCAAATTCAAGTTCACAACATACAAATGAACATGAAATGAGACATTGAGTGTGAGAATTTGTTTGGATTGAATCCATTTAATATTTATTTGTAATCCTATCAATTTAATAATTTGGAATCATACTTTGTAATCTCATCAAACCATCAAAACATGCCAATTTCCTTGCCTTAAATGCATCCTTAGCATTGGCATCACCAATCACTCGATGTTTCACAAACAATGTACATTTAAAACAATTCGTTGATTTGACATATTCTTCAACAAATTTCATATTGTAGTGATAATAAGATCCAACTAAATCACTCAACACAAGTTGAGGTTCATCCAAAAAGAGTAATTTTTTAAATACTTGAGAAGGTCGATCTCTAATAATTTCTTCTTCAATAAATTCTCTTGCAACTGAGAGTCCACATTTAGCATAGAGAGATCCAATGATAGCAAGAACAGCATTGGATGTAATTTCTCGTTGTCCTTTTGTAGTCATTTCATTCCAATTCACACATCTCAATGTATAATGTTCATTTTCAATAAAACAAGTATTGGAAGTTTCATTCATCGTTGTTTGAGTGTTCATTGTAAATGGTATCACATTGGGTTGTGAAGATGGATATTTCACTACTTGTTGATGCATATTTTTGAATCGAACCAATGGAGTCTTGTCATTGCTAGCACCATCATGATGATTACAAAAATTCCAATATTCATTAGCCACAACAAATGCCAAATAAGATCGATTGTTATAAATTGCTTTCAATAAAGATGCAGTACTATATCTCTCACGACCACTATTCACTTGTTCAGCATGAGGAGAATCGACATCTATAAATAGACCACCACTGTTCGTAATTGTATTTCCAAGTAGAATGGTCGATGGTGATTGGGAATTTCCTCCCTTCACATGACTCATATATTTATGTGAAATAATTTCTGTTAATACCAAATCCAATACATGTTGTCCCATATATGCCAATCGATCATGTGTTCTTACTTTACCAGATCCAAATGAAGCATGAGTGATGGATCGGATCAATAATGTACGAAGAGAAGCATCTGTATCGTATTGTACTTTGGTATTGGTGGTGACTGTACTCATGGATTTGTTTAATTCTCGTTGTAAAATTCTAGATTTGGAAATTAATGCTTGTAATCCAGGAGTATAATCTAATTCATTATAAATTTTACCACTTTTAGAGAATTGAGTTTTAATTTCAAAGGTTGAAAGTGGAGGAATGTGTGGTTCCAATGGTGTTGTTTGTGCATTGGATGAAGTATTGCTATCAAGGTTAGGATGGATGGATGTGGTTGAGGATGAATTTATCTTTGTTCCATTCCTCGTTTTTTGATGTTGAATAAGAGTGGCATAATTTTTGAATGTATTGAGATGTTGAAAAATAGGAAATGTGTTTGGGTAACAGAATGATGAGCCTCTTCCGAATAATAATATTGATGAGCCTCTTCTTGTATGGCATGATGACAAGGAATGGAAGAGTCTCACTCTCAACTTCATTTTTTTGAACTGAACGTACACACACACTGAACGTACACACACACACACTGTGATGCTAAATTTTTCTTGAAGTCCTTGTTGTTGAAAACCGTTTCATTTGACGACGACTTCACAGTGTGAAAGAGACTCGTGGATTCACTCGGTCAATGATCGAGAGGATTTGGATGATGATGAAAGCATCAAAAAATGTCTCCATATTCAATAATCCTTCTTCATCATGACCGGACCGAACCATGGTTGCATAAGATTGCCAAAATCAGGTGGATGCATTACCTACAACAACAACAACAACAACAACAACCACTAATACTACCACTACAACAACATTCAAACTCAACCCTTCTTCAACTCCCTTTTTTCCAACTCTGCACAAAGTGTCATTCAACAACATGTCAACAAGAACTCACAAAAAAGAAACCCAAGAAGTTATTACAACAATAAAAGAATTCTTCAAAAGGAAGTGAAAACACAACCTGAAGCATCATTGTTACAACCACCATTCATCACATCAGCAAATGATAAAGGTGGAGATGGATGTAACGAATCAAGAGCTGTCTCTAATCATGATGCATCATTCACATCATCATTACAACTATTCACCTCAGCCATTCACCTCAACCATTCACCTCAACCATTCATGAATCTATTTCTCTTCCCATTCAGCATGCTTATCAATCTGAAGAAATTATTCAATGTCTTGATCAAGTGATGATCATTACAGGATGAAATTCATGAAAGAAATGTAGATACAATAGTAGTACCGATACTACTACTACCAATACTAATCAGGTGAATACTGTTACCACCAATAGTACTACTACCAATACTGCGTCGTCACCACTCACACAACATGTCGTCATTCAGAAAACACCATCCTCATTCTATGAATATGCTACCAAAAAAGGAAGATTCTTTTCACTCATGCCTCAACAAATTTCACATTCTCAACTCATTCTATTAGGATATTCTCTCTGAATATTTTACCTTATTGTATCATTGCATCTGCCATTCTCTCTCGTTCATTACCATTTTTACAATTCTCAAATTTGAAACTCGTTACTACTCGATTCATCATTCCTCTGAAATTGATCCAAATCTACCATTGAGTAATAGTCAACAAGAATCCTCAAAGCATAACCAACAAATGGAAGAAATTATTATTCAATGATATTTCTATTGATAATATTTCTTTTAACATGAGTGAGAAATTATTGTTAAATGATCATTCTTCAATTTAGGTATTTAGAAATCGAACAATATTGAATCATCCATTTATTAGAAAGTCATTCACAGAAGTACATTTAACAAATCGACGATTAAGTAAGATTGAATAATATCATGAGAATCATAATGAGGAGGAGCATGATTGTATTTAATATGATGAAGATGAGAATCATAATGAAGATGAGAATCATAATGAAGATGAACACAATTCTTCTCACCTCTCCTCACAACAATCTCAACAACCTTTACTCAAGAATAACAACAATAGTGAGGATGACATAGTTTCCAAGTTCATACATCAAGTAGTGTTTTGGAAGGATGAAATTAATCATTCTCAGAATTCATGAAGAACCATTCTGAGAATCATTTCGAAACATCCGTTTCAATACATCAATCAGTAGTACAACAAAGAAGAACAAGAAAAGAAGTGAAGAAGAATTGAAAAAGAAATTGGAGAGAAAAGAAAGAAAAAAAGAAGCAAAAAACAAATGATCATTCCACCACCACCACCTCTGCTACTACTACTACTTGGAGAGTCAGACAATTAGGATTGCTTTTGTGAACACATTCAAGGAAATGATGGAAAATCGTCAACTGAACAAAAAGAGGAGCAATCTCAACATTTCTTGCACGCTGGGTTGCGTGTGATGGTTCTGAATCCATCGTGAAAGGGTCTTGTGGGGATCAGCCTCTAGATCTCGGAACATGTTCAACCACAATTCGAATTTCCCTTGACTCGACACACCTGAATCAGCCAATCAAAGCCTTCGCTCGTTTTTAAAAATAACAAACTAAAAAAAAATTCGTATTTTTAGCTAAATTTACTCCCTGACCCTCTCTCTTCATCATCTATAGGCGGTTATTGTATTGACTCCCAAAATAGATTAGAATTCATTGAAGGCATCTCGTTCTATTATTACCACAAAGTTTGAACTATCTTTCACATTTGTGTGTGATTCCGCAAACTTCCTTCGTCCACGTGTGGTTACTCCCGTTCATCATCACGTATTATTTAATATTCTTTAATATTATTCTTTGATCATCATCATCATCACTTGGTGTTGAGAACAACAACAACAACAGAACAACAACTCTTCATCATTGCCCGTTCGATCGATTCAAACAATTATTGATCCATCACTACACCCTCCTATTCGCTCTCTCTTTTCTGTATAGTTTTAAACTTCTCTTCAACATGGGACGAAAGAAAATAGCCATTCAACCCCTCACGGATGAACGTAATCGTCATGTGACCTTCAACAAACGTAAACAAGGTCTTGTCAAAAAGGCGATGGAGTTATCCATTCTGTGTAATTGCCAAATATCCCTCGTCATATTTAACTCTGAAAATCAATTGTTTGAGTATTGCAGTACAGATCCAAGATCTATCCTACAGAGGTATTGCCAAGTGGCACACTTACCTCATGAACGATTAACCAATGCTGAATATACCAAGTTCGATAAGAGTGGTAATTTAGCAACAACAACGACCGGAACGACTGACACAAGTTCCATCGATGTAACACAAGCGAGTCAAGATGCCTCTTCTTCAACCAACAACACAACAACAACAACAACACAGACGGCTACTACTACTACTACTGGTGCTGCAGCATCAACAACAAACAATGGAAGCAGCAAATCAAAATCGAAATCAAAGACACCAAAGAAAAGAAAGTCCAAAAAGGAGAAGAGTGAAAGTGAAGATTCCGATCAAGAGACCACAACCAGCACCAAAAACAAATCGTCGTCATCATCATCAACTTCTAAGGTTCATGGTGCACTTCCAGTTTCATCAGAGCAAATCAATGCAAAGGCAGCTCTTGTTTCACAACAACAACAACCACCATTGGCTATACCTCCTTTTGCTGCCTACACTCAATTTACAGGTCAGCAGGTCTATGCAGATCCAATTACTACAACACCACAAACTGCATTGCTGAACACATTTTTGAGTGGTGGAGAATTTGATCCTCTCACTCCCAGAACGGCTCAGGCCATCGACAACATTTCTCGCAATGTTCTCGAAAATCAAAAGAAGAGAAATTCTCCAACCACAGGCTCTGAAAAGACTCAAGATGAAGCTGAATCACCATCACAAAAGAAGAGAAAAACTGGACTCACCATTCAAGTTCCTAACAATAAGAACGTACCTCTCAAGAGAATTGAGAGTTCTCTCTCTGAATCAGCTCAACAATTAGAAAATGGAGAGGGTGACTTTATTGCTCCAGCAAGCAGTAGTGCAACCAATGCTACAAGTGCATTACCGACCAGTAGCAGCAATCCTTTAAGTGGTGTACTTCCTACTCCTCAAACATCGGGCTTCCCTCTGGAAACAAAGACTCCTCTCTCTTCACTTCTCAATTCGAACTTTTTTGATACGAGCACAACCCCAACAAGTCTGGGCGTATCTTGGAACGATGTTCCATCACCATTCACCGTGCTAAAGGAAAATCAAGCAAAGATGGAAAGAAGCAACAAAGACAAAATCTAAGCCTTCCGAATTTTTGCATATTTGTAAATAAATCTTGTGTTAGCTTACTTGATACAACAATAATCATTTTCCAACTAAACACCCTGGTGTTTATATTTCGGATTAGAAACCCTTTTATTCTAGTACAATTACCAATTAGGTTATGATTTAGTTATCAAAGTTTGGAGCACGATAAGTTGATGGATCTCTTCTTGGATGAGTGTCTTGAATACCTCTTTCGACTGGTGAAGGAACAACCTTTGTAAGAGAGTTGAAACGTGCTTCGTACCACTTTCTGTGCTTGGCAAGGCATGTAGTCCACTTGTAGAAGTGTCCGTTGCATTGAGACCATTGCAACATGGTATCATTGCTCTTACCGAGTTCTAACCGTGATCATCACCACCATTGAAAATATTTTGTATGATAACCATCACGAAACAATTCATACTTACTTTCATCTCCACATTCATCCAAATACATGTTCAATAAATGAGCCCTGCAAGGAGCAGCAGGAGTCAAGTGTAAAATAGCCTTGAATTGTGAAGGATCGTTCTTCAAAAGATCTTGCTCTTTTGTTGTAAGTTCGTAATCCTTTGAGTCGAGAGGCTTGCCGAAGATGTCCAAAATTTGTTCGTTTGAAAGATATCCTTCCTTTGTTCTATTCAAAATATCAGCGTTTGGAACATTGGTTCTATCACTTGGCAAATTGGCATCCTTGGTCTTGGTCAAAGGATGATAGAATGTTTGTTCGGTAAAGTATCCTTGCTCATTCATTTGGCTGGACAAATTCTTGACGATTGCCTCTTTAATTTCAGCAGCGTTCATTTTTAATCACTGTATTTTTTTCGATGCATAGAAATGTTCTTCTTGAAAATTTCACCATATTTAGACCAATACGCGGTCAACTCTTTACAACCCTAAAGGCAAGCTCTTTGATCATCATTGTTGTAGATGGCTTCAACTTTCAACGGGATAATAAGCCATCACATTCCCTCATAATGATCTATTCATCTCGACTTCATCCTTCCCGCATATTGATTCTGTTATTTCTTATTATGGATGGATGGGGTTTATGATCATGTAGCTTCATTAATCTGGTCCTGGAGACTTTCTCATTAACCCAGGACATTATGTCGAAGGAATTGAGTCTTGAGAAACAACTTTGTTCATCATCAACCCTCTCTTCTGAGGATGCTCAACTAAAAATTTGAACATGACTCTCGCGTAGCATCAAAAAAAATGTCATCCTCTGGTGGCTCGTCAGAGCAACAAATCAACAAGGAACACAAAGCCAGAAGAGCAGGTAACAAATTCAAAAAGAGAGAGGCTCAAAGAAAGAAAAAGCTCGGAATTTCCGAAGAACAACAAAAGAATGATTACGTGAATAATCGTGCAAACACAGTCGGTAAAGGAAATGCCTATGCAAGAGATTTAAAGTATAAATTAGATAAATTTGAGACAAAACTACATGCTCCGATTACATCAAGAGTTTACGGAGAAGGTCCTCCCAAGCTTGTTGCAGTGGTTGGACCTCCAAAATCAGGCAAAACTACTCTCATCACAAGTTTAGTCAAACAATATACCAAACAAACACTAACCGAAGTGACTGGTCCAATTACTGTCCGAACAGGAAAGACTAGAACAACATTCTTTGAATGTCCCGATGACATTAATGCAATGATCGACATTTCAAAAACAGCAGATTTAGTTTTACTTTTGATCGATGCTTCTTATGGATTTGAAATGGAAAACTTTGAATTTCTAAACATGTTACAAGTACATGGTATGACTCGAGTGATGGGTATTTTAACTCATTTGGATTTAATCAAGAAGAGTAGTACAGTAAGAAAATTAAAAAAGAAACTCAAGCATCGATTTTGGACAGAAGTTTGTGATGGTGCTAAATTGTTTTACTTGAGTGGATTGAGAGGAGGTCTCTATACACCTCGTGAAACCATTAATTTGAGTCGTTTCATTTCTATTATCAAACCAAGACCTATCAAATGGAGAACCACTCACTCATGTGTGGTTGTGGATCGTTTTGAAGACATTACTGATCCAGAGTTGATTATGCAAAATCCAACCATCAACAGACATGTTTGTTTGTATGGTTATGTAAGAAATACCTTCTTGCGAAAGGGTACTCCTGTTCATATTCCTGGATGTGGTGATTTTACGATCAAAGCTCTTTCAAGTCTAGAGGATCCTCTTCCACCAAAACCAAAAGAAAAGGAGAGATCCAAATTAGACAAATACAAGGGATTGTATGGTCCAATGAGTAATTTAGGATCAGTATTCTATGATAAAGAAAGCGTTTATGTGGACATGACCAATACATTTACAGATTGGAATGCATCTTCAGGTGGACATCATCGAGGTGGTATTGATGAGGCTGAAGAATTACTTCTCACTCGTAAAGGAAAAGAAATTTCTTCTGAAAAGAGAGAGGAACGAAAACAAATTGCAGAGGAAACCTCAAAGATCGTACAGTCACTTCTAAAAGCATCTAGCAATGATATCAATTTGGATGAAAAGCTTTCCAATCAACAGGTGAAGCTACTTTCGAATGCCAAGTCAACACTCGATGCAAAGAAACCATCCAAAACAACCTCTCTTCATCAAGAAGAGACTAACGAAGAAGAAGAAAGTGATGACTTTGATGAGGACATGGATGAAGAAGAATTCATTCAAAAGTATTTAGATGAATCTGATGAGGGTGAGGAGGATGATAACGATGAAATGGAAGATGATGACGATAATGAAAACGATCAATTTAGAAAGAGAAGAGGTTTATCTATTCTCATGAATAATGATGATGACAAGAATGATGATGAGCTTTATGCCAATGCTCTCAACAAGGGAAATTCGTCCAAGAAAGAAAATATCGTCTATGACGATGATGATGATGATTCTGAAAACATGGAAGAAGCACACAATCGTGAAATGAAGAAGGAATTGAAGTTGCGAGGTTTAAGCTCAAAGGATGACTCGGACTCTGAATATTTTGAACCTAGAAAATTGAAGGTCAATGAAGTGACTGGTCAATTTGAAGCCAATGAAGACTATCTCTCTGACTTGGAAGATGAAATTGATGAAATGGGACAATCCTCTAATAAGTGGAAGGAAACTATGGAAGAACGAGCGTCTAGTGCATTCTATGATGTTGGTGTGAGTTTACAAGAATTGGTTTATGGTAATGAACAAGAAGAAGATGAACAAGATAGTGATGATGATGAAATGGATGAATCAACTCAACAAGAAGAAAATCATTCCAATGATTTGGATTCCATTTTCAACTTTAAGAAACAAATTACTGAAAAGAAAAAGAAGATCAATGTCAATAGATTGAAGATTGATCATGCCGATCGTTCACGAATTCAGCTAGAACCAACTGAAATTAAACATGACTGGGACGATGCTGAATTCAGAGAGACCATCAGAAACAAATTTGTTACTGGAGATTGGACAAAAAGAAGAAGTGCTAAAGAGAATGCGACAAATGAGGAAGACTCTATGAATGTAGATGAAGACAATGATGAATTCACGAACAACATGAAGGATGGAGAGATGGATGAGGATGGACTTGATGAAGATGATATGGAGAAGGTAGAAGACTCTCTAGCCTCATCAGAATTGGAAAGAAAAAGAATGGAAAAGAAAAAGGCTTTTGATGCTCAATTTGATGAAACGAAGAGTTCAAAATTAGATTCCAAGTCAGCCAAATCCACACAACAAACGAATGAAGAAGATCCAATCACTACCATTGAAAAACTTAAAAAGAAACTTCGTGAAGATGATCCACAAACCATTCTGAACAAGACAGAATTTGAAAATTTGACTCGAGAACAACGTGAAGAAATTGAGGGAATCTCTCCAGGAACCTATGTGAGAATTGAATTGGAAGGATTTCCATGCGAATTTATTGAAAATGTCAACTTTAAAAATCCAATCATTGTTGGAGCCATGCACGCTGAAGAATGCAGAATGGGTCTTATCAAGATGAGACTCAAACGACATCGTTGGTACCCCAAAACTCTCAAGAATAGAGATCCTCTTGTGTTTAGTATTGGATGGCGAAGATTCCAATCCATTCCTACTTATTGCATGCAAGATGATAATGGAAGACATCGACAAATCAAATATACACCAGAGTACATGCATTGCATAGCTGCTATCTATGGACCTTTCATTCCACAAAACACTGGTATTATTGCATTCCAAACATTGAGTGAGAAAGTTGATACATTTAGAGTGTCTGCTACAGGTTATGTGATGGAGATGGATCAAGACTTTTCAATTGTTAAAAAGTTGAAATTGGTTGGTTATCCTAAAATCATTCACAAGAACACGTGCATCATTACTAAAATGTTTAGTAGTGAATTAGAAGTCGCTAAATATGAAGGTGCTGCATTGAGAACTGTGAGTGGCTTGAGAGGAAGTGTGAAAAAGCCATTCCGAGGTGAAAAAGCTTCACCTGGTGATTTCAGAGCCACCTTTGAGGATAAACTTATCCGTGGAGATATTGTTTTCCTTCGATGTTGGTATGCAGTTGAAATTGAACGCTTCTATAATCCAGTGTTCAATCATCTCTCTAAGAAATGGTATGGAATGAGAACAGTTTCTCAACTTCGAAAATTGAAACAACTACCAGTTCCTGTGAAAGAGGACTCTCTTTACAAACCCATTACCTCTCGATCCACTGCTGGTCATGATGCTCACTTTAATCCAAAACCAAAATTACTCAAACAATTGCCATTCACAGAGCAAAGAAAGAAGGTGGTTGAAGTGACTGGTTTAACCGATGACTTGAATCAATACATTGCTGAGGATGCACCCATCCATGAATTAACCACTGCATTGATGAGTGATCGAGAAGTTGAAAGAGCAAACATGCTTCGTAAACTCAAAGCGATTAATGCAGAGAGAGTGAAAAAGAATCGAGTGCAAGAAATGAAACTCAAAATGAAAGAAATGAAATACCAAGTTCAAGAAGAGAGAGCCAAGAACAGAGCCAGAAGAGACACCATGAAAAGAAGGGCAGTGATGAAAGAAATTAGTCGAGTGAAGAAAGCCAAATATTATGTCAAAGAAGGAGGAGAAGAGACACAATAAATTGAGCGTTGTTATAGTTTTATATTAGTAACATTATCAAATTAGGTGAATATGTAGAATATGTAGCATGATCAAACTGTTTCAGAGTTGAAGAATTTACAGTGGATGGCTTTCCCTCCAAAACAATCAGTTTGAAAAATAAAAGATTGAAATGGACCTTCTTCAAAAACACATCTCCACCAGTAACAACCATTCATATGAAAACATCACGAATCATGCACAAACAAAGAAAACAACAAATAGAAACTATTCGGATGGAATATTACTGGGAAAATCAAACAACGTTATTCATCATCATCCAGCAAGAGGAAAATCACACTCTGAGGAATCTGAAATTGCTTCCGAATCGTTGGATGATGCATCCGAAGATCATCAAAATATGTCCAAGTTGAACGAAAGCTATCGCGAATTAGCGAACTCTTACAAAATACCTGGTATTGACATTAGCGCAACGAAGATATCGCTTCCCAATATCAGCAACATTGAGGGAGTTTATGGTAATGAAATATCCATGTTGTTTGGCCAAAAGAAAGCCTCTCAAAAAGGTGTCATCAAAGTTGTGGCAAGAGTAAGACCACTCAACAAGTCAAGTTATCTAGTGTCCGACGAAAACAAAATTTTAGAAATTGGGGAAGATCGAAAAAGTATTTTAATTGGAAAGCATTTAGGCAAAACCTCAAATGATGATTTCCAATCAACAAATTTTCAATTTACTTTTGATAGAATTTTTGATGAATATGCCAATCAAGAGTTGTTCTATCATAGTTGTGGATATCCATTGTTCAAAAGTTTTGCTAGTGGTGTAAATAGTTCTGTAATTTTATATGGTCAAACAAGGTCTGGAAAGAGTTACACTTTAGAAGGTCTTCTTGATGAAGAGAGAAGAGGATTAATTCCAAGATTTGTTGAGGACACATTCAAATTTATGAATACCTATAATCAAGGACAAGGTGCTTTGAATGCCAAGTTTGTCTTTTCAATTTCCTACCTTCAAGTTTATAATGATGTGGTGACAGATTTGCTTTCAAGTCAACAAAAAAATTTAAAAATTGTTGAAGACAAGAGCAAGACAGATGGCAGGACATGCACATCGGTTGTTGGTCTTCGGAAACAACAATTTAAAGACCCCAAAGATATTTACACAATTTTAAAATATGCAAAACAAAACAGAACTGCTCTCCCATCGGGATTGAAACCACCAGACCTTCACGCAAGAAGTCACACCATTCTTTCTCTTCATCTCGAACAAACATGGCCACAATTAATTTCAGCCACGACGTCCTCAATTGATGTTCAGACACACAATATTTGCAGGTATGTTTGATTCAAATGTTATAGTATTGTGCGCAACGTTGAGTATTGTCATAACATGTTCAGTCAAATCAGTTTTGTGGAATTGGCAGGTTCGGAAAAAGCAAGAGATTTTTCTCAACTCTTATCTTCCAGTGGTGCAGTGTCCAATGAGGAAGGATCAAAAATAGCAAGAACATTCAATGCTTTATCCTCTGTGATAACCTCCTTAGGAAAAACAATTCAAAACAACAACATGACAGAGACATCGGTTCAAGAGGCCATCGAATATAGTACCCTAAATCTTAGTGTCAACACAACGACCATCAACAAACCTCATATACCTTATCGAGATTCCAAGTTGACCCATATTTTAAGAGACACATTGAGAGAGGATGCTATTACTTTGATTGTCTCATGTCTTTACCCCATTCCTGAAAATTACAGTGAGATGTTAATGACTGCAAAATATAGCTCTAGACTAAAACAAAGCGTTTCTTCAATGAGCTCATGTGAACATGCTGTGCCATCTTCTCCCACCAAAGAGCATGTCAGCTCTCCGATAAAACCAAAACTCAATACTTCCGAATCATATGAAGGAACACCAAGAAAGGTTTCATTTGGAGAAACGGACGAGGAACCACGCAAAGATACCACTCCAGCATTTCCAAAACAAACAACAAATTCATTCATAGCAGATACTAGTATCAAGATGGATCATCAACCACCATCTCTAAAACAACGATATCTAGATGAGAAAGAACGACTTTTAAAAGAAAATGAAGAGCTTAGAAACATTGTTAACATTGATTCAATGACAAGAAGAAACGTGCAAAAGAATTTAGAACATTTGGAAAAAGAAATGTCTCGTGCCGATGAGGAAAGAAAAGCTCTTCGAGAGAGAGTCACTGAATTGACTCAAAAAGCAAAAGAGTATGCAGACAAGAATACATCTTTACAAGAGACACTTGTAACTGCAAAACAACAAGTTGAAAATCTTATGAAACTAAAAGAAACGATGGAAGAAGAACTAGATCGTAATCGAGAGTATATTAGTCAGCTATCCATCGAAAATTCAAAACTGAATGAGCAACTCATTAATCAGGCGGTAGATCATGAAACTACAATATCCAAATCAGCAAGAAGTCAAATGGATATCTTGGAAAAGGAAAATTATCAGTTGAAACAAGACATACTGAGACTGCACAAAACAAATGCATTGAATGAATCAAAGGCAATAACAGACCTTGAAAACTCGATCAACAATTTATCAGAAGAATTACAACAAGAAAAATCTCAAAATCGTTCTTTATCCAATGAGCTTTTGGAATCAAAGCAAATAATAGAGGAACTAAGAGTCATGTTAAAAAATCTCGAGCAAGAAAAGGATCAAATGATTGGTATGGTGGATTTATTGAATGAAGAAAAACTCAAATCTGGTGAAGAGTATCACAACCAACTGAGTGAGCTTCAATCAGTAATTAAGGAACAAGAGAAATCCATTGAAAGAAAAGTCACTGAAATTACAAGAACTAAGGAAATGATCAAAAATTTAAATCTTGAAATTGACAAGATGAAAGATTTGGTCTCAAGTCTTACCGATGAAAAACAACAAATAGAAGCCAAAGCCATACAAGAAAGAAATGACCAAAAAGTCCAAATGGAAAAATTGATGAGAGAAAACCATGAGTTGAAACACCAACTCGATTTATCCAAAAAAGAATTACACTCGACTTTGCAAGATGTACAGCGAATGGAAAATCAAATGAAGGTGATTCCAACTCTAGAGACAGAATTAATCAAAAAGGAAGAGACCATTAAGGTGCTTCAAAGAGAGGTTGAGTTTGGAAAGAATTTGTCTGACAAAACAGTGCATGAGCTTAAAGAAAGTGTAAAGAAGGAACTCTCTTCAAAATCAGAACTCATTTCCAAACTGAATACAATTTCAAATGAAAAACTCGAATTGGAAATGATGGTCAACAAACTTCAATCTCAAAATAATATTATTCTTAAGGAAAATGAAGAACAATCCATCAAATTGAAAGACTTGGCTGAAGAGTTGATGCAAATGACGATTGAAAAGAATCGACTGGAGTCCGATTACAAAACCTCGAATACAAGGTTAAGAGATCAATTATTTGACTCAAAGAAACAATACGAAACAGATACTCACCATTTCAAGGAGCAAATTAAAGCTCTAGAGTCTAAAATAAGTTCACTGAAAGAATACAACAATAGTAGGAATGTTCAACTTGAAGAGACTCTTCTGACCAAGAAGAAGATTGAAGAACAATTATTAGCTATCCAAAAGAGGTATGGAGTATTTGATACCCAACTAGGAAGTACAGCTTTAGAGAGTGAGTTGGAGAAACGAGTCGAAACACATTTAAGACTCTCTCAACTCGAGAAATTACTTGCTCAGAAAGAATCTGATCTTGAAATCTCTATATCTGAATCTCAACAAAAGACGTTGGAGAATGACAAGTTAAAGAAAGAAATGAATGAACATCGGATTGAAATTCAAACTTTAAAAAACAAACTCGAAGAGATGGAATATTCACTTACTTCACTCAAATCGAATCTGGAACATTGCATCGATGAAAGGAAAAGATTGAGAGAAGAGAATCAATCCTTATTGTCAAATAGTAGCAAGAAAGAAGATGTCATTCGAAAACTACGACAAGACCTACAAGTATTATCGATGGAAAAAGAATCTATTCTTACAGAAAAGGAGAATTTACAGTCAGTTCTAAAGAGAACTCTTGAATCTGGATGCTCTACTCAGGACGATCTTTCTCAGGCAAAATTCGAAATGATGGAATTGAGAAGAGAAAGGGATGATATGGAAATTAAACTCTTAGGATGTGAAAAGAACATTTCCAGTCTCGAAGAAGAGTTAAAACATAAGGAATTGTTGATTTCAGAGTTGAGAAATAATAGTGAACTAGTACGAAAGGAAAATATGATCAGCAAATTAGAAGAAAACTTGAGAAAACAAGCTGAAGAGAATAGATTGAACCAAGTAGAGACGATCAAATTGAAATCAGAACTCATTACTACAAAAGAAAACATGAAATCAGAAGTGTCAGACATGGAGACTAAGGTCAATCAATTCAAGAGGTTATACAGTGAAACTTTGACAGAGCTTGAGAATTCCAGAAAAGAATTCGCTATTCTTTATGAAGAAAATCAACATTTGAAAGAAGAATTTGACTCTCTCAAGAACGACCTTAGTGAAAAGGTCATCATGTTAAAAAGAGCTCAAGAGTTATCATGCTCGACAGAAGAAGCATTAACTGAAAAAACAAATCACATCGATACATTGGTACAAACAATCGAAAGTTGTGAAAAGAAGTTAAGAGAGTACATTGACAAAAACGCAATTCTACAAAATACAATAGATCACCTTGAGAAACAAATTAGTAGATATCAGGAAGATGTTTCAAACTCAAAAGAAGATTTACAACGAAAGATTGAGGAGTATAATCATCTAGCACTACGATCAAAACTACAAGAAGTTGAATTGGAAAATCTTAAAAAGAAAATAGAAACCACGAATGAACGCATTGAACAATTGGAAAAGGAGAAAAAAGAAATCTTGATGGAGAAAGAGTCAATTTGTAAATCGTATGAACAATCTCAACAAGAACTCATTTCAATACAGCAAAATCTATCGGAAATGAATAAGCAGATGTTAGAGTATAAAGAGCAATCAAAAGAAATGGCCGAGCACATTCAAAAGGACCAAGATGAACGAGAAATATTTATTGCAAGAATGAAGAGATTTGAGAGAACCATTCATTCTCTAACCTCTGAGAAAGAAGCGATTGAAAAACAGCTGCAGTCACAAGTGAGTCAAATCACAGAAAAGACCTCCATGTTGGATTATCATGAACAGCGATTGAGGCAAACAACGGAAGAACTTGAAAGATTACAATCTGAAAATAATTCAATCCGAATGGTGAACAGTGACTTGAAAGGACAAGTTGTAAAACTGAACGAAGAAAAACGAAAATTCATCAGAACAATTACTGAATACGAAACTGAGCTGGACAGAGTTAAAAAAGCACACGACAAAACAAGCAAAGAACTCAAAGAGTTGCTTTCTGACTTTGTTTTCCACAACAAGTAATCACCTCTTATTCTCCTTGCACACCAACAAATTTACTCAGATTTTAATTTTGTAAAGAATTTAAAAGGAATATAGCCCACCCCAACAACAAATAAAATGACTGAACCAAACAACAACTCTGGTGATGACCATTCTTCCGATTGCTCAACTGAAAATTATCAAGAGTTGGGATATGAACCTATCAATGACTATTGTGATGGAGAAGATGAAAACAGCAGTTTTGAAGCAGATTTTTCCGAAATTATTAACAATTTCGAAGAGGAGGGTGATCAATCAAAAGAATTAACTTTCGAAAATTTTGACGTCGATTTCGAGAAGGCACTATCTTTTGTGTTGCAAAATACAATGTCAAATGAACCACACATCACAACTATTAGAAAGAAACGAATTAAAATTACTCTCGGAGAAAAGGATCCATCACAAAAAATTCAATACATTTCACATGAAGAATCACGGATAGAGGGTGACACAAATAATAATATAATACCAGAAGAAACACATCAAACGCCCAATGACATCGAGATGAATAAGGAGTCAGTAGAATCTATTAAGAATATAATTAGAGATCTAAATTTCACGCCCACAAAGCCAGCCACCTGGATTTCTGAAGACTATTGGTTGTTAAAGCTAAAGAAAATTAAAGATGAAAATTGATTATTCTGTATTTATGTTTGGAGGATTATAGTTGTGAAATTGAACATCTTTTTTAGCTTTCGTGGCTTGAAAATTGATTAGAGACGATGAAAATTGAGAAGATTTCCTTTTCTTTTCCTTTGGTGGGGCTGTTTGCTCTTGAGATTCTGGGTTTTCTTTTGCAGATTTCGTGGGACGTTTTTTCTTTTCTTTGGTTTTGGCAGCCTTAGGTTTAGTTTTTTGTGGTGGGTGTGAGGATGAAGTGACAGGTTTTGTGGTAGATTCAGCATCTTTGGCAACTGAGTTAGACGGTGGTGCAGTAGGCTGAACCAACTGTGTTCGTGAGGGTGGTTTGTTCAATAATGTACATGAATTTGGAATATTGTTTCCCAGCAGTAATTGAGTGAACGAATTGGTGTCCGGTGATGCATTTTGAATTGGGGTGGAAACCATTGGTTGAGTCGGGTGGAGCCAAGGTACACCACTACTACTGGAAGCAGGAGAGGGTTTGTTGAGGGTTTCGGCCATGTTGGTAAAGGTGCTTAATGGTTGTTGTTGGACGTCCATAGAGGTTGAACTCAAATTCGTTAAAAGCATGTTGATATTAAACTCTTCAATGCTTTTAAAACGAGAATATCCTTCTCGCAACAAGTCCTCCATAGTCTCTTCGATCAATTCTGCTCTCATCAACCCCTTCTGCTGCAATTGAGGCGGTGTGGGGTGTATCGGTCTGAAAACGTTGAATGCAGAAGTGGTGTTGTTCCGCGATGAATCAGGCAGTGTTGGAGTGGAGGTTCTGGCGAGTTGAGCGGGTGAGGATAATGAAGAGGAGAGGAATGAAGAGCTGCTGTTCGGAGAGGTTCGTTGCACCAATGAAGAAGATTTAGGCTCAATAACGATCGTTGCAACATGTTGAGAAGAGGGAACGGACAACGCTGATTGATTACCGTAGTAAAGGGTGGTGTTATGGGGAATGTTTGGTGGAGGAGGTGCTTGATATTGTTGCGGCTTCATTGTTTGTTGATCATGATGATGATGATGATGATGAAAGGGTAATAAATTCATCAATTTGTTCTGTTTCTTGTTTTGGCTAAACCTGTGTGGAGAGTGCAAGTGAGGACTATCAAAGATAACGCAAGATGAAATAATGATGTGATGAGGATGAATCAATCAATATTAAGAAAAATAATATGGAACAAGAGTGTCTTCAGGAGAGGCGATGCTTGCAAGCCTTGATGAAGGAGAGGGTGCGTAGCTAATCGGGATATTTTTCTAATAAGATTTGGCCATAAAAGTTTTGTTCAATTTACTTTTTGGGAGTTGTGTCGAGTTGCGTTGCGCTTCTGTTTGGAATACATAATAAGGCCATCACGCGCAAGGTGTTAGGCCAGTCTGGATATCCAGGGTCGGAGAGAGTTTGAGAATGATAAGCACAGAAATAATGGTAACACGCCCTTATCAGGGATTATCCTCTTGAGCTTTTTGTTTTTTCAAATAAATCTTTCAATTTAAGCATTCCTTCTTCAGAGGATAATTCTTTTGATTCCAATTCTCTTTGTTTTTTCAAAGTTTCTTCTCCTCGTATGAATTTAATAATTACATCCTTAAATTCTCTAGTTGATTTAATATCAAAAACAAAATATAAAATTGCAATAAATAAGATGGCACCAACAACATTAATTAACGTTCCATACATGAGGGCAAGAGACGCTAATTTATATGCCAAAAGTTTTGCGTTTGCTTGCTCCTCAGGTGTTAGAACTGGAACATTTGAAGATGGAGCCTCATCTTCTTCTCTTCGCTTTTTAAAACCAAAACTACTTCCAGAAGCTCTAAAAATCATAGCCTTGGCTTGTTTCCCAGCATATAATTGAGATTCTAGTTCTTTAATTTTTCGTAATTCTTCTTCCACACTTGTTGGTTCTTGATTGGTTGATGATGTATTTGGTTGTTCCGATGGTTGTGCTGTTTCTAATGTTTCCGATGATGATGTTATGGGTTGTTGGACAGATTCCGATGCTAAATTTTGGGTCTTAGTGCTCTGTGCTGATGATTCGTAATTTGTTTGTTGTTGCCAGGAGAAGGGAGATGGATGAAAATTTCTTTGAACATGGATTCTGTTTTGAATTTGAATTATTCTCGTCTTGTTGATGCATGAGCACAAAGCGCGTGTCAACATTTTTTACAACAACAAACGAGAAAAAAATGTTTTTACTCAAGCGAGGAGCTGAATCACAAGCGAGCGAAAAGAACAATGGATCAAACAATGAATATTTTCTTAATTTTAATCATTCAGGATCGCCATCATCGATGCTAAGAAGTGCAACTGCCACGACCGCTCAAGGCTTGCAAAAATTATTTAATCATCATAAAGCATCGGAAGAGGCAGATATAAACGATATTATTACAGAAAACGAATTTAAACAAATTGTAAATTTTAGAAGATTATTTGAACATATTAAACGAATGGAAGATACGGTAAAAGGAGAAAAAGTTCAATTTCAGAAGTTATTAATATTTTGTGAAGATGCTGAAAAGTTATTAATTGCAGTGGAAGAGCCTTTTATTAAAGCCTATGGAGTGGATGCATATAATCAAATAGAAGAAGAGTTTCATATGGTCTCAAAAAGAATACGCACTAATCATAAACAATTCAACAAGGAATATTTATCAACAACGTGCCAAACCATCTCTGATGAGACCACTCAACTTCCCAATATTGAACCTCTCACTAATTGTACAAGAAACATCCAAAAGCAATTATTGGATCAGAGAAGAAATGAATCTTCACTAATTGAAGAGTATGGAGAACTACTTGAAGAAGTGGATGAAACAGCAGTGGACGAGGATGTCGAAGAGCAAGATAAAGCCACAGAAGAATTGTCCAAATTAACCTCAATGCTCAAACAGAAAGCAATTGAGGTGAACCAAGCAATTCAAACGGATGTAAATATGATGAAACGCAGCAGCGTGATTTTGGAAGAGAGTAAGAGTGCTCTTGACACAGCCCAACAACGATTAGACTCTCAGATCGATACAGCCAAGTCTTATCTGTACTCTCATATGGTATTCCTTATTGTTGTGATTGTATCATTTCTGGCCATGATTGTGATCATCTCTATATTCCCTCGCCTTGTGTAGCGGTAATTATTTTGTAAACTAAGAACTTTTGATAATTCAACAAAAAATGGCTCTTCTTGAACAACAACGTTACCACCACCACGTTGAACAACATGCTCTTCATCATCGTGCTGAAAGCCTCTCAACCTCCTTGACCTCGGGTTGGATTAAAAAATTATTTTCTAATATTCACTCCAAGAGTTTAATTCCTTCCGATCAACCCATTCTTCAAATTATTGATCATCCTCAGCTCTTTTCCGATGGTATTCATTATTTTGTAACAGTGAGTGATGGAATTCATTCATTGCCAATAATTATTCAAATCTCAGGTTTTAATTTCAATATCAAGTACAAGGATTGTATTAAATTATTGAATGGATATGTGGTGAGTGATCATCGTCAACATCAGAGAAGGTATGTGAAATTCATGTTTAGATATATATTCAAAAAGACTGACCTATGTATGTACAACATGTTTCAGAACGATCAAAGTGACTGCATTCCAAGTGATTTCAGCCAATGAACAAACTGTTCATGGGTTTCCAAAACCATTTCTTCAAAACTATAATGTATCAGAGAATTCGTCTTTTTATCATGTGAAATTAGATCCACCTGTGAAAGAAGCTATTATGAGTTTGGAATTTAGTCCTTCTATGAAGAATTTATTTTGCGTTTCTTCATTGGATCAACGAGTATGTACGACGATTTGTATTCACAATTTCTATGAACTCTATTGAATTTCATCCATGAATAGACCTATTTGGGAAGAATTAGCCAAGATGTTGATGTTGGTGAACAACAAACGCACATGACGACACAACGACCATTTCATGTCGAGTTGATGAACTACACTCACCAAGATCCAGTAATCCATTCCACAATGAGTTTGGACAATTATGTTTATTCGTCGAGTATTCTTGAAGGAATGCAAGGAACTCTTTTTAAAATTGATTTTGAAAAATCTTTGATCATTTCAACCACTCATGCCAAATCACCAATTTTTAAAACAAAACATTCTTCTGAATTGAATGCATTAACAGGATGTTCTTGGAATGGAGAAGTAATACTCTTGGATGATAGAACCAATCGATTAGAAAGTCATTCAGTTTTCTCTGCACAGTCTGTTCATTATATGGACTTTAAATTTCCAAATATGATTGTTTTAACAAAACAACATTTTTCCTTGTATGATGTGAGAAATGGAAGGTGTTCAGAACCAACACTTATTGATCCCACTGAGATTTCTTCATGTGTTGCACTACATCCTTTACGTGACATGGCAATGATCGGTACTACCAGTGGAAAAGTCATGTTTTATTCATTTGAGAAATCAAGATATAACAAGAATGGAATACAATACATGCCTCACAGAGAAGAACAAAAATCACACAGTATTGTAAATAGCATCAATATTCCATATAAGAATTTTTGGCAAGATGGATCTATCATTACAACAGCATCTAATGGAGTTTCATCTTTGTGGAATTACAAGACATGTCGTAAAATTTATGACATTTCCATTAATGAACAAGGTCTTGGAAATTCATGTGGAGCGTTGAATGAGGATCATTCCATATTTGCATTTGCAGTCACAGACAGAGCTGTAGACTCAACAGCGGTAAAGCTGAATGTAGATTCTAGTCTTGTCTTTTATCCTATTTCAACGACAAGCAATCATCACTCATCAGATAGAGACTATGAAGACGTGCTACTACCACCAACTTTGGATTCTGTAGGTGCAGATCAACCTCTCAAGACAAATACTTTAAAAATTGTAGAACAGGCATTTTCGAGTGCAGATTCTTTTGCAAATCCAAAACAACCAAGTTATATTTCCTATTTGAGAATGAACAAAGCTAAACAAAAGCATTCTGAAAAGTGCCATTTTAATAATTTCCATTATTTACCAAACGAATTAATTGGAAACATTCTCGAGTATTTACAAGCTAGTTCTCTACCTCTTCTTTCCTCAGTAAGCAAACAATTCAGAGAATGTATATTTGAGAAATTGCACACGTTGATTATTAATAGGCCAATGCATGGCAAGTTTTATACCAGTTTTTTGCCAGAATTTGTGAATATTCGACATTTAATATTTAAGGGCATTGCTGTGCGTGATGTCTCATTGTTAATTTCGCATGTAAGGAACAAGGTAGTGAAATTGACATTAATTTTACCAAAAGAAGATGTTCTTGCTCCACAAATTCATATTGAGAATTTATTGATTTGGAGCAGTCTCTCAGAGTTAGTGATTTACAATTCTCGACATTTACAAGGTACCAAAGGAGACGGTGACCGTAGAAAATTGCAAAAATTACACCTTATCAATTGCATGTGTGATTTTTCCTCACTGTTTGAATTGATTTATATTCCGTCATTAATTGATGTGAACATCAGTGGATCTAATTTACCATATAATCAATTAATGTGTACACAAGAATCATCATTGAAAAAGCTTGTACTGAGCGGTGGTTCTAATCTTTCAGACTTGCAAGACTTGTTAAATTGTCACAAAAATATTGAAGAACTTCAAATGACCAACATGAAAGATCGTTTCTCATCCACATTAACTCTTCCTACAACATTGAGGTCCTTGAATATCAGTAATAATCCAATCCTACCACGACTCAAGCTACCTCTGTTGACACAACTCATGGTGGATCATGCTCCTCTTGACCAAAAGCAACTTGGTGAAATTTTGGAGCATTGTCCATTGTTAACTTTTATTTCTGCCAAGTATTGCAAATTACTTGATTTGGCCGATTTCAGACACCGAAATTTGACGAGTATTTCCCTCTTTGGATGCGTTGAACTGAAGAGTTGCACCATTTATTGCCAAAATTTAACATTTTTGAATGTTGGAAAGACATTGCTCAACGACGAAAGTATTGCTAACATTTTGAAGAACAACCATGCACTCAAGCAATTACATACTTCATTTTGCACGAATTTGATCGATCCATTTCATTCAGTGCCGAGTCATGGTTCACTCATGATTTGGAATGTTGGTTCATGTGCAGCGAGTGATGCAGCTCTCTTTAATGCTCTTCAAAAAGTTCCGACTTTACAAATTTTGAAAAATTAAATGTTTTTATACTTTGAATGTTTGGAATATATTTTCCTTATTAACCTCCATAGCAAGAGGAGACACTACAAGAGCCCCCTCAATTGGTGGTGGTATTGGTGCTTTTGTATTTACAACATTTCCCTTCTTAAGTTTTTCAAGTTCTCTCTTTTCTTTTTCTAATTGCTTTTCCAATTCCTCAAGCTTTTCTTCTTTCTTCCTGACAAATTGTTCTCTCTTTTCAAGGGCCTTCTCTTTATCCTTTAAAATTTTGTACATTTGTTGGAGATGAGTTTCCATTAGTGGATATTTCATGATAGTAGAATCACAAATTTCTGCAATTGTAATTCGTTTTTCTGGCTGTTGTTCATAAAGGAATGGCCATTGTGTTATTGTTAGAAAGTGTGTCCGTTCGGCTTAATCATGTCTGAAACAACTTACATTAATACGAAGCATGCTTGCAATTAATTCTGATAATTCCCGACTGTATTGAGAAGGAATTGGCTCATATTTTCCTGCAAGAATCTTCTTTTCCAGCAAAACACCATTTGGAGCTTTGAATGGAGGTTCTAGAGCACACAATTCATAGAGCATGCAACCCAACGACCAAATGTCACAGCTTTCATTATAACCTTGATCTGAAACATGTTCAGAGAGTAATTCTGGACTCATGTAGTAAGGAGTTCCCAATTTCGTGTGAGCCAACTTGGTATTATCAGAGAGCATTCTTGCCAAGCCAAAATCACCCAACTGTTCAAGTTTGTTAACAATGTGAGTTTCAATCATTTTCTAAACATACCTTGGCATTCAAGTTTTTATCTAAAAGAACGTTGGCTGGTTTCTAATGGGGGTTGTATTTGAGAATCCAATGAGTCCGTTATAAAAAGAATAATGGAGTCGTCGTAAGATTCAAATGTAAGTAGTAGAAAGATTGAAGCAACCTACCAAATCTCTATGGATAATCTTGCCTCCCTTTCTTAAATGACATTCCTTTAAGGCAGAACAGATTTCAGAGAATATTTTGAGAATGGTGGCTTCATCGATATACTCCTTTCTCTTCTTCAATGAAGCAATGAATTGCGATAGATCGCCTCCCTCGCAACATTCCATGACAATATACAATTTTTTCCTTGCCCGATCAAGTACTCGATTATGATACTTGACAATGTGAGGATGGTCCAATCCTCGCAAAATATTTACTTCTGTTTAGGAGTGTTTAGCGTTGAGAGTACTAGCCATCATCAATCGATACCTACCAGATACGATGAGTTGTTTTTCCTTTTCGCTCATTTTGGAGTAATCAATTTCCTTCCAAACGTACAACTGTTGGTCCTTCTTCGATCTAACCTTCATCACCTTACCAAAGCTTCCCGATCCAAGCTGCTCCACAATTTCAAAGTCGCTCAATTCTGTCATGTTGTTTATTTTTTTTTAATTTCAACAATCGTTAAGGTTTAAATTAAGGCGCCAATTTGAGTAACGGTTATTTATGAAGATGTCGAGAAATTTTGTGTGCAATGTATTGCTTGGGGAGTGAAGCATTGGAGGAATTGCTCCATTCTGTGAGCTTGTTGTGAAGTTGCTTTTTAACAAAAGATTATTTAAAATATATAATTAAATTGATCATAGTTCAACATTCATCGAATTGACTTACGTTGGTGAAAGAAGAGGATCCCTCCATGTATTTCAAAAAAGTGGGATTACTAAATATTGCATCCAACAGTTCAATGTATGGCTTGTCTTTTTCAATACGATCCATCTCTTGTAAGGTCGATATACCTTCAAGTTGGGAAGTGGAATATTCACAATTTGACAAAAAAACTTCAAGAATATCAAAAGGTCTCTTCACAACCGCTTGACCATTCGTGACAAACATTCCCAATTTTTCTTCTTGGTGATTCAAAATAAGATAACTCAAGTTATCCACCATTTGAGGATGTTGGTTAAAATGTTTCACAAAGGATGTGAGAGTGGTTGCAGCAAGCTTTGACAAGTTATTCTCTACCTCTTCATTTGCTTTTTGTTGATAAATATTGGTAATTCTATCGGTGAGATGAGTAGTGCTTAGCAATTCCAATAAACATTTGGTAGTTTCTAAATTTCCAAATTCCTCAATATAGGTTCCAGTAGATGCAACATTGATGGTTGTTCTTAAAGTTGAAATGATATTTTCCAAATGAGTTCTGTGAATCATCTTCTTATTTTCATCATACACAGAAAGGAACATTTGTGTGATAAATTCATCATCTCCAAAATAATAAATAAGAGAATCTTTAAGAGCTCCTTCAATTTCAGGTGCCCACTGTATCATTGTGTGTAGTGAAAAAGAATGTTTCACATCATTGCAGATAAAAACCTACCAACCAATTGATGTGATATAAGGTGATCGAGAAAAACAGAATTGAAAATAGTCCAACCCATTTCACAAACTCTCTTGTTCGTTCCTTACTTCGATTCTTCATCTTGGTTTCATATTCTTGTTGTTTTTGCTCATGTTTCAATCTTTTCTTCTCAAAAGCAGATTGAATTTGTTGCTCTGTTATGGTTGGTTTCGAAACTTCTCTTGAAACCAAAGACGTCATCAATGGTCGGAATTGATGGTTGTTCATCATGATGCTTTTCATCTTTCCGAATTGTTCCATTCCTCTTGTTGTTGTTGTCTTAATTTGAGTGAGCAGACAAGAAGAAACCATCATAAAATTTCTTTCATGTCCATTTCTGAACATCCATTGAGCCTCCTTTGAGAGGAATTTGGCTTTCAATACCATGCTTCGTGAACGTGTGTGTTCGAGTTGTAATATAATAATAATTAAGAGAGAGATTGTTGTGAGAATAATTCTTTGTGATTGAATTTCGGAGAGCAGTCGGTGAAAATGATAAAAAAGGTCCAAAAGTTTGCACGACAAACAAGCTGGCAGCGGCTTTTTCATGAAATCACACAATCATGTCGTGCCAACTTTTGAACCTTTATTATTTGTCCAAAGAGAGAGTGTATATATATGATATCCAAATATCAAATAATAATAATAGTAATATTAATTGAGGTAATATAAATAATTCATAAATTAAATGGGTGGTTAATTGTCAGATTCATTGACCTGCCTTCTGGTGAGCCTCTAAAATCTAGATTGAACAATTTTACTGTATTGAGCAGGTGTTTTGGTATTGATGGTCAATCCGTGCATGTTTTGGATATCTCTTTTCAACACCTCCATCACCATTTTGTGTTGTTTTACTAATGAAACTCCTTCAAATTTCTTAGAAACGACCAAGATATCAAACATTGCTCCACATCCTCCGGAAATATCATTTACTTTAATTACAGTGGAGTCGTTATCGGAACCCTCCTCACCGAAATGTTTGTGCAATATTTGTGCTAAATCTTGCTCTGTTCTTTTGACTTCGGAATTAGAAATTGGATTGGTATGAAACTCTCTTCTATTTTCCAATGATGAGGAGATGAGAGTTAAACGGCCGAATGAAGAAGATGCTGTTGCCGAGAAGCTACTGAAATGAAAAACATCATTTGAAAATAATAATAAAGGACGACGAGCGAGTGATGATGATGAAGAATTTGCAAATCTAGAGAGCCTTTGAAGATGTGATTTCATTTTTTGATAATCAATTTCATATTCTTTTTTCCTAATATTTATTAATATTTATGGACTTTGGAATTCAACGAGACAAGCGAAGAGCATTCTGTTGGAGAATACCATGCTGCTACTCTCCGCGGAGTGTCCATAGGAATGTGTGTGTTGTAAATTCGAGATCAGCTCCGCAAAAAAAAAAGAGTCTTGTATTCACTCCATCTCATTCACTCAGTGACATTTCATCAACACCACAACGGAGAATGAGCAAAATTTCACATCATCATGATCATTACCGATCACCATCATCAAAACGAAACTCCCTTTCTCACTTTCTTTTCAATCTTTTTGTAATTTTATTCGTCATTCATTCGCACCACCACCTCCACCATTGGGTCGAGTCGGCATCATCACCCATTCGCACCACCACCTCTACCACCTCTTTCATCCAAAATGGTACAACACTTGTTCCGAAACAAACTTTGACACACACACGAACAACAACATCCTCATATGTACCAGTCTATATCATGATGCCACTCAATACGGTCAATAACGATGGTTCACTCAATAATCCTTCTCAAATTAGAGCGAATTTACAAAAAGTGAAAAGTGTTGGCACCGATGGAATAATGATTGACGTTTGGTGGGGAATTTGTGAACAAAATGCTCCACAATCTTATAATTTCACAGCCTATCAACAATTATTTACCATGTGTCAACAAATTGGATTAAAAGTTGAACCTGTCATGTCGTTTCATCAATGTGGTACGAACATTGGAGATGCTGCTTATATTCCACTACCAAAATGGGTATTGCAAGTTGGTCAATTTAATCCAGATATATTTTATACTGATCAGAATGGTCACAGAGATCGAGAATACTTGTCATTGGGTGTCGATCATGTTGCAGTCTTTCCAACAAGTGTTCCTGGAAAGAATCGAACAGCAGTTGATATTTATTCTGATTTTATGACAGCTTTTAGAAATACTTTTTCAAGTTTTATTCAAAGTGGTGTGATTGATGTCATTGAAATTGGATTAGGACCTGCTGGTGAGATGAGATATCCATCTTATCAATTACAAAATAATTTGTGGAGTTTTCCTGGAATTGGAGCTTTTCAGTGGTATGTTGACTTGTTTCATATGAGGATCTTCTGATTGTTGTATGGTTGTTGTCACTTGTCATTATGGTGACACCATACCCTAATATTATAATGACTATTTCAAAATATTATGATCACATGCCATTGTTAAACTCGAAACTCTTCGTATTGATTTTCAGTTATGACAAGTACATGTTAAATAATTTAGCTCAAGCTGCAAGAAATGTTGGACACCCAGAATGGGGAACTGCTGGACCCAACGACGCTGGATATTACAATTCCATGCCATATCAAACTGGTTTCTTTAGTGACAGCACTTACAATAATTATGCTTCCAATTATGGTCAATTTTTCCTTAATTGGTATTCAGGAATGCTCATTCAACATGGCAGTGCTATTCTACAACAAGCTCGTTCTATTTTTGGAAAGAATGTAAAACTCGCAGGTAAAATTGCAGGTATTCATTGGTGGTATTTCACAGATAGTCATGCTGCTGAACTCACTGCAGGATATTACAACCTTCCAAGTTATGATGGTTATGGAGCTATTGCACAAATGTTTAGTCAATATGATGTTGATTTTGAATTTACATGTATGGAAATGATTGACAGTCAACAACCTTCGAATTGTGCATGTGGACCTGAAGAACTTGTTGCTCTTACTCGATCGACAGCATGGAAATATGGATTGGATTATGGTGGAGAGAATGCCTTAGATATTGAAGGTAATACTCAAGCAAATGAACAAATTGTAAAACAAGCTTCATCCAATGGAAAGACAATTTCTGGATTTACTTATTTGAGAATGAGTGACACATTGTTAAATTCAAGTTATAATTTTAATATTTATGCACAACTTGTGAATCAATTACACAACTTGGAATTCCTAGAAGGTCATTCCAAAAAACTCTCAATGCTCATTCAAGAATTGAAAAAGAACACTAGAATTTCATAAATATTCATTCTTTGTTTCAAAGAATGCATCCACAAGATGTTTATCTTTCCAATATCTCCTCATTTCCAGCTCGCATCAATGTCATCAATGCCACATGTCATTTTTGATTAGTTCTCCTAGAAGTAATACATGATGTGGATGAGATTCACTTTCCAAAGAGAGCATATTTGCATCTTCTAACATGAATTTGACATTCTCAAAAAAGCATTGAAATTACCGTTCAGTCCATTCTCTAATTGATGGTGCAAAGAATAAGACTGAAATTAGATCAAGTGTTCCAGTAAAGTATATTCATCATCTCTGAAACACTGCGACATGCGCGACCTCCACCACTCGACACACTCTTTAAAAAAACATTCATTGCATGAACAACAACCTATGAAAAGAGTTTTCAACTCTACCTTCATGAGTGATTCCCATGTTGAAGATAAAGAATATGAAAAACATAACTCTTCTCAGCACCATGAAAATCATCATCACTCTATTCCTTGTTGGGTTCTCGTGGTGGTGGTGGTGGTGGTCGTTGTCCTCCTCTTCTCGAGATCTCCATGATGATGACGATGAGGAGGAGAAGAAGGTGCATTCGGACAAGTGGTTTGTGGATGCATTGACTAGTCCAACCATGTTGACAACCACTCATCAACATTTCACCATCCCATCTTCATCTTTAACATCATCATCTTTAATATCATCATCTTTAACATCATCATCTTTAACATCTTCTTCTAACAACAATTCCTCTCTTTCTGATTATACCACCAATTGTCCTCTTTTGAAACGAATAAGAACCATTGCACTGGAACATGGTTATTACAACAACTCTTCTTATTTTCTAATACCATCCTTCAATTATACCAATGATATGATTACCAATTGGGAACAATATCATTGTGATGGAATACTCAACACACAATTCAATTCAACCTCAAAGGAAGGAATTAAATTTTTTGATAACATGTGGAATGTCAACTTTGTACCATCCCACAAATTCAAACTTTGGATTTGCTGTTTGGAAAGTCATTATTGCTTAAATTTGGAAAAATTGAAGTCACCTTTTACAATCGAACACAACTTGCATTTTGCACCAATGATGAGAATGATCATCCATTCGTTCTCTCTCATGTTGAATGCAACGGAGCGTATGTGAAATTTTGGGTTCCACTCAGCATGAACTTGCCATTCAAAATTATTGAATTCATTCTTTATACAATTCAATTCATTTGCTTTGTCATTTTAATTGGAATTCCAATCGGTAGCAAAACTTGGAAGAAACTTGTGGATCACATTCAACACACACAAAATGTCATTATTGTGGAAAGAGGTAAAACAAAACAACAATCCAATAATTCCTCAATTTCATCAAACAAAGAAGAAGAACATTCGATCCAACATGATGCAAATCTCTCCCAACTCACTAGTCATTTACATCAATCAAGTGTCAGCATTGTGAGAGGTGAAGAACAGTTGGTGGTTGTGACAACATCACCTTCCACTTTAACACTTTCAAATGCTGAATTGACCATCTCTTCAACCCACTCTCTATCACAACCAGCTAATGAAATGGAGACTTCTAAACCTACCACTTTTACTACAACTTCAACTCCTACTATTACAACAAACAAGATATCCTCTCAGAAAGAATCATCTTCTCCTTATCAAGCACTCTTGTTGGGTTATATTAGAATTTTATGTGACTTACGACTTCTTTCCACATTGTGTTTTCATTTGAGTGTTTTATGTTTAATGATTAATTCACTAATTTTCTTTGCTGTGACAAGTGATTTTGGAAATGCAGTTCATCAAAATGTTGCTCCTGCAATTGCATCATTGACATTTATATGTTCAGGATTGATACCTCTTTCTGGAACCTTTTTAGAAGTATTGTTAACAATTTCACAACAGAATGCGACCATTTCTATTCATGCAATGTAAGTATGAAATATCTTGATGGTCAATTTCACCAATTGTCTTCATTTTCCTAACATGTGGATGTTCAAAATAACAACAACAAAATAATATCCTTACTTGTCATTATGCATGTTCAAAATAATAACAACAAATTCACAGAATCATTGTTGCTATTGTCATGGCAATTACCATTCTCATAACCGTTGTCATTTTAATTGCAGCATTTTCAGCTCTATCTGTTACGGTAACAGTTCGAATAATGTCTCTTCCAATTGGTTTAGTAGCACTTGTAATTTCATGGACCATCATTTTGTCCTATTCCTTCAAGATTTATTTTATGATTCGAAAACAGAGAAAGATTCATTTCTTTAAATTTAAGGTAAGTGATCATGTTGTGTCTCTTGTCGTAGTGATGATTTATTGAATCCATGATGATCAACTTATTCAAATAGTTCACACAATACTTGTTCATTCTCATGTTAGGAATATTGTACCTCTTGTATGAAGTTATTACAGAATTGTGTTACTTGTTTAGTACATCTGTCACTCTCGATACTTTATTCACACGTCTCTTTAAACATAGAGTAGCATGTTACCTATTGGGAATTATGTTGTGGGGAGGATGTTATGTCTTATTTAGTAAGGACAATATGATTGAGTGTTATGGATTTATTTTGAAGCGATGTTTCAAGATTAAACTTTCAAAATCAAATCGCTCGTAACAATAATAACATAATATAACAAATTCTCAAAATACAGTCATGATCTCAACATTCCAAAGAACAATACTCTGATGATCACTTCTTCAAGATACAATTACATGCCACCAATTTTGACTCATTCCAAACATTTAAAGAGCGCAGATAGGTCAATGCAACTCAGATCATAAGTTTGATAAGGCATTACAATTGTAATACTTTTTAGACATTAAATTGATGGTAAAAGGTTCATCATCATTTTGTAAGCTTCAGCCCATTCGCTTTTCTTTCAAGGGAAAGACGTTCAATGACATGGCAAAATGGTAGTGACATTAAAGATTGCCAAGCGATGCAAAAGCTGGACAAGTTTCCGATCTTCTTGTTGAATGATTTAAGTCCCTTCTAACTACAGGTGTTAAGGTGAAGGTTCGTGATTACCATTTTAAGGTTTAAAAAGATAAGATATATACATTATTTTGAAGCGTCATTTCAACAGACAGGAAGAAACTTTCAAAAGGCAGTGAGGTGTTGAAATGAATGGATGTTTATTGTGTTCATTCCTATTACGAATCTATTTAAAAAAACTCTTTGAATACACACACACGTGGGTGAGATTACAACATGTGTTGCTCTCTTGTTAATTTTCTTAATAGCTTTTTGTCAATGAAAAATCAATCTCAATTCTCCTGGTATCTCTCTCTTGTGAACACGGTTAAATGGATTTACTTTTAAGGTATATGATACATTTTTAGGATAATATTTGAGATTGCGCAAAGCTATTGATCCATATGAGTATCATCTTTTTGTCCACTCATTCCATCAATTTTGGTTGATTCAAATTGATTTCACACAAGTATACATTATTCATGTGATCACACTAAAGATAATAATACAGGATCAACTCACTAGTTGATGGCTTTGACAATGGTTGAAACTAACTCTTCATGAAGTGGTGTTAATCTCGATCGGTCGATATTAACCATCACATATCTCGTTTCATATTTGTATTCTGTATCGAAATGTGTGTGTTTTGGTTTCAAGTCGTCGTTGTCGTCGTGTTGTGACCTCACAACAGTTGGCACATCTAAAATGTTATCCAAACGATCTGTCAATTTCACAAGCAATGCTTCCAAACTCATTGAATTTAATTTTTCAACAAAATAAGCTCCTCTTCCTAATCTTTTCTTTAAAACTGTTTCTGAAAGATCATCAATTTGTGAATGGAGTCCATCAACAATGATGGTTCTTGCAGATTCATCCAAAGTGTGTTCACGATATTCCTGTAACTTTTTTTCACAGAGAGCTTTCACTCGAGTGTCATCGTTGGTCACTTCACTCACAAATGTTGCAGTAATGGCTCCGAATTGTGTGGACAATTCTTCAAAAGTTGTTTCTGTATCTTCGAGAGTGTCATGTAAAACAGCAGCACATAAAATTGACTCGCAAAGGGTGGTTGAAGGGATGGTGTTGGCATCAATTTGGATTGTTTGATTCATTAATGACTGAACATAGGGTGTGTCTTTAAACTGAGCCAAGAATTGATTCAATCGTTTCGCAACACTCTATCACCATAGAGTATAATTATTATGATGATGATCACAAACAATTCTTCATGATCATACCATGTACCTACTTTTGGATGTTCGACATAGGGCGTTTTGTTGTCCTTTCTCATTTGTGAAGCATGTTTCAAGGTTGCGAATTGTATGCTCTTTCCGAACAAGTTTGTTTCGTTGGGAACGATGAGAAGAGTGGTGTCGAGAGAAGATGAAGACATTTTTGTTGACTGTCGAGAGGCGTAATGCTCTCTGTGTAACATGTTACAGCAATTGGACAGAATATCAAAATTAATAATAACAAGTGAAACCCAGTGGATTATATTCATTCATATGAGTTCAAAATTCCATCTCCGAAGTATATTATTATTGACAATAATCCATCATTTAAATAATAATAATGAAATTCAATGTTGATGATGATGATTTACTTCTTTTGTTGTTGGGCTAATAATTCCTCAAAATTCTTCTTTGAAATCTTTGGCATTTGACGATAAATCTTGCTGGCCTTATCCGAGTTTTGTGTGTTGAAATAAACGTTGAGGATGGCGCTATGAAGATAGACCAATGAAACTGTGTCTTCAGGAGCAATTTGTTCTAAAAATTGATGATATAAACTTTCTGCTTCGGCTTCCTTTTTCAAGAGAGCATATCCACGGATGTATCTCCAAGCGTTTTTGTATGTGATTTTACCCTCTTGTTTATCCTTTTCAATGACACCAATAACTTCATCAACTTTTCCTTGTTCGGCCATTTGTTCAAACTTTTGAAAATCGGCATCAATATTAATATCTAACCATGATGCTCTCGAAACATGGAAGGAACGGATTGAAGGAGCAAAGAGGCTTGATGATGAAGGGATGATGCGACGGTGTTGAAGGAACGAAGAGAGCGAGGAAATTCTTCTCATTTTTGTTTTGTTTGAAAATTCAAATAACAATCAAGCTTGATTCATCGAATTGTGAATTTATTGTTGGTGGTTGGTGTGCAAGAGGGAAAAGTCAAAACACAATGCAATATGATCCGATGGAAACATATCTGATGGAAGAGCTTCATATTCTGAGGCTCTTTCTTGTGAAATCATTTCGAGAGCTCGACAAACAGAGACACACGTCGTTTTGATTGGTGGACCATCCTTGTTCATCACATGGTTGAACTGAAAGGCATAATCCAAACAACCCTTGTAGTTCTTAGTATAGTTTGTAAATGGAGGTTCTTGGCCAATTACTTTCTTATAGAGTGAAAGTCCTCCTGATGATGAGAGAGGATTTGTTAATTTTTGACGAAACCTTAATGGTGAAGCTCCCTCAGAAGAGGATGCTTCTTGAGAGGACTCACTGGTTTCACATATCGAGACATACTTTGAGAATTCTCCATTTGGTGTGAAAGGAATAAAACTTCCAGGTATAAAAGCTTCTCCTTTCGTAAGTAATTCATAAACTTCACTGTCCGGCATTGAATTGAAATCTCCACACAGTAAAATTGTAATTGTCGAATCAATATCGTCATGATTCTGGTGTAGAAAATAGAATGTTTTCATCAGCACATATTGAGCTTGGCAAAGTTTCACTTCAGGATATGAAGGATCCCAAAACAAGTGCAAATTGACGACACAAAAAACTTGATAGGTGTCAAAGTGCCTCAGCAACACAATGTTTGCAATATTGTTAGTTATAAATTTGGAGATTAAATTACTACTAGTAACCACGTTTCCATTCAGATCAGATCGTTCATTTACATCAATTTCTGAATTTCTTTGAATTTCTTGACCAACCTCATTCAAGAAAATGGGAAATTCATCTAAAACTTCAAATTTCTCTAATTTCCAAAATGTTGCACATCCATCGGGTTTAAATGCGGTTCTTTGAGTATATGATGATGCATATCCAGCCTTCAAGAATTTATCTTTCCAATGGGTTGAGTATTTATCGCATTCTTGCAAACAAATAATGTCAGCATCATAACACATAAATTCTGCCCACAGCCTAATTTTTCGGTTTGCCCAATACAAGATTTCAGAAGTATCGGGTAAATGTGGACAGTATTGTTTTCTTGAATAATCTTGGCATAGCATATTGTAGCTAAGTAAGCGAAAGAAGTGTTGAGAATGATTATCATATGGTTGTGTGTTGTTATTTGAATGGTCTTGGTGTTCCGTAGACGGATCATGAAAAGATAAAGAATTTTCAGTGTTGATACTATCAATACTACTAATAATGTTGTGATCCTCATCATGATGATGAACATTTCCGATGCGTTGAACACATTTCCAATTTCTGCCCATACAATTTTCAATCGGAAAGAGCTCTAATGAAGTAGGCTTTTTTTTAGGTCTTCCTCTTCGTTTTGTTTGATTTTGTTGGTTCATCAACATTTGAGCAACTTCGTGCTCGGAAAGGTCTGACAGACAGGCAAATTCAGAACTTTTTGAAATTTCTTCTTCAGAGCTGTTTGGCCTTCTCATTATAATTGTTGAGTGGACAATTTTTTTTTTGAAACATCTTGAGATTCACTCATCCATGATCTTGAATAATTGGAGTGTTGTTTAATATGACATATTATTTACAAATACATTATTTTCTTCGTTTTGACTCTTTCCATTCCTGGATTCTTTGTTTGAGTTCTGGTGCTGGTTGTAGCATGTCTACAGAGAGAGGAGATCGATTGAATGGGTCAGTATTGTTGTTGAGTAAATGTCGTTCAATCGTTGGTCTATCAATGTAAATATTAGAAAGTGGCAATAGAACAGGATCTTCCATGATGGTATAAGTCAGCGGGTCAAGGAATTCATCTGGAGCGTCACTAAAGTCTACATTCTCGTCAACAAGTTTATGTGCTTCTTCGAGTGCTTTCAAAGCAAAGGTGTCAAACTTCTTGACATATTCTTCCGTTTTTCCAATCTTTCTCAAGATGGCAACAACACGTTCGAACACATCTGCCTTGAATGACCGTTCATCTCTAGCTACAGCTCTAGCGAATTCATCATAGGGAGAAAAGTGAATATAGGTGTCTGTAATTTCTGTTAATAAATATTTTGGATTGAATTGATACTTCTCTGGATCTTTGACCTTCAAGTTTTGACATTGTGGACCTGCTAGTTCGACCAAGAAATAGTTGAGCATGGAGGCGACTCGATCAACCATTTCTGGACGGAGGAAAGGTTGTGGAATGTCCCTTGAAAGGTAGCTTAACATATGTACAGTTTCGTTGGCAAGCAATAGATAAGATTTAACCATACGCTCGTATTGAGCGAGTGCGCTTAGCTTATCTTGCTTTTGCTGTTGTGTCATGCTGCTCCACTCCGCAGTATTATCCATCACAACTTGAATTTCCTTAATTTTTTGAAGATCCTTAAGACTTTCATCCAAGAGATAGATCGAGTCATTGAGAAGAACGTTAAAGAACTTCATAAACTTTGAGTGAGCTTCTAAATGTCTTGAAAGCTTGATAAATGATTGCTTGTACGGGTTGTATTGCCACAAGTCTTTCAATAACAAGGAAATGTAGTAACGGTAGTTGAATTTTTCATAGAAGGAACTCTCATATTCAATATCAACGTAAAGATTCATCAACCCTGAAGTAAGATGTTGTTGAGAATATTTGTGATTGGGTAGATATTCAACTAACTTTGGTGATAGGACATCATGCACTCCTTGAGGAATCAAGGCACAATAGAACTCGGGTAGTCTTGCAAGTAGATATCTGTTTTTGACGTAATGAGAATTATGAAGGAACATGGCCATCATGTCAAAAATTTCATCTAATACGACTAGATTCAAAGTCTCGGGTTTAAATCTGAGTAAGAAGGTTAGAGCAATAACAATATCTTCAAGGAAAAACTCTGACATGGAAGCAAAATCCTTTGGAACTTCGGCTGGTAGGTGAGCAACACATGGAGTGCTTGGATAATTTTTGTGATTGACAGGATCTGCCATTTGGATGAGCCAAATGCTACTGAATCTATAAAAATCTGTCATTAGCTTAAGAAGTTGAGGATCAAAAAGATGTGTCTCTGCAGTCCATCTTACAATGTACAACAAATCAATTTCTTTTCTAAGCTCTGGAGTTTGATTTGTTCCATACACTCGTTGAGACTCTCCAAGTCTCTTGAGAGCATTTTGATATCTTTCTTGAGTGACAAGATAACCAATGTGAAGACATCGGTACGCCATGAAAAAGGACTGTGTAATGAATGAGAAGTCAGTTGGTTGTTTTGTTTTGTAATACTCTTCTGCGTCTTTTTCAGTCATTGCGAATTTTGTGTCATGCTTAAAATTGAGATCATTATTCATCATTACAAAATCACTCTGAATTTTTGATGTTTGAATTTTGTTTGGTTCAATTTTAAGGAAAGGTTCACAAAGCTTTAAGAGTACTGCAGCCATGTTGGTCATGAACCCTTCACTGGCTATAGAATATGGGTCAGCTTGAAGTTTAGCTCGAGAAGCATTTGAATCTATCGTCAACATCAACCATTCAATTGTCTTGTCTCTTGTTTCTTTTGGTTTAAGTAAGTTCATAATTATACCATGTAAATTAGTATGATACATTGATATTTTTGTTCGAATTTGTTCCTTAATGTTAGCGACATCTTGGTTTGTCAACCTCTCAATGTCCGCACGGAAAAAGTGTTCTCCAACTTTTGGTTGGTCATAATAGGCAGTGATTTTGAAAAATGGACCCAAAATGCATTCATATTCAAATCCATAACCATCTCTTTTCTTTGGAAAGAAATTAGTGTGTCCCACCAGAATCATAGCAATCTCCTTGATAGCTGTTATTCTTTTAAGCCCAAATAAATAAGGAGTATAGTCATCAAGTAACGTTAATTTCAGCATTTTTGATGACATTTCTGTGAATATTGGAGTAAATATTTTCTCTAAAGTATTGTCCTTTGAAAATCTTGCGACAAAATCTTGCAAGAACGTTCCTGGAAAATCTCTATAGATAAAGGGTAAGAGTTGAAGAGGTCCTTGTTTTGCCACACTTTCAGGTTGACTGAACATGTCAGGATTTGTTAAAACAATGCCACAGTACGAGACAATGAGTTCTTTCAATCCTTTTACAAATTTGATTAGATCTTCTTTCTTTTTTGTTTCAGCAACACTCAATTCCTTTTCTGCTCTTTCAAAACATTCCATCAAATAACCAAAGATTGTTTTGTCAGTGCTAGTTTCAAATCCTTTCGAAACACGTTCCACAATAACACCCTCCACATGATTTTCAGTAAAAAGTTGTGGTGCCTGTTGTTGCGATAATTCATTCGCAAGATCTTTCAAATGATGCAATGTGGGATCAATCTTTGAAGGTGCCAAACACACTTTAAAGATCCTCGAAATTGCATCATGAATAAATTTCTTGGATGAATCTGTATAATGATCAAATTAAAAACGTTTGATAATTTTGTACAAAATAATTTCCAAATGGAATCACTTACCATCGTATCCTTCTGATTTGACGGAGGTTGATTTTGAAGGAGTACTTGCTGTCGATGAAGGCTTTATAAAATCATCTCTTGTATCCATCATATCGCCTCCACTACTACTACTAGACGATTTCGTGCTGGAACTGCTGCTTGGAGTGCGAACAGTATTGCTTGCAGATTTGATCGGTGTGCTCGAGCAATGCAATGTCGATGATGCTGCTTGATTCGTTGTTGGAGCGCTTGTAGGAGCATTTAGACGATTTAATCTTCGTTGCCGAATCTCATCTGCTGACAAGGCTTTCTCTCCACCTTGTGCAACACTCGCATTATTGTTGTCAACTACGACCGGAGGTTGAATTGTTGTTGATGCTGTCGTTGCTACTTCATTACCAGATGTTGGTTGTTGATTTTGTTGATTCTTCTTTTCCTCATCATCGTCGTTTTTGTTTCCAGACAGAAACAGTCTAACAAAGTTCGACATGTTTTGTTACGCTGATGAATCCACAATCAATATCCTCTTTTTATTTTTTTTTCGTATTATTTTTAGGACAACGTTCCAGTTTCAAACTCAAACCCAGGTTAACCCAGAGTTCGTGTCAAATCATGAACGAAATGGAAAACAATGAGAGAAAAGAACTGTTTTTTGGTTCAATTACAATGTTGTTTGACAATAGAATTTGCTAGAATTGTTGCTTTCTTGAATACGGAGTTGACATTGATTCAAAGAGTAGGCAAAGAAACAGTTTGTTGAACACAACAAATTAAAAAATAATTTTTAAAAAATTGAGAAAAGAAATTGGCTGTCCAAACTCGAGTCAATCTCAAGTTTAAATCGATTGATTTATTTTGAAACAAAATCATCATATACATTCATACTCTCATACTTGTTTTTCAATTATTGAAAATAGTAAGACTGAAGTATGGCCTCCACCACCACTCGTATTCTTGATTATACTCCTTTTCTTTCATTGGTCAGCCGACTCCGTAAACCGAGTCCAATTCGTGCACTGATGCCGATCATGTCTCTTCCTGGTATGATCTCATTGGCTGGTGGTTTACCAAATGCTTCTACTTTTCCATTCCAATCCATCAACGTGGAATTGAAAAGTACAACAACAACAACTCCGACAACACTTACAGTGGATGGTCAATTATTAGCAGATAGTTTGCAATATCATCCAAGTCAAGGATTGCCTCAACTCACGAAATGGTTGAGAGAACATCAGAGAAAAACTCATTCTCTCATCGAGGATGAAAAAAAGGAAGCGTGGGATGTAATTTTGACAACTGGATCACAAGATGGCCTCACAAAAGCTTTTGAAATGTTTTTGAATCCATATTGTGTTCAGGAACATGCCTTGAAACAATCCAGTGAGACATTGAATGAAGATGATAATATAAGAGATGCTATTATTATTGAACGACCAACATATTCTGGTTCTTTGAGTACACTTTTTACATTACAACCACACATGATTGAAGTAGATGTTGATCAATTTGGTCTCATTCCTGAACAACTTGAGGAATCTATTCAAGAATTCAAGAAGGAGCATCCAAAGACAATGATTAAATTCCTCTACACCATTCCCAATGGACAGAATCCAAGTGGTTGTTCATTGACTCTCGAAAGAAAAAAGAAAATTTATGCTCTCTCTCAGAAATATAACTTTTTAATTTTGGAGGATGATCCATACTATTATTTAGCGTTGGACAACCCAAGTGAGCCAGTTCCATCCTTTTTATCTATCGATACAGATGGAAGAGTTCTCAGGTTTGACTCTCTTTCAAAGGTTCTTAGTAGCGGAATTAGATGTGGATTTGTGACTGGCCCAATTCAACTAATCAATCAAATGGTTCTTCATATTCAAGCAAGTAATTTGCATAGCTGTGGATTATCTCAGGGAATTGTTTATGCATTGTTAAGTCAATGGGGAGAAGAAGGATTTGCTCAACATGTAAAACATGTTCAAAAGTTTTATACTTCTAAAAGAAATGATTTGATTGAGTGTATTGATAGACATTTGAAAGATTATGTTGAGTATAGCATCCCTGTATGTGGAATGTTTGTTTGGATGAAATTGAAGGGAATCTCTGATAGTTTAAAATTTATTGAACAAAAAGCCAGACAACAAAATGTGTTAATGCTTCCAGGCACATATTTCTATCCTACAAAGGGAAGTGCGACACCTTATGTGAGAGCTTCATTCTCTATTGCTTCAAAGGAACAAATGGATGAGGCATGTAGAAGGTTAGCTATTCTCATCAAGGAAGAACTTGCCCAACAACAGTAATGTCACACACAACTCTCAATATATCAATTTATTTACAAATTCTATTGCATGATTCACAATATATGCCTTGTTGTTCTTAGAAGAACTTGGTGGTCTTACTTGACTGAACGATCATGTCCTTATGCGAGAGAGCATCAGGTAATTCATGCCTTTGTTTTACGGCGGCTCTCCATTTCTTTGCTCTTTGTGTTGACTTGATATTGATTACTGAGAATTTGAAAGAGAATTTTCTGGTTGCTACAATGGGATTATTTGGTGCTCTCAAAGACGTTTCCTTTACCATTTCATCCTTCCATTCTTGTTCAAACTTTTCGACAATGTAATCCCATCCAGAGGTGAGGTCAATGTACATACAGTCGTATTTTCCTGGACCCTTCACACTTGTCAAATCTAAATGCTCTTTTGAATGCCATTTGAATCCAAATGTCGGAGAGAATGCACTTGATTTGGCACTGACACCATGATACTCTCCTGTCTGATCGAATTTACCATACTCACTTCCTTCAAGGCCAATCATGACCCCACCGTAACTATCATGTTTTGGAGCCATATGATACAAATATAAATGTCCATTTGAACCGTTTGCTGTTGATTTCACACCTGTTAACAGCATTTGACCCTCACCACCCATTGGAATGTTCATTCCCCAATGTCTATGATGCCTAAGGGTATATTCTGAAGAGCGTAACATTTTAGTATCTCTAAGGCTAAAGCCTTTTGTTTTTTGCTCAATTAGCACTTTTTTTGCTTCTCCCATGATCGGTATCTCATTTTCTTCAAATTCGAGCCCATGTGTGGCACTGAGACGTTTGAACACAACCTTTCCCTTCTTGAGACAATGATCTCCGCTTGTCGAAGTTGTTACCAGCTTGGCAATATCACCCTTCTTGTCTCCAGTTATTAACCAATTCCAAAAGGAAAAATCATGCGAAGATTTGTCCCCTTTGTTCGTACTCTTTGGCAGCTGAATGACAATTCTTCCACCGTGTGATAATGCTGTGCAGATCGGCCATGTGGTGTCAGACCAATTTTTGAATTGATACTCTTGAGATTCTTCGTTTTGTTTTCTCTTATCAAAAGCCACAGCCTTCTGTCGATAGAAGAGACCTCCCCATCGTAACACAGCCATTATTCTTCTTAGAACATTTCCTCGAGCCTCGCTTCCAGGACAGGCCAAAGTTTGTGCCCACATTTCTGCATCTCGCTTCGTTTGGGTGATAAATCCATACTTTCTCCATTCCTCCAACACTAAATTCTTCATCCAATTAATGCCATCTGCATTGGGCCTTTTGGTATCTTCTTTCTTTTTCCTACTACTTTCATTGTCGCTTTCACTGGAATACTCATCGACTCCGACTGTTGTGGTGTCATCTCCCATAGCACTTTTCTGTGTTGTCTCTTCATATGTTTGAGGACTCAAACTTAGCGAGGATGAATGGGGGCGAGTTGTATTAGGATCAAAATATTGATGATTTAAAGTTAATGTTTTAATCAATAAGGATGGATCGGAAGGTGATGATGAGGCGGTTTGGGAGTGATTCGTTGGAGAATGAGGGCGATGGATAGGCAACGACTTGGATGAAGAATGAGCCCCGCACAATGATAATTCACTCCTCTCCAGAGGAGATGATGCGCTACTATTCACCGGTGAACCCTCTCCATCATTTAAGGCTGAGCTTGATTGATGAACTGAGCCCTCAGAGCACTTGTGAACTTCCTCAACTGGATTCATTTTTTTAGGCACAATAAATTGTCATTATTTCACACGTTTTCATGCCACATGGTAACATCCAATCTCTGTGTCAATGCTTCTCATCATGTTTTTCAATAGTATCTATTGATGAAATTGCGAGACAATGTAATGCATTTATCAACGAACCAAACAACATAAAAAATGACTGCGTCTCAGCCTCCAACACTAGGCCATCGACGGGAGGTGCCTTTTGCAACAGCAGAGGATAGTTCTGTTCATCCTTCTCTGACGCATAGAAATATAACGCCTGGTGCTGATAGTCATAGCACATTCTCGTCCGATATGATTCCGAATATGAATTACTCCAGATCCGAAATAGGTAACGATGAAAATTCGAGAGTCTGGGAAGAAGAAATTATTTCATCATCCGAGGATGAGATCAAACGACCAAAACCTTCCTATAAGAGTTTACTTTGGATTCCTCTTGTCATAATTTTGAATCTATGTGTTGTACTGTATTTTTATATTCCGCTACACAAGAAATTGAATATTAGAATGATTTGGAATTTGGACGACTTGAAGAAAGTCTATGGAGCCATAACGAGCAAAGAGGCTGAAAAGCACTCCTTTGAACTGTGGTGCTTATTTTTCTCTCTCTATTTATTTGTAAGTAAATATTATTATAATGAAGTGAATTATGACCTTTTTCAGAATCAAATATCATGTATGCCAGGGTATGTTAATGAATGAGTTTTAAGAAAAATTGACAATTATTTTTGAAAGAACTGTGTTTCTTAACATTATATCTGGGTCTATGATGGGAACGTTTTATGGTACTTTAGTTTGCACAATTTTGAATACGATCGGAGCTGTTCTCTGTCACGTTTTGTGGTATTTTAGCGGAAAAGACTTTTTATTAAGTTTTGAATGGTTCAGAGTTAGAGTTTCTAAACTCTCGGCAATGTTGCAAGGATATAGGAAAAAAGGAGGCTTTAAAATGACCTGGTTTTTGATATCACTTCGATTGTTTCCCCTGACACCGAACTGGTTTGTGAATATTGCTGGTCCAGTACTTGGAATCACTACTACTGAACAAATTTATTCTGTATTTATTGGCATGATTCCATTCAATTATATCACTGTTCATGCTGGATTGCTACTTTCAGAGCTTAAAACTGTGAATGACATTTATCAACCAAAAACTGTGTTTTTGCTGGTACTCCTCTCCCTTCTCTCCCTCATTCCTGCAATCATGAGAAAATTTGGAAAGAAAGACGAAAAAGAAGAAGCTATTATTATTGAATCTGACTCATCTACCACCCTTCCATTTTTTGGAAACCATGCATTGAATCGCTCATTCAAACCACAACATGAATTTATTCACGATACCATGAAGGCCTCCAAAGGCATGGTTGTAAATAGTGTCAAGTTTTTATCCAAAATGATTGAACAACAAAGTAGTCAATATTTTGGATCGACCTCCAAACCATTCTCTGACTCGTACAAGATTGTATGATGAGATTCATCATGAAAGTTATTCTTACTCAACCATGTTTACCTTAATTTATTGAATATTAATTCATCCCAACAATAACACTTTCAAATTCAGATCAACGTTCAACACAGCCTTGTTCCGAAGTTTATTCAACAAGGCGACAGTTGTATAAAAAACACTGCATAGGTCATGGCGATTTGTTGTCTCTCTCACTCACAAAGTGTTCGAAATGGGAAATCTTGTCCTTACCACGACACTCAGCTGGTGGTCCCTTGACACTCAGCGATAACTCGTCTCTGAAAATTGATCCGTCGTCCAAGACCCAGAAAAAAATTTTCTCTTCTCCACACGCTGCATTTCAAATCATCACCACATCAGAGATGGAAGTAAGTACTTTTTGCAGTGATCATGAGTGAGATCAACCTGTTGTTTCTATTTCTCTCATGACCTGATGATATTATGGTTTCATCCATCAATTTTTTTAAAATTGTTATTCACGATGATGATGAAACTATCATCCTTGAATGATGATGTATCTATCTCATCATTACATCTTCATTTTCTTCATTTGATGACTTTTGTTCATAGTTGAATCCTATGGAAAAGCCAGACTTCTCCGGCTATTTGAAGAAAAAGGGAGGAAATATCAAGACCTATAAGAGTAAGTAGTGCTCGCATCAAACATCTACGATTTCAATAACAAGAATAATTATCGATGTGTAATTGGATGATGCCGATCCTTCCATATCTAACAACAACAACAAAATTCAACTTGTTATTCTCATCATGATATATTTCTGTGCTGATCTCTATCATCACGGTGATGATTACCATTATAAACTCATCATTCCCTTCTCTCAACAATTCTTCATCAAATAGGAAGATGGTTTGAACTGAGAGGAAAACTCTTGTTCTACTTTAAGAAACAAGGAGACAAAAAACCAACTGGTTTCATCAACATTTCTGGAGCAAAAGTTGAAGTGGATGAATCAAAACCAATTAGTTTCAAGCTCAGAGGCAAAAACTTGGCAAGAGTTTATGAAATTTCAGCGGAAAATGAATTTGATTTCAATTCATGGATGAAAGAGTTGAACAAGGCAATTAATTATAATCCAACACAAGACAAGGAAGGATTGGAGGAAGTCAAAGATGAAATTCGTAATGCCAAGTCGCAAGAACAAGTGACAGTTTCAGGAAAGGCATCGTCTGGAAAGAAGGTTACATTGAGTGATTTTGAATTGTTGACTGGTAAGTAACAAATTTTAGTCTCCATTGAGAGATCGAATGGTTGTTTCTTTGCAATTTTATGACTCACTATGATTACCTGTCTCACATTCATCATCACCACATTGATTCCACAACAAATATTTTTATGAACTCAGTGGTCGGAAGAGGTTCATTTGGTAAAGTTATGAAAGTAAGAGAGAAGGGAACATCTAAAGTTCTTGCCATGAAAGTTCTCAGAAAGGACATGATTGTCAAGGAAAACATGGTGTCACACACTCTTGCTGAGAAGAAGATTTTGCAAAGCATTGATCACCCATTCATTGTTGCTTTGCATTACGCTTTCCAAACGGAAGAAAAACTCTATCTCGTTTTGGACTATTTGCCTGGTGGTGAATTGTTCTTCCACTTGAGAGAAGAGACTAAATTCGATGTTGAACGTGCCAAATTCTATGCTGCACAAATTGTTCTCGCAATTGAACATTTACACAAGAATGACATTATTTATAGAGATTTGAAACCAGAAAACGTTGTTCTTGATGCAGATGGTTATGCTGTTTTGACTGACTTTGGCTTGGCTAAAACATCAGTTGGAAATAATACACCAACATATACTTTCTGCGGTACACCTGAATATTTGGCTCCTGAAATTTTGAAAGGTCAAGGACACGGAAAAGCTGTCGATTGGTGGAGTTTGGGTATTTTACTTTATGAAATGATTGTTGGTTTACCTCCATTCTATTCTGAAAATATCAATGAAATGTATGAACTCATTTTGAAGGCTCCTCTCAAATTCCCAAGCACAGTTGACGCTCAAGCTCAATCAATTTTGAAGGGACTTTTAGAGAGAGATGAACACAAGAGATTGGGTGGAGGTCCACAAGATGGAGCTGAAGTTCGAAGCCATCCATTCTTCAAGAATATTGATTGGGACAAGCTCTATCATAAACAAATCTCTGCTCCTTTCAAACCACAATTGAATGATGGTAATGATACCAAATATGTTGACACAGAATTCACGTCTGAGCGTGCCCATGACAGCTTTGCAGTTGGAATTGGAAAGGAAGAAAACAAATCATTCGACGATTTTGACTTTACCAAATAATTCTGTAATTATTGAACTACTCATGTACCAATAGTCTATTAAAATATTTAACAATGACGTTTTTTTACAACATTCATCACGAGTCAATGAAATTCATCCTGGAATAAACTTTTAAGAAATGATCTAACACTACTCAGCAACTGATCGAATGGAATGCTTCTCATCGGTTTTTCCTCGTATTCCTCCTCGTTTTCATCTCCCGTATCGAACACATCATAAAGATTAGGCGAGCTTTTTATGTGTGTAATTTAAACATAAGCAATGACGATTGGGTGTTGTGCATGCATGGAAAGCCAAAAACTTACCTTCCATCTGAGTTGGTGTACACCAAATAAGGCATCCCAAAGAATCCGTGATGGTCAATCTGACCAACGTACAGATATTCGTCCTTACTTATCAAAAACAAACAAATTTCATGATTGAAACTTCTTGTGAACTTGCAAATCATTCCACACGTCTTAAACTCGTAACACGTTTGGTCCCACTCTTCTGAGTTGCCGAAATAGGAGAATGGCTTGTTAGTGATAGAGCAAGAAAATTCACACTCTTTTTGTGCTTTTTCAAATTCATCTAAAATCCTCATTGCAAAATCTTGATATTGTTGATCAGTCTTGATATCACAAATGAAACATGTTTCAATTTGAGAAGGATCAGAATGATCATCATCATTACTTTCATTTCGTTCGGTTATTGGATTAAATATCTTGTCGTGCGTCATGTAAAATTCTCTCAATAAATCCATATCAACATTTGGAAGGTGAGAAAAACATGTTTCATTGTAATGATGTTTTCCGAGTTTTTGTGTGAGTCCATTCACTAACAACAGGGATTGTAAAGAATTCTTCGTTTCATCAAGAATGGAATCACCACTGCTGCTGCTATGGACTTGACCTTTATGTGTTTTCATTTGGATATCATAAAAGAATTGATGATGTTTATCCCGATTCAGAATGATTGGATCAATACTTTTATCCGATTGTTTGAAGATCTTTTGTTTTTCTCTTTCATTTCGATGATCCCTAAT